TCACGTTGTAGCTAGTCATGCTAGTCCAAAAGTATCACGTCGCGGAAGCCACCGAGCCAATCATAGCCCAATTCGAGAGAAGGAGACCTGTTTTGGTGTCCTTGCAAATTAAATTTATGCACATTTGGTGTCCCTTTTGGTGTCCCTCTGGTGTGCCTGTTGGTACCAGCTCCTTTGAAGTGCACCAGCTTTTTTAAACAGTTTTAGACGTCCAACGCCAGGTAGCGGGGAGCTTTCGCTGGAAGGGGCAGCCCTCTGACTAACTCACACACACACACACCCATGGATTAAAGTCCCATTGGTCTGCTGGTCAGTTCACACCCAACGGCACCATTTTAGTTGGACCATTTACATGGCAACATGAAACTGCAGTCGTTCCTCTCAAAAGAGCATTTCATTCGGACCTTTAAAGCATTGAATTCGGCCCATTGTGAACTTGCAATCCTCTTTAGGTTGGGAACCAACAAGGGGACCCAAGTCACCATTCACTCCGAACTATGTAAAACGTCACAGCGGACGGTATCTCTGCGACCAGTGCGGCTAACCTGTTCGCTGGTGCATCTGCTGGCGGGTGGGTCTCAAAGCTGAAGCCGAGTTCGGCATACTTGGACAAGTCGAGCTGCAAAAGAGCCTTGATGCTGGTCACCATCGCATGTAAGTATAGACAAGCTTGAACAGAACATCTTGGCATCGTCACCTTTCAAAGATGTCACAGGCTGTCCACAGGTTTTCCCAACAGCTTTGCAACTAGTCAAACAGGCCGGGGATCCGACCAAGTTCAAGTTGAGACTGTCCCGATCATCTACCTCATGGAACCCACGAGTTTTTTTACACAATCGCCAAAAGAAAACCCCCCCCCAGGATCCATGACAACGATGGGAGGCAGGTTTTGATGTCCCCCGCTTTTGGGAAGTTGAGTTTAAAGGGAAACCCTCCAAAAGAAAGTTGCAAACAAAGAAACAAGCACCGCCATTGGGCACCGGGCGGGGAATTTCAACCGATCGGAGCGAGGCATCGCCTCACCGAAGCAGTCTTCGGCTTCCACAGCTGCCAGCAGGTCTGCCTCAGGCTGGGAGTTTCACCGGGTCGACCCCCCCTCCCGTTCAGTCGTCGTTCTCCGTTTTCTGGTGCTTTGCTGCATTCGAGCACTCCACCGTGGGCTTGCTTTGTGAGGCCCAACAAGTCCAACAAACTTTTATAATGAGCCCAACGCCATGGTGGCCCTGACAGGTAAAGAGAGGGTTGCTAAGCCAAAGAGGTGTTGAACTTGCCCAAAGCACCAGGACATCTTCGCAAGTTGCTACTCCCCATTTGAAGCCCTTCCTGGCACGATATCACCAGGCGAGCTCGTCATGATTACCTTGGCCAGAATAAATAATAGTGGTAACACTTTGATATGCAATGGCTAAAAGTATGCCAAGGAGAGAGTCAGTCAGTTCGCCTGAAATGAGGGCCTGCTTTCTGGAAGTTCCTTGGCACCCGATGTCCTCCCCAGTAGACTGCCAAAATCTCATAGACCGCAAGTGGCTCTTGGTACATCCCCGGGCTTGAGGTTTCCTGCCCAAGCCGCCCCATTGGCACCTCGCGGATTGAACCGCCCCTACTTTGATCTAGGTTTTATACTGTCCGAGGAATATTGTGTTTCTCCATACCGCTGCCTACTGCTCTTGGTACATCAAAGTTGCGAACCATGTGACACCCACAACTTATTTCCCAGTGCCATGGAAGCAAAGGACCTGCTCTTGTGAATTGTGAGTCCTCAAGTTGTGATTGGGGTGTGTCCTTAAATTGTTTGGACACCCATTCGAATCGTGTTTACGGAGCTGTTCAACATGGAATGTTGACCAATACCTCTCCATAACCCTTTACTGGAAGAAACTAAAACAGGGGGCCCAGGTTTCAGGAAAGTCAAAAGAACAGCAGGAAATTGTTCGGGCCCTAGTTTGGGAAGCATGTGAACGATCCATTCAAGACACCCGGCCAAACTTTGTTCTCATCAAAGCAAGCAAACACAAGTTGTGTGTTAAAACAACAAGCCATGCCCAAAACTGAGGGCAAACTCAGACTCCGGCAGAATTTCACTTGTTGCTGGCTAAAATGGAACGTGACGGAACACCAAATAAGGCAAGGAAGTTAAAACGGCAAGCTCAGTTGATTGATCATGTTCGGCAATGTCTAGTTACGAGCGGAAAAGAAGAGTCTGGTTGCCAACTGATTCTTGACCCACAGAAAGTCATTGCTGACTCTCTATATTTGGTCTCACCAAGCTCCTGCCTCAAAGTCCTCTTGTGCAAGGGCCAGCGAGAGGAGAAACAGCAGCCTCATAGCCTCAGGCGGTGCAAGAGAAGATGCAAGGATGGAGCAACCAGTGACCTGAAATAGCATGGCCGCCCTGTTGTGGGCTGTTTTCTTCCTTTTTTTGTTGCGCGGGTGCTAGTGAACAGGCATGCTGAAAACCTGGTGGCAAAATGTGGGCATGTCTTTTTCTATTATATGTACGTGGGGCCGGTTGTAAAGGGAAGTCCAAGCTCATATTGAGAAAACCTAGTACTGATAGGTGCAAGTGCCAACCTGACACGGATTCAAGCACCACACCCAGTAGCAAAGGACCACAATTTGCCGTACGAGCATCTTGTGGAGAGATCCGCGCAGAGATCCTGCACAGTATGTTGTACATAGTGACCATCTAGCAAATAAACTTTACCATGAACCTTGTATCTAGGAGCATCTGTCTAGATCCGGCCAAAATACCTTTTGTACACTGATGCTGGTTCGAGATCCTGCAAGGAGACCTTTTGAAGGACCTTATGAGCACATTCAAAAGTTGTCCTGTGAATATATATCTGGCAGAATCTGGTACGGTGCCTTCTCTACAGATCCTGCAATATAGATCAATGTTTCATGCATCTTGCCATGCAGCAACCGCAGCTATACAACAACATGCCCCTCACAGTGTCACAGCACTCTGTCCTAGCTTCCTCCTCACACTGTCCGGGGTCTCTCGGGTACAATGCTTGTTAAATTGTTGCTTCTTCTCCAGTTCTCCAGTTTGCGCACCAAAAAACATCGGCAGGTTTCCACAGGCTTGGTTCCAGGTACCACAACGCCCGCCCGGCATCCTCTGGGGCACCGGCGAGTTTCGCGTCTATCGTGGGACGAGGTGTTCCCAGAGGATGTTTCTTTGCATGCAGAGGGCTTGGAGCAAATGCGGCGGGGCCCGCGGAAACCGGTACCGTCCCCAATGCGCGCAAGACCCCCCGACCAGAAGGCGGGGCATGTCGTAAAAATCTCGGGGTTTCGGGGTAGGGGATACTTGGAAGGATCAGCCTCAAAGCTGAAACCAGGCCTGACCCAATCGCCCAAGCGCATTTCCGGAAGAGAAGTGCCGAACAGTACAGCCAGCGTAGTATCTTGCCGCCATTGGTTCTGCGTGGGAAATGCCTGGCCCTCCAATCGGAGCTACCGGGGGGGTGGGGCCTCAATGGGCTTATCCTTCGCTAGTCCGGGAAAGCCCCCCCCATACACGGGGCCAGCCGTGGAGATCGTGAGAAAGGAACCCTTTTGGATGCACCTAATACAAGAAGCAGGCAACACAACCATCTGTGGTACTGGCGTAGTTTCTGGAATACAGCGAAACCTGGCCCGAATTGGAAGCGGTTTGCTACCAGGGATACTTTCTCTACAACTAACACGAAGTAGCTACAACCCACCGGGAACCTCCATCGTAGCATAAATTTCTGCCTCCCCCCTTGTTCGATACCAAAATTGACTCGACGTAGCACTTTTTGCCTCCCATTCGCTTCCGAGCGCTTTTTGACGTTTCGGGCAGAAATCCCATTCGGCCGTGTTTTCTTAATCCCCAGGGTCAAGTTGCCGCCAAAACGGGCACAACAATGTGCAAAAAAAGTGCAAAACGAGCGCAAATCGGCGCAAAAAAGCGCAAACAAGCGCAAATTCAAAAAATGCTACGAATCGCAGGCAGCAAATTGCATTTGCGCGGATGTCTCGGGCACTTTCTGTTAAAACAAGCGTTTTTTTGAGAAGAACGTGTCACGAGCAAAAATATTTCGTAGCAAAAAATAAGGTAGCAATGGAGGCTCCAGGCAATATTGCAGAGAACTCTGATTTTGGGGGGACCCCCTGATCGATTCCATGTTTGCGTGCAAAACGGGCAAACATGCTGACACCGGGTGTCACTCCTCGGGTCTGGTTGCTACTGCCTACGACGACTAACGAGTTTCCAAGGAATGCCAAAGGACTCCTCGTGTCATGTCGAGCCCGGATCAATCAACCAGGTGAATGGATAGGGTGCCCCCAGAAAATTTTCAGCATCCCCGCTCAAATGGCACACGCCCTCCCCAGTATTCACTTCACAACTCCCTTTGTGGAACCCCTGCAACCACACACCAAAAGTCCCCTTGAAAAACAGTATCATGGACCAACCAAACAGTTTTTGGCCTGTTTGAGGGGGGGGCAGGAACATGATAGCTGCAAGCAAAAGAAAGAAAAGAACAACTGATTCCACTCACTGCAAAGCATGCTAATGTAAGGAGTGAGCCTACAGGTTTCCGCTACGAGTCAGGGGTGATCACTCAATTCAACACAGCTTTGTCCAGTCACCGCTATATCCTCCAGTTTGATTCATGGTGTGGAAGTTTGGTTTGCTTTTTGCCCGTCATTTTTAAGCAAGGCTACACCGGCAGTTGATGTTCACAGCTGATAATCTAAGAAGGCAGAGACCAGGAATGTTTATAGGGACTTGGGCAATAGTCCCGGGATATTGGGCCGACTTTGTCGTCTGGTTTGTTGGAAGCTGGCCTTTTGGTCCCTACCCCCAAACGTCTTTGGGCTGAAGGGGCGCGGGGAGAAATCCGTAAGAACCGTTGACCGTTGGGGTGTAGGTGTTGCCCCTTTGGGGCCGTGGTTTCATATTGCGCCTCCTTCACACAGAGCCTGCCCACCTCAAAATCCATCGCTCCATCCCGTCAATGCCACGCCACGCCAAGCTGTGGCTTCATGTCCTGTGCAACGTCTTTCACCCGATTTTCAAGTTGTTTTTGTTTGGTCGATGGTTCGAAGGTTTGGAGGACACCAGCTGGGGCAAAGGATAATTGAGTCGAGCCAGCTGGCAATAGAAGTCAACCCACATCTATAGCTTCATCATGGCACATGTCCGCCACAACCCCAAAACACCAAACCTACGGGTGGATTGCACCCTTTCCGCGGCCCAAAGTACTTGCCCTGTTTGAGTGGTTGGGTGTACAAGGGGCATCCAGCCCAAAACCTCGGCCAAACATACACACTTAGAAAATCGACAAGTGTTTGCTGATAAGGAGAAATGAAGAAAACATGGCGGTCCTATTTGAGAAGTTGAAGTTGACCTCGAACTCAACATGTCTTGCCAAAGTGGAATTTAGGAATTATCCAGCGGACTTGTCAGAGAACTGCGGCCCGTTTGGATTTGAGGCGCCCTCATCGAGCGGTTTGGGATGGCGCGGAAGCTCGCCGGGGCAAGTACGTCTCTTTCAAGATTCCTTCAGCCGGAGGGGTTCAAAGATCAAGGTGAGTGGGCATACACCACCGTTAAGCAGTCTGCGAAGCTCAAGGCGCGGCGGAGGCCGGGTTTCAGCCCAGCGTAAATGGCCTAGCGAAGAGGCAAAGGCTCTTACGGCTGTTGACAGAGGGCATGAATGAAAGACGCTTTATAATCCAAGCTGGCTTCCTCCAATTCCTGGCCACCGGAGTACAAATGGGTATTTTGCCTTGTACTATGTAGTAGTTGCATATCCCATCAACACCCCGAGGGTCGTGGTTTGGGTGTAGCGGAAACCATCTTAGAACCAGCATGTGCGCAGCAGCCTTGCTTTCGCCTCAAATACTACAACAGACTTGTACTTTTGCTGTCCTGGGAGGGAAGGCTGTTGACCGTTTTGCAGAGAAGAGGCACAGGGCAGGACCAACCTGCTGAAAACGATCTCCCTTTTAGCAGACCTGAGTCCGATGAATCAATTGTTTCAACCACTGCCCTCACCCACACGGCAGCTCTTGTTTGGAGGAAGTAGGGTTGTCGCTTTCGGAAAAAGAGGTCTAACCAATTTCGCCCCACAGTGTTACAATCATTCCGAAACCTGAAATAAGAATTGGATCCCCAAGTAGTATATACAGTATAGGACCTACATCATGGCTCGCTCGCTGTGCCTCCCGAATCGGTGAGGTATGCCACCTGTCATGTCTGAACTGCGGCCAAGGCGGTGGCTGAAGGAAATGTGTCCATCAGCTGATGTGTCCAAATAGAAAGATGGACCCCCCAACACGGTGACTTTCCTTTTGGCTTCCCTTAAAACCAACCTGAAAAGGGTGCCCTCAAACAAAGACACGCCCAAATCTACCTCAGCATTTGTCCCCAACCAACAATCGGTTTCACTCTGCCAACTTTTTATTGAGCCTTATGCCAACTATGACAAAGTCCACACCCCCGAAAGAGAACAAAAAGAAAAAGGTGAAACCCTCATCATCCCTCATCCATATGTTTGCCCCTTTTGCCCACAAAGGGTAAAGGGGGACGGGTCTCTATATTGGGGATGTCTCCCCTTGCATACAGAAACCTCAAAATGGTACCCTCACACAACTCTCCTCAGCTCCAGCAGCATCGTTGTCAACTCCTCCTGGCTGGTCTCATCCGGGTCGCCTCGCAGCTCACCAAAAAGCAGGCGCCCTTTGATAGGGGGGATTCACTTCTGAGCATCTCAAAAATGAGCTGCGTTCCTTTCCCCTCTTGTTTTAAGGGGTAGGGGAAAAGGAGGAAACCGCTTCAGCCCTTTTTGGCTGACATTGAAGCCTCTTCAGGCGGCCTTGAGGGTTCCAACTCGATTTCGCCGTGGATTGTTGCCGATTCAGAGTGAGCTTCCTTTTTGGTCAGATCGGTGGGGGGAAACATCGTGTGCCAGCCGTTGGGCCGTTGGAGGAAATCGGTGGGTTTGGAATTCTTGGCCAAGGACCCACGAGTTCGTAGAATTGCTCCCGGGAGGTTCCCGAGTCGTCCCAGCCGTAGTGGGAGCACATCTCGGCGTACCTTTGCGAGCTGACCCATAGCTAAGATGGGTGAGAAGCGGTTTCTAGGATGCTACGCACATGGAACCCGCATTTTAGAACACGTTTAGCGTTTAAGTCATGAGTCATGAGGGCTGAACAAACAAAACCTCCAAGACCACTGTTGAAAGAAAATGTCACCACCGCAGACATCAGCTTTGTGTCAGCCACCATTGTCCTTCAAAATAAACAAACTGGCCTCTACCTTTGCTGGTTCCTCTTGGATCGCCATGGCCGTTTCCAGATGTTGCTCCAAAATGCCAATTTCGCTATGGCCTCCCCCCAGGGGAAGTTGACTCAAACGCGGCTTGTTCTTCCTTTGCTAAATCACTCAGTTCAACAAGGACCCGGTGCCAGCTGTGGTCATGGCAAGGAGGGGGGAGACGGGATTGGGTCCCTAAGGCTCCATTCAAGTCTTCCAAACACAAAAGGGAACACATTTGCAATACTACAACTAGGATGTATAAGACGCTACCACACGTTGTCCCAGATAGGGCCTTAAATCATTATAATGCATCATAATGTGGTTTGGTGGTATTGTTAAACCATACTATTTCATGATGGGAGAATAATGTACGTATTTTGCCCGGTGCATTAACTGGATCTCTCCAGGGTCGAAGTCCCGCCTCACCCAACTGCCTCATCCACGCTAGCTTCAGTGCCTAACTCCTAGCACAATGTCTAAGATCTGAAGTATGGCATAAGCCCCACATCCAGAAACAACTAAATCAATATGTTCAAGGTAGTACTGGGAAACCAGCACCCCAGGAGCGGAATCAAGCCCTCTGAAAACATGTGCAGCTTCTTGGTGGTGCTTCAATTTTGGTCGTCGGCAAAAAAGTAAGGTCAACACCATGAATCACTTACTACCAGAGCCAGTTCGAGAATGTGTTCACTCTTGCCAACCTCCCAGCATATTGAGGGAGAATCGCCATGCTTGAAATGGTGACCCCACTGGTTCTATGTCCCATTTGTTGGAAACACTCACAGAGGCACATGAGCGATTCATTTCTGCGCTCTGTGATTCCTCTTTTGAGTGACCTGTTGGTGGCTTAGGGAAACCAAAGAGAAACCAGCGTTGAGAGTTCCCTATCAAATGGACTGGAATCAAGAAACTTGTGTTTTTAGAATGGCCTATTTTGAGATAAACCCGACTAGTATCTCTGAGTACTGACTTTGACCAGGCACCCCCAAGACAAGGCAGATAACATCCACAGCAATCATCCCAGGCCACTCCAGTCCCAAAAGTGGCCGGTTTCCTTTCGTATCATTGAAGGAATATGTCTCAAGGATAGACATGTGCAATTTCGGCGGGTGAAAGCCTAGCTATGCTCCCAACGGACCCAGTAGCCGTGGCCCACATCTTTGGTACACATCAGTTTCATATTTCGAAAAACCTATGTAAAACTAGGTCCTCCAACAAGAACAAGGGTACCCCTTTTTTCTGTAGTCTATTTCTGTAGGGGAACCCTCCCCGGGCAAAAGGGCACCTAGCTGGGGGACCTAGAAGATCTACAGTTTCATATAAGATACAAAGCCATGACTCTATATATATATATATGGTTTCGTAAAACTCCATATAATATATATATATATATTTTGAAACCCCTATATAAGATATAGAGCTGTGACCCCAAACACTCACCTGGCATCCCTTTCTGTGACCCCAAACACTCACCTGGCATCCCTTTCCGTCAAGTCCAGGGCGCTGCTGGCGCCAGTCCTCCTCACTTCCGCTGAAGCCCGTGAGCCGCGCGTAGGTCTCCAACTCCGATTCCCCCAAAATCTGCTCCTCGAGCCGAAGACACATCGTGCTCCACGCCGGTCTCAAATGGTTTCTTCAAAAAGGCTGGAGTTGTGTTCAGTGGAGGTGTTCAAGGGAAACCAAAAAAGGACAGAAGGCATTTGTTGAAGTTCCAGAAGTCTAACAGTAAGGAGCTTTCTGAATGGTTTTGCACAGAAACCAAGAGTGAACCAACACAGAAACCAAGAGTAGACCAACGAGATTAGAGTCCCCTGTGGTGAACCGACATGCGCCCCAGGTGGCAACTTCCGACTATTCTGAATCCAAACACCCACGAAAGGAGAAAGGATGAAAATAGATGGCCCGCTGCAACCCGCCTCCCCCCAATACATATATATATATATGTGTATATATATACATGCGCGCGTATGTTTGGTTTAGTCATCCCCTTTCCATACCGCGGCATCTACTTCCACCCTGATTTACATGAGAAACCGACTCTATGACGATCAATAAATGATACTCCAAAAGAAATGAAGGACACTGCAGGTCTGGGTTTCCAGTGTGCTGTAATGACGCAAGTGAAGGGGGCCCGCAGTCCTTGCTCGCAATCGGATATTGCATGCACAGGAAGTTTCCGTAAACAAGCAAACATGTGATAACAGCAGCCCGAACGTCTGGGTACGAAGAAATCATTTGTGCCCAATACGGACCATGCGGAGACCTTGGTGCATGTGTGTTGCCCATTTGGCGTTGCACTCTAGCGGGATTGGCCAAGATGACTTTACTCCGTGTGACGTCTCCCCACAAACAAGAATATGAGTCTGTCTTAGAAGAGCTAAACCTGGTTCTCTTCCCATGCTTATGGAAGCATCCCTGTCTGAGATACCAAAGTAGACTATCCTGGTGACGACTACTTCGCGACTTTGAAGGGTTGTTTTTGGCATGACAGAAAATGTGCCCAACCCCCCCCCCCTTTCCCACAAACCATATTCCTGCTTTGATGGCCAAACTTCCGACTCACTAGATGATCCTTTGCTTGCTTCTGCCCAAATGGTCATAAAACTCATATGGTCTTAGTATCATCCCTTTAAAATAAATGCGAAACCTCCGGACTAAGGCGGCCAGTCTGACTGAGCGGAAAACTGGGCTCCTTCTTCTTGTCCAGCTGGCTAAAGATGGCATCAATCAGTTCTTCTCTTCCAAGGGAGCGCAACTCCTCCAGGCTGAACGCAGCCCGAGTGGTCTGAGAGAAAATAGAAAATCCCCAAAATGAGTACCCGCGCAAAAGACACACCCAGAATCTAGGAGGGTGTCCATTGTTTACGGAATCCTTCTGAAATCGACCTTCCAGGACTCCCCTGCAATCTGTCAGTCATCTGGATCAATCCAAATGCCCAGCGACCCTGGTAAAAAAGAACAAATAATAAGCAACCAAACAAATCGCATTTAGTGGGGGCATCCACTGAACAATCGGGACGACCTTGGAGCTATGTTGCGCCAAGTGCCAGCCGGCGTGACTTTGTAAACTTGGCTACCCTCAAACAGGTCACCATTTGCTAACCCCACCCCCACGAGCCACCGGCCATAGGCATTTGCATTCGGCTCCCAGTTGCTCTAAGGCAAGGCGTCCGGAAACCCATGTGCTGAGGGCCCCTCCATGGCTGAGGGCCCCGCATTCCCGACCCAAACCGAAGCCAAAGCGAGGGGAGCTTACGGCTCTCAAGACCCTCGCGGTGATTCCCTTTACTCCGATTTCCGGGTATCGCAAAAGCACAGAAACCGGAACCCAGCCCAACTCTCCACCATGGCCTCAGGTCAATTTCTTAAACCCCCAGCGGCCATGGGAAAAACAAGGCACCTTTTTCTGGGTAGCAAGTTGTTTTTCAAGGCAAGCCCCTTCAGAATTGATTTTGTAGGGTCAGATTTCGCCCCTCCTCCTCTTGTAGCTTCACCACAAAGCTGCGGCGACGCCATTCGGATCCGGAGCCAGAACTTCTCGGCTGGGAAACGGAGACGGGGGTCTGCAGCTTCCTGAGAGAAACTCAAAGGAGCGGAGAAAAGGCTGGCGTGCCCACGATTTAGTTCTTGTTCCCTGTGGTCCGGCAAAGGATTCCCAAACAATCTCACGTAATGGGACCACATTCTGTCCACGAAACTCTTGAGACCCTTCTAGGCTGAAAAACCACAACAACTCTAGGCCTTCCTTTTCGTGAGTCTGTTTCAGGGAGATGCACTGCACCACAACTCGTGAAAACCAACATGACAGCAGGACAGCTGCATTCAAGTGGTATTGACCCCAGATTTCAGAGACGAACGTGGTTCCCCAAAAGTGGAGTTCCTTTGTGGAAGTCCCGGTTGATCTTCAGGGGAGCATCACCCCAAGCTTCCTGATGGCATGGACCCAGCCCCCAAAGCTGTTCACGGGGAAGCCCGGGTCTTCAGGGCTTCGAGGTTCCTAGCTTGTCCTTCTTGATCTTCGGGGGAACCCTTGAAATGGGTGTGCCCTTTGGTGTCCCAAAACCAAGCCAACCGTTGGAGCAAATCAGGCCCTCAAGAAAAGAACGCCGTATGAAGCTCAAGGCCCCGTAGGTCCAAAATACGGTTGTCTGTCTGTCTGCTCAAGGCGTCGCCAGAATGTCGCGGAGCTCGGCGTCGGTGTTTTCGTCCTCATCGCTCAGGAAGTCCTCGAGGGCTCAAGCACGGGGGCTGATATCCCCCTTGTGATGGAGAATCAGGGTACATCTTGTCAGGCGCTCTCTCGGACCTCTAGTGACATCATGTAGCATATGAAGGCTCATGTAAAACCTGAGAATAGCTTTGTACGCCTGGCTGAGGCTAAGGCAATTGGAACCACCTCCTAACAAAAAACATGCGTTCAGCTGTTTGTCTGATCATCCTGTTTGGCAAATGAAGGGCCCATCTGAAAGTGTCACCCTCTTTCGAAACAGGGGCCCCTTGATGTCCGCAAGTCACAAACCCGTAGTTGCCCGGTGACCCTGTCAGAAAAAGGGAACTCTTCGGTCCAGGGTCTGACTGCCTGTGACGTACTGCCATCCCTGAGCTGCCCTTGTTTGGAGCTCCAATTGTGTGGCAGATCATTGGAGCGTAGTAAGTCGATCGACTTTGGTGTGTGGAAATACAGGTTCAACCCTACCCAACAGCTCTCCGCACCCTGACTCAACTCCGAGGCGGCGGGTTCCACTTCCCAAGGCAGCCAGGTTCCACTTCCGCCCAAAAGAAACTAACCCTCGAGCTCGTAGGTTCATCCAAGCCACGTGTGCCTTCCAACTTGGTATGGGTTTTGAAGATATGCATGCCGATTGGTTATCACTAATTAATATGAGCTTGTAAGGCAGTATGCATCCCTTAAGCGGAATATAACCTCGATACCGACAATGCCCTTGATCCAAGCGCGAGTTCATCACCATGACTATTCCAACAAAAAGTCAAACCATGTCCCACTGCCTGGGGGATCTGTGTTTGGCGCAGTTTCGGGGCCAGTCTCTGGAGGGAGGTTCAGGGGGTTTGGGGAGACTCCTTGGGCTTATTTGGGAATCCTCTTTGGGCAACTCGTTTTCCCCAACAGCTGCCACAGCTGCCAAAATGTTCAGATCGGTCGGGCTAGGATGCCACAAGGGTTCCCGGGGTTTGCTGGGGATACCACAGTCCTTTTGTTGCTGTTACCAAAAACGGGTCTTTCTGTTGGATCGGAAAAAGCGGGTCTTGCTGTAGGGGACTTCCTTCTTTTGCGACTCCTGGAATTGCACCAATGAGATGCCGGCGGCAGGATTCCAGTTGAAGTGCTGGCACATGGCCTTCGCATGTGACGGACGGATCTGTTGCGAAGGGTCTGCAAGTGAAATATGGGAACATTCAAAAAGGGCGGGTTCTTCAGACCTCATGGTTCTGGTGCCATTCTTGCAGTTGCTTGCAAATATGAAAACTGGGAACCCCCTTGCAAAGCAAGAACGGCTGGAGGCCTGAGGAAGTCTATGGGGGGCTCACCCCCAAATAAGGAAAGGAGGAGTCTAGGATGAGTTCAGAACGGCAATGGAAATCCCAAACCCAAGTGACACCAAACGCTGATGTGAATAAACAAGGCAACTACCCGCAAAACATGGAACACCAACACAGGGTGTCCCAAATAGAGATTCCTGTGAGCGTGTTGGTTTGCTCGCTTCCTTGGTGAATAGAGGAAAAATCATGCACCACCAGGGGCTGTTGAGGGGGGGGGGGCATCACTGGTCTGAGGATCTGGGGAGTGGGCTTTGAAGAAAGAGCAGCGGACCATTCGGTGGGTGACAAGCGACTGTAAGGGTGTGTGTCAAAGAGGGCCCCTCAACAAAACCTCCTTCGGTTTCCCCTTGAAGGCAAAGTGACAAGGGTACCCTCCCAAAACACAAAGCAAGTCACGTCAACTCGCTCCGAGCCAGCGAGAAGCTCATGCACCAAACACATGGCACGGAGTGGGCATTGAAAGCCAGGCTCCGATGTTTCCAAGGCAAAGAGATAGGGGTCCTGAAAAAAGGGCACCCTTGCAGCTTTGGCTCCTTTTCGACAATCCCCTGGCGGTTCACTCCGGCAAACAACAAAACAGACACTGCCATTTCGCACCTAGCCCTTACGTTGGGAAAACACCTATATTGAAAGAACAAATGCTGCTATGCTATTATGCTGTGCTTGCAAGATCCACTATATGGGTGAAACCCACATGGAGGCAATCCAAATGGGTGCAGTCCGTTTGGTTACCCAATGCAAATGGATCCCGGAAACCAAAGCACACGGACCCACAATGCCTGGAACTCCTCCTGCCACCTGGGCGACCAAAAAAAAAAGCGCCGCCTGGTGGGCTTTTATGCGTTAAAAAAGGGCCGCAACCGACCTGGTGGTTTGCATTCGTGGTTTGCGGCTGGGTGGTTTCCCATTAGCCTCCAACACAAAACAAGCAGGTCAAATTCCCAGCCAATCCAACCCACCCACCTTTTGCCAGTTGAAAGGTAAAATGCTAGAACACCAACAAAAAACAACACAAGTTGAAAGGTGAGTTCATGTTGACCCCATATTCATCAACCCCATTTTATTAATCGGGGGGTGGGTGTCCCTGCGTTTAGCGGGAAATCATCACTTTGGGAGGGGAACACCTCCCTATTACTGAACTGAGGTTGATTAAGACAGGGTCAACATTCTGTTGAGCTATGTTCATTGTTGTATTTTTTGGCCAGTTGAAAGTTATAAAATGATAGAAAACCCCAAAAAACAAAAGAACTCAGGGTGAAGTGCGGCAATGGAAAACACGGTTCCGCTGGGCTGGTTGCAGCTGGGCTACTGCGCCTTGGATCCGTCGAAGGCCCTCAGGCGCGCGAACCGCTCCAGGCCCTCGCCCCGCAGCTTCGAGCTGTCGGCGAGCACAGCAAAGATGCCTCGCTCCAGGCGTGCCGTGGGCCCAGCTTCCCGCAAAACGGGGGGGTATGATATTAATATGTTTGCATCAGCCCATTCCTGGAGCCAAGGCGCGCTTGACCAGGGATTCGCGGAGATCATCTTCACCTGGACGCCAGATGGGCTGCTAATGATCTGCCCGGACCCCCAGTGGCCATGGGAACAACAACCAAAAACAGGCTGGCAATCCGTTCCCCCTTCTAATGAAGTTCCGGATGATATATGATGTTCTAAAACCCCGCGGGGCCCACTAAATTGGAATAACTCAAGTTGAAACCGATACTAAACTCGCGATTTCTCCCACCGACCTCTCTTGAAGTCCAAAAAATGGGAGTCCCTGCCTTCGACCCGAAACAGCCAACCTAAAACCTATATAATAATTAATAAGACCTCTTTTCTGCAGTGGGATTTTGGGGGGAAGGAGGGGGGAGGCGTCGTTTTGTTCCTCAACCAAAAAACGAACAAAGGAGGCGCAACCCACTGGAGGTCTGCGCACACACTTCACCAATTTCGTTTGCATCAACTCGGTGCCGTCGCATCGAAGCCAACGAGTGATTCACCAACCGGAGGGACGGTGAGCCCTTACCCCCCCCATCCAATGAGGTCGGCTTAGGTTCGACATTTTTTGTTTCCGGGCATTGAGAAGTTACTCGAACGTCCTGCCGGTTGTTGCTAGGGCCAAACGTTGACGGTCCCCGGGGACAGCTTCTTCTCAAGCTCAAGTTTGCAAACGGCCTTGTGCTTGTTGGCCCCCCTCAGGATGAGGATGAGCAGAGCCAAGACAGACCACTAACAAACAAAGAACAAATGTAAATGAGTATTCTACCCACAGAAGACAACACACACACACCGGCAAACAGCAATGTGCTGCTTCAGAAGGGCACAATAAAAACACAACCTGCTGAGATCCAGCAGGAATTATTATTCGGGTGTGAGGAATGAATTGTTTTGGGTCCCCGATGCACATTCAAGTTGGAAGGTTGGGCTTTGGGTACTTCGAGAACCAGCAAGAATAATCCCTCTCCTATCTCAGATGGTTTTCACTACCCACAATCCACTACCCCCAAAAGAACATGGGGGCATATAATTACCCCTTGTTCGCTTGCGGAGGTTGCTTGTGGATGGTCAGGGGAAGGGTGTCCGAGACTGCTGTCCCATTTTGGTTCGTGGCTAGTGGCTGTATATCCCGCAGAACCTCGACTTGGACCACATCGAAGGCCCTCCATGGTTGCCCTCAAATTCAACATCGTTTCGGAGGAGACCGTAGGGGTAGCTTTGGTTGTAGCGGAAATCGTAATCTCAACAGCCCCGCCTTGCTGCAAGCTTTTGAAGACTTCACGTAACTCTGCCGTGCTGTTCTCCTTGAAAGATTCGGCTCGGCTTTAGAGGGCTCGAGTTGGTGTCTTAGATATGGAAGTGGACCCAACTAATGGTTCTCCTTGTGTTTCCCTGCCAATCCCCACTAAAGTACCCTCCAAAAACACACAACACCCTTTTGCTTCTGAAGGCAATGCAAGGCATCAACCCTGCAATCTGTGGAATGACACCCTGCAAATGCCTCTTGCTGAAAAGTCAATCATCACATATCAACCTGGTAACGTGGGAATACTAACAACACACTTTTCATGCCTGGGGCCTCTGCTTGCTTGTGACAGGACTTGTATGGTATGAACCTTGTAACCAGCCTTGTAGCACAACCCAGGAAGGCTGGATGCATCACCCAGGTCTAAGTTGAAAACAAGACGGCTTAGCCGCAGGCTGTGGGCGGATTCATTTGGCCTCCTCCATTTGGGTCTTGTACTTCTGCACTACTGCTAAACAGCCTTCCACAGCCCACTTGGGTTGGGGGGGGGTGGGTCAGCAAGTCACCTGGCTCCGCAAAATCTTCGTGACCCTTACCTAAAGTTTAGCTTACGGAGTGCGCAGGCTCTTGCAACGAATGTCGTGACAGGAGCAGCACTTTGGAGCACGACTCGCAGAATCGTGGACTTTGCAGGGTTGCGCCCCGAATTTCGTGTCCGGGGCTGCGCTTTGAAGCTTGACGCGCAGATTCCGTGAGCTTGTAGTCCTTTGCAGGGTCGCACAGCCAACTTCATGGCTTGGGAGACGTTTTCCGGGATGCGGCTGCTGAAAAATAGAAAAATAGAAAAGTAGATAGATAGATAGATAGATAGATAGATAGATAGATAGATAGATAGACAGAAAGGTAGTTAGGTAGACGCGCAGAAAGGCAAGATGCGCGGGTTGATTGATGCGACTGATTGGTTCGACAACTCCTAGAGGTGGTTGGACAGATGGAGAAGTAGATAGATAGCGAGCTAGCCAAGAAGATTAAAGAGCAAATCCCCGAAAGACAAGACAATAACCGCATGCGTGCGCCGTCCGGCTCACAGCAGACATTCCAGGCGGCACTCAGTCAAGCCAGCCTGACGGGTCGCGTGAGCGACTAGACTGCGTCGGCTTGCTTCAGCTGCACGCGGTGGAATAGTGCTTCTTGACGAGCAAACTAGATCGCCAGTGCGGGCACTCTGTCGGAATTGCCTCCACTGCGAATTGGGCCCAGGCAAAGCAGTGCTCAAGTCCTTGAGGTCTAGACGGACCAGGTAGAGTGTGAAGGCGGACTGGCCTTGGGCCTCTCGGCTATGACAAGCACAGGGCAACTACTACTTTGTAAAACACCTCACGCAAGCCATTGCGCGCGAAGCGCTGTCAGGCTTTAGATGAATTTGTCCCTTCTGACAACAGGGCAGCTAGTGACCTGGGACTGTGTCCATCACGCTAAAAATATATCGGGAACAACAGCTCTTTTGCCTCATAGTTCTTCGCCAGAGAAGGACACGGCGCACTTGGTCTCAGACATATATGAACTCAAGCTGGGGGTAGTTTGGAGTAGTTGTGTGGCAACGGACACACGTGCAAATGCACGCAGGTGTTCTCAACGAAACCGAATTGACTCATGCTGCAAGCCGAGGCCTTCATTCCTGTCCAAAGTGTTGGTGTCCGTGGCAAGCCTGTAGTAGAACACAAGCACAGCAAGCACGCAAAGCAGAGCAACTCCGTGACGGGGTAACGTGACAAGCAAGGCTCCCCTCTCACGCACACCTCGCCTCCACCCCGTTAAGGGGTCGGCGGCAGCAAACAGTAGCCTCTATCCGGCCGCGGCTAACTGGCCGAACGTCCAAGGCTGCAAAATGATAATCACCTGTTGGATCGTTTATTGGTCTGAACGCTTGGGCTTGTGGGTCTGCGGGCTTGGCCTGGCGATGTGGGTGATGCGTTTCAAGGGCAATACCCCAACTGCAAGCGTTTTTCGATGCTGAACACTAGCAAAGCACCTAAGCCGCCGTGCGGGCAACTGGCCCAGGCTCGCCCTGCGCGTTGTGAAGATCAGCCTGCGCTCGTTCAAGAATGGGCCGCAGGGCTCACTGTCGCGGAGTGGAAGGCGCAGCGGGAGGAGGCGGCCTCGGCGGACGACCCCTTGGAGGCGGCCCTGGCGGAGCAGGGCTTCCACGCGCTGCACACGCGCAGCTGAACCGCTTCAGCGGAAGCGCTTGCCGCGGATGACTTTCTGGCAGCGGGTTTGGCTTCGTGCATCTTAAGGAGCGCTAGCGGATATAATTTCTGTGTCACAGTGCTGCTGTGGCCGGTTGTGTGCCAGCAACGCAAGTAAAGAAAGAACATAAAGAAATAAATCAAGAAAGACAGAGAGACAGACAGAGAGACAGACAGAGAGATAGACAGACAGACAGACAGACAGACAGACAGACAGACAGACAGACAGACAGGCAGGCAGGCAGGCAGGCCGGCGGGCGGGCGGGCAGGCGGGCAGGCAGGCAGGCAGAAGGAAAGAAGGAAGGAAGGAAGGAAAGAAGGAAAGAAGGAAAGAAGGAAAGAAGAAAAGAAGGAAAGAACGAAAGAACGAAAGAACGAAAGAAATAAAGAAAGAAATAAAGAAAGAAAGAACTACAGAACTAAATAAAGACAAACAAAGAAAAACATAAAAAGGAAAGAAGGGAAACAAAACAAATATACAAAAATACAAGACATAAAGGACATCAATGAAAAAGCGAAGAAAGAAAACATCATCGACCGAAATACAATTAAGGAAGACAGATTAAACACAAAAACAAACAAACAAACAAACAAACAAACAAACAAACAAACAAACAAACAAACAAACAAACAAACAAACAAACAGGACAACCAAGAAAGGAAGGAAGGATGTGAATAAGTAATACATACAAAACAAACAGTCACCACAAGACAACATGACAAATGAACAAATAAATACAGAACGTAACAAAGACACCATGCAACAAAAACAACAACAATATACAGAAATCGATACACAATCACACATAGACATCTCGATAAATACATCTCGACACATGCTCAGATTAGACAAATAGATAGGTTTGATAGACAGATAGATAGGTTTGATAGATAGATAGATAGATAGATAGATAGATAGATAAACCACATACATAGACACATGGGTGCACAGATTTATAAGGGCGGGGATGGAGACCAGCAGATAAATCGACAGAGAGGCAGAGAAACAGATGTACAAAATAAATGCATGGTAGAACAAGTAAATGGACAGATACTGTAGACAAGTCACGAGGTCAATAGGCGGGGCAAATGGATAGGCAGAGATATGCGTAGATAGACATGCTACCAGTAGTACGGTAGCGTTGGGCAATTCATCTGCGTTAAGGCTCGTGGCTTGTATCAGATTTTGTTCAACAACAAGAGTCTAAAAGGCAAAGCTCCTGAATCCCCTGATGGACATGATCTCTGTTACGGATGAATCAAACCTTTCAGGCGGATTAAGGATTGTTCTCTGTTTGGATGTTTGGATGTTTGGATGGCTGGATGGATGGATGGATGGATGGATGGATGGACGGATGTATGGATGGATGGATTGCAAATTCACTGAAGGAAACGCATTCGGCCCCAAAGGACGTTCGCCTAAGGGTCTCTTGGGTTCCATGCTCTGGGAATGGACAAAACATTGGTTCTTTGCCTCGGATGTCGCCGCACAGCTGTTGAGTCAGTGAGTCCCCGAGTGCCCTTTCAACTTTATATAGGCTACTAGGAGAATACCAGGGCTCACATTCTATTCATGGTCAAACCATAAGCTTTTCCTGGATCGAGAAAAGCTTTAAGGCACCTGGGGCAAAAACTGCACTGTTGCTTTCGACCATAATCATCATAATCCAAAATGCAAAAGCCCGGGCAACAAAGCGGCTTTGAGTTCATGGGAAACTCCCAATCAGAAAGAAGAACACACGTGCCCCACTACAGGTGTAAAGGTCTGGAGGTCTCCCCCCCCCCCTTCCGCCCGCCCCCGGAAATCATGGCGTCCTCCTCGTCTCCCACGAAGTCGAAGAAGTCGGATCGCGAGATGGCCGCCGAGTTGCTCCAGGAGTAGCTCTCACAGATCGCCTCGAATTGCTCCGCCCATTCCTCGTCATCGCCTGGCAGAACGCCGTGGGGGATCGTTGTGCAGATGCGAAGCCAATTTCTTTGCTACGAGAAGGTCTCTTCAAGGGTGGGGGTTACAACCCAAGCAGTCAAAGGGAGGAACCCCGCTTTCAGGCCTCCCTTGACTTCTTTCCGGGGGCTGCACAAGTCAGTCTCAGCCTGCCCTGTCTGGGCCTATTTTAGAGAAAAACTAAGACAAAGAGAACCTGTCCATCTTTGGGGCTCTCCCCATTTAGAGACAAACAACTACGAAGAGAGGCCAAATTCACAGGAATCACAAAGTCCTGGTTTCGAGGTTGATGAGCGTGTCCCCTTCTCCAATTCCCCTTGCCCGGGTCGCTTGAGAACCACATTTAGCACAACCAGGTGCTATGGCTTCCCTCGGCAAACCAGCAGGTCGAGCTGGTCTTTTGGCTCGGGAAACCATCACCAGTTGGTCTTATGCCCATGTGACAGGTCCCAAGCTTGAGAGGCCCCCAGCTCCTAAAGTCGCTTCCCTGCAGTCTAATAATCCTGAGGGTCCTATCACTGTTGCTCTCATTTCCATTCTATACCCAATCAAGAAGCTGATGATAAAGGGTTGGGATTGCGTTGGAACTGAGGAGAAAGGGCTTGAGGACTGCATGCCGTTCTCAAGCGTTCCAACTGAGAGGTTAGATGTGACATGAGAGACTTGCAGCTTGGGCTTCAGACGCTCCCTTGGTTGTGAAATTGGATGAAACAGCTAGTGGCCATGCCTTTCAAGGAAAGCCATTCGGGCCTTCAACAGAAGGTAATATCTTATGACTCTAGTTCATTTTAAAACAAATAATAAGCTTGGACTGGTCCAACTCCTTGCAACCATCATTGCTTGAGTAACCCCCACCTCACCCCCCGGGGAAGAAAACAAAAACAGCTGTGAAAACTGGATCTTCTTCTTGGGTTGCCCTGCCAAAGTGGACAAGTATGCTTTGGCCCAGCCAATAGGTCTGAAGCACCATGTTCCTTTTTTCACCAGCACGGGTCGCCTACTTCAAGCAAATGCACATCATAGGCTTCATTGGATTTGTTCCAACGACTCCGTTCTAGAGCTGGTCAAGAGCAGGGTTGTGGGACCCGAATTGCAACAACTTCTGTGATACCAAGGTATCACAGTCCGATAACCCGTCAACACGAATCTGGGCAAATTCCTGTTGGGGCCTATGAGGCGCCCCCTATTGGGATTGGGGAATCGGCCCCTTCTGGGAGCCTTGGTCACCATATGCCACGGGAAGATTGCGCTCGGTGCTTTTTCCCCGTAAAAAAAGGCGCTCGCCTGTGAAGCCGCTGAGGCGCGCGAAGCGCAGGAGCTCATGGGAGTTCAAACCTTGGCGCGGAGGGAGGGGAGGGAAGCGTCCAAGCGCCGCCAGGTTGCCCACATTGACTGAAGGCATTCACCGCGAAGCCCGCTATGTGTCGGATACACCCGAGAATCCGAAAATATGTGGCAATTTGAGAAGTAAGTTTCCTCAGGTTGGGGGTGGTTGACGGCAGGGTTGGGCCACACCCTTGTTTTAGCATGGTTCAAATAGGGGAGAGCAGGGGAGGGAAGGAAAGGGGATGGGAGGGAGGTGAGGATGGCGGGGAGGGGTGTAAAGTCTGGAACCTAATTACTTAGTAGACAGAGGGAACGAATCCTTTCTTCAGCCCTATAGGTGAATTGTGACGGATCCACCCAAACGCCCAACGCCCAAAAGAATGCTGCTGTGCACGCAAAGCAAACATGATACCCTGTGCATTCTAAGTTGAGTGTGTGCGCGTGAAACCATTCTCTGCGGAGTAGAACTGAATGCCAGCTGGTACGTCTCAAAGTGGGAGCCCTCTGGTCATGTGGGGCTCTGTAGGAAAAGGCACATAATTAGCAGGGATCACAACTTCCAACCCTGACAAGTGTCACAAACCGAACATCAGCAATCCCGAGTAAGAGACATTCATGGCGAGCTCGTTCACGCCCCAGCTCGTTCTAATTGGCCCAACAGTTCCCGGACGACTGATTTGAGATTTGGTCCCTCAAGTAAAGGACCTACATCTTGGCTTCGCTTGTTGTTCACACGAATCGGTAAGCTTCGCAATAAATTCATAAGAAAGGCGGATATACAATTGCACACATGCTAGTCCCAAGATCGTGAGATGATTTGGTTTAACATGAGCCCCTTGCATGGGTACGACGTTTATGTGGGCTTCTGTACAACATTAACTCTCTCTCTTTTTCTTTTGGGGGGCTCCCCAATATAAAAGCATAGGCATACTAGCCCTGACCATTGGATTTCCGTGGGCAACGTCAAATCGGCACCTGTTTTAGTCGCTGCCTTTAAAGAGAACCCCCCTCCACCCACAAGTTGAACACTGTCACATTACCCCCAATTGGCGGTTTGGGTTGGTGGTTCGTTGGGGGTACCTTCCCCATTTGCTTTCAACAGGAAGGGTTGCTCAAACCACCAATGCAACCCAAATGTGGGTCTGTCTTTTTGGGGGACCCCCCCCCAAGAAAAAAACGGGGGAGTTCCTGTTGATTTCCCTGTAAAGCCACACAAAACCCCTGCTGAGCCGAGCCTTGCCCTGCGTCCAGCTTCCGAAAGATGGCGCCGATCAGCGAGGGCCGGCTCCTAGGTGGGGCAAGAGCAAGGATCTCCCGCAGAAAATCCCATAGGTTCCCTAGAAGCAGAAAACTCCGCTTGAGTCTCGGACTGTGGTATTCCAGTTTCCGGTTGGGCCAGCCTTCGTTGGGCAAGCCCTACACGTAAAGCGCAGGGTCCCGCTTCAGGAATTTACCCTTTATTGTGTTGACCCCTGATTAAACAAGCACTCTCAATAATCAAGTAATCAATGTCCTGCTCTTGCCCCTCCCCCGGTTTTCAGCGGGGCCAACAAATCCCGCCGCAATTAATTGCCCCCTTAACAAAATAACGGTCCCCTTGGCCACAAAACAATACATGAAACACATACATGTGAATTGCAAAACCTATTGCTAATACTTCTACCAATACTAATTCCCTTCATAGTCTTAAGGATTGCTTCTCCCGCAAACGGAACAAACAGCGTTGGCTGGAAACAGAAACATCATTCTTACATGTTTTTTTTGTTTTTTTCTCAAAATCAAGGTTTGGCAAGCTCGTAAATGTACCCCTCGTCAGGCCAGTGGCCAGTCCCAAATAATGCAAACCTCCCTTAGTAACCTTAGTAATCCTGGCACTCCTTTGCCCTGGGATACAAAAAGCCGGCAGGGCTCCTATTGGCCAGACAGGGAGACTGAGGACCAGAGAGGCCTGGGGGAGCTGCGCAACCTGCCCAGGCCAATACGTGGGAGAGGTCTGGGGTTCAGGGGTAAACATTACATTCCTGAAAGGATGTGAATGTTCATTCAATGTTTGTTTCAGGGAGCAGAATTGTTCACCCGAACATACCTCCCAAGGTGTTATTTGCAGTTCTATTGAACAAGGAACAAGCTGAAACCAGTGATCCATTGCTGCCAAAGAACTTTTTGTGCCCAACTCTCATACACACCCTGAGGGGGCATCACCTGAGCAGTCCAAACCAAGTGAAAGGAAGCCTGAAGGCCGCACTCAATGTAACCATGGGCACAAATTGATGGTCTGGAGTCTGGGAAAAAGTGAGACATACCCATCCCCTTTTGGTTCTAGTTTGGAAAAAATAGCAAAATATGGGTTAGAAACCGAACCGCCCGGTGCGGACGACTTTCCGAACGCATCGCCCGATGCTTGGCCAGGGCGCATGTCAGCATCCGCCTGGGGCTTGGGTGTGGTGGCTCGTTTTGCTCTGAGGCTCGGTACCCCTTTACATTTAGGTCGGTTTAGAGGAAAACCAAAGGACAACCAAAACCCATTTGTGTGCTGCTCTTATTGTGACACATAGTTTCCTGGACACCCTCACAAATGGGATCTTTCTCACTGACCTCGCTGTATTTGTCCATGTCATCACGTACAACTTCGGCTTACTAGCGCCACAATCCAATGCTGATGAACCTTGAAACTGTTTCATGTTGTTGTTTGCTGACGTTGTTTGTGTGTGGGGGTGTGTTTGCTTGTGTTACTTTGTGATTGCGTGTATTGTGTATGTGTGTATTGTGTATGTGTGTATGTGTGTATGTGTGTGTGTGTGTCTGTGTGTCTGTGTGTCTGTGTGTCTGTGTGTCTGTGTGTCTGTGTGTCTGTGTGTCTGTGTGTCTGTGTGTCTGTGTGTCTGTGTGTCTGTGTGTCTGTGTGTCTGTGTGTCTGTGTGTCTGTGTGTCTGTGTGTCTGTGTGTCTGTGTGTCTGTGTGTCTGTGTGTCTGTGTGTCTGTGTGTCTGTGTGTCTGTGTGTCTGTGTGTCTGTGTGTCTGTGTGTCTGTGTGTCTGTGTGTCTGTGTGTCTGTGTGTCTGTGTGTCTGTGTGTCTGTGTGTCTGTGTGTCTGTGTGTCTGTGTGTCTGTGTGTCTGTGTGTCTGTGTGTCTGTGTGTCTGTGTGTCTGTGTGTCTGTGTGTCTGTGTGTCTGTGTGTCTGTGTCTGTGTCTGTGTCTGTGTCTGTGTCTGTGTCTGTGTCTGTGTCTGTGTGTGTCTGTGTCTGTGTGTGTGTGTGTGTCTGTGTGTGTGTGTGTCTGTGTGTGTGTGTGTGTGTTTGTATGCTTGTGTTTGTGTTTCTGTTTGTGTTTGTGTTTGGTTTTGTCTTTGCGTGTGTAAACGTGTGTCCGTGCACGTGCGCGCTGTGCCAAATGATTGCTCCACAAGGCTGAAACCCGCCCCGAGTTCCTCTAACAACTCCAGGCCGTTTTTGGCCTGCAGCGTCCTTTCCTATTTGTGGCCCAGGCTTGCCAACCAGCCGAGTTAGAGGGTTCCATATGTTTCCTTTCAAGTACCCCCGCCAAAAAACAATGAAACTGACATTTGCAACAGTAATCCTGTTGGTTTGCCTTTCAACGCACCTAGCAAAGATACCAACTCCAAACACAGGCCCAGATGTGCTACTGTCAAAACTCCTTGCGTGAATCATGAGCCAACTTTCATATTGTAGGGTTGATGAGCATCCCTACTCATGATAACAAAACCAGAAACACAGAAATGCGGATAGCTCTAAACCAGATCTATGAGGGGGACCCAAGATAAAATAACATGGGCATGATTGACGTGGGGATGTCCCACCCTCGTGGGATCACATTTTGGGGCGGGGCCGTTGTCAAGCCATGGCTCGGCGCACCCATTGTGGGGTTGACCATGGTCAAGGCCACCAAACGAAGCAGGACAAACGGTGCCGTCATTATATGCTCCCCTGCAAATTAGCGTGGAGCCTGAAAAACCATCCATGTCTAGCAAAACTCCTTTGGCGCACCCTCGGTTTGGAAGAAGATGATATATCCCCTGGTGCATGTGGGAAAAACATGGAAATTCAGTGTGTTTCTCCTCCCTGAACCAACAATGGACTGCCCACGATATGTTCAGCTACGTTAGGAGTCAGGAGTCTCTACATACCCCTCCATTTAGTATGTCCTTCGTAAAGTGCAAACACCTTCTTAACGGAATCACTATTTGTGGTCCATCTTGCTGATATACTTTTGGAAGAACTCTATTTGCAAGAACGAAGTCTTTATCCCAACAAACATACACTGAAAGTCTGGGGGATTCACCAGCAGAACTCCCAACCCCCGGTAGTACTATAAAACATGGTATCTGTTGTGATGGTTTCCTTCTCGATGGTATCCGTTTTCACAACCCTCTGACTCTGGAAATTGATTTGCAAGCCCTCCTAACTTGATCAAGTTAATGGATATCTAAATCCAAACACTGGATGAGTTCGTCTCCAATCTGGCAACAACAAATGGCCCCCTGTTAGCTTCACTTTAAAACCAACCAAAATGGTATACCCTCAAAAAATACAGCCCAATACAAATCCTGCCAAAAAATCGTACCCAAGAAACCAACTCTCTTCATTTGCCCATGGAGATATAACAATGTGGATATGGGTGGTCACAGTAGCACGCGCAGTGAAGGCACTGCTTCACCTCATTTGCCCATCGCGGAGTATACACACCTCAACCCTACAAGCCCTACAAACCAAAAACAGGCTTCCCCCCAAAAAAACGAGCTCAAGTCATCTGCCCACCGCTCGGGGCGGCCTGTTCCCCGCCCGTGCCGCGGCGCAAAGCTTCGCCGTCCCCAGGACTTCACCGAGCTCCGTGAGACGGCGGACGAGCTGCGGCGGCTCCGACGCTGACCTCCGTAAGCTTTGGGCCCCGAAGGCGAGGGACACCGCTGCCGCTGCTGCACAACATGGACACACAACTCACCCTGGTTTTTTGGGCAATCTGGTTTTGGAACAACCTTTGGGTTCAGAACTGAGCTGGATTTGGGAGCTTGTACCCTGTATACCCCTGTGCAACCCATTTCCACTGATGTCCGCGTGTCAAGCTGGGCATTCCAGATTGGACCTGAGACAGGGAGTTGAAGCTTGAACACTATGTTGGTCCCAGCGTCCTCTTTTCAAGTGTGGTCAAGCAAAACACAAAGACAAATACACAAATAGACAAATAGACAAATAGACACACAAACAAACAAACAAACAAGCAAGCAAACAAAGGAACAAAACAATCAACAAAACAAATCAAAGGGATGCATAAATGAAACACACATGTGTCAAACCACCAGCTGCATTTTCTTGATCCATGATGCGCCCCATGACTATGAAATCTTTGCTCAAGTTCCTCGTGCGACTCGTGGACAACATACTGATTTGCCTATGGCCATGGATTCGGTGATAGACAAAATCCACTTCGCAGTTAGGATGCATGAAACTTGCTTTGGTACTGCTGCCAGTTGACGGGCGCGAAGGTGCTCCAGTACCTCGCGCAGCTCCTCGTCATCTGTGTCGTCCTCCTAACGTTCTCAAGTAGCGAGGAAGCACCTACGCGCCGCGAGGAAAAACAAAAACAACACAAATATGAAAACGTGCATGGAGCAATCATGATAATCATGAAACTTCAATCGGGCTAATGAGTAAGGGCTTATTCTTGGCTTAGGCTTATCCAGGATAGCCCCCCTCAATAGCCTCCTTAAGGGTGTAGGAGGTCCAAAAGCAACAAAACACTGTGCCGCCCACTTTCATGTAATGCCCCTTCGGAAAAAGTGGGGCTCAACCCGAAGCCAGGCTTCAACTGAAAAGCCTATTCAACAACCAGGGATTTCCCTGTTCAATAATCATCAAACCAAACAGAGTGAAAGTCCCATCAATGTTCCGACCCCAACCAAAAAACTAGAAAGCTCGAGTTTTGGCCCAAAGCCTGGCATGGCTGCAAGCCGTGGCAACCGTCCTCTTCCACAAACTCCAGGAATTGCCGCGAGGAAATGCCCGTCTGGCAGGGAGGAAGGACGGAAGGCAAAACCAGTTGGACTTCTTTGCCCCAACCGGCTGTGTTTGGCCTTCTTACGAACATCTGGATTGAATAAGGCTGGTTTGCATTGTTTGCCTGTCCTGGCCGCAACTAATTGGCCCTAATAAAGCTTCTTCAGACTCCCACCGTGAAGGATTTTTGGTGCACAAGTGAGGTGTGGCGTTCGGTCCAAAATTAGGGGTTCCCTACATGGAACCCAACAAGTCATGGTCCAGTGTGGAAGGGTAAAGCGAAGCCTTTTTTTTCGAGATTCCTTTAAGCACCCCAGCAAAAGGAAGCTCAATGGAAATTGGTGCCCGGCTTTCCTAAGATCGACTTCTCTCTTTGAACAGGCAAACAAAAAAACACAAAGGAGAAAAACAAAAAAACAAAAAGGAAAAGAAAGGAAACCCGGCTGGAAAACCGTTTGAATGCTGAGATGAACCTGTCCGGCCTGGCTCCAGCCGAAGTGGCTGCGCATGGCCTCAAACTGCTGGGCCCAATCCTCGTCGCTGCCCTCGAAACCCGTCTCCTGAGGTCGGACACACACGCTTTGACCTGTAAACCGGGCAAGCAGTGTGTGCCTTGGGAAGCAGTGTTTGGCAGAGGCAAGGTCAGCCAGAAACTGGCAAGGCCATGCAAGTCAAAGAGGGTATAGGAAACCATGCCATGCCTTGTGTGTCAAAAAGGCCCCAGGCAGGTGGGACTGCAAAAGGAAAACTACAACATAGGGGATCCTTTGGGTGAAATGGCGCAATCCCCGAAAGATGTAGGTAAGCAAAATGAGCTGACGAGCCAAAATTTCAAGGGGGGTATGCTATCTTGCCCCAGCTGTGCCACTGTTCCGGTAGGTTACCAGGGCAGCACGTAAAGCCAAGAGGTGGAAAGCCTTACCATTTCGCAATGGTCTCTGGACGCCCCAGGCGAAATGAGAGAATCACTGTAATTGGGGCTTTTGTCAGTCATCATTTGCATCGGGATTTATGTCCACCCACCGTTTTCGAGGCATGTGCCCCATTCAAATTCATGGCTTGTTGCTCGGAAAGAAGGGGCATCCCGCCACTATCAAGCGTAGCTGCGGGTCTAAACCCAGCAACATGCATGGTCAAACCTCTGCATCTGTGAGTTGTGTTTCTGGTTGCCTTACAGTTAACCCACCGCAGCCTTTATATTGTCTAAAATCTCTGATGCCCAGCCCTCACCGCAGTCCAGTGGCTGCATCGAAAGGCTTCAACTAGTCTCAGGGTTGGTGGCAAAATCTGTTTAACAACCAGATCCTTGTCCCCCGTGCTGGGAAGCTCGGCAATTCTGCGTGATACTAGTTGGAAGCTGACATCTTCTGGGAACAAGCAAGCACACTAAGTATGAATGAGCAAACGCACAGCACAACCAAATAACACTGCACAGGCAAACAAAGCACAACACAACAAAACAAAACAACATAGCACAACATGGACAAGCACAGCATGTTCAACCCGCTCAACAAACTTAACAAGCAACAGAACGCTTTCCCAAGCTCGCGCCTCTGCGTATGTTCTGATGGCCGCGGCATCGAGGGTCTGGTTGTTCTCCGGATCCAGGCAGTGAAAAATGGCGTCCACCAGGCTCCTGTTGGGAGGTCTGCTTAGGGGGACGAAGAAGTTCCCGTATGGAAATGTGTGTGCTGTTCGCAGTAGAGGGGAACCAAACGCCACTGCAGTGTTAGTGGGTGGTGGTTTGATGGGTTGCTCTATGATGGTCGGTTGATGTTTAGTAGTACTTTCTGTCTTGGGAAACATCAGGTGACTAATTGTTTAGAGTCGTGATTCTGAGTGCTTCTGGGGGGTTCTCAAAGTGGGAAAATGGGGATGATTCCTTTAACCCACCACTTCGCGGGTGATGTCGATGATGGTAAAACTATATTCACCGTCCGTGGGTGGGAGACTGCCCTTTACCAAAAACTGGGCAACGACGAGGTTTAACCGAGCCCTCCGACAAGAAAGCACGCTTCACGGTCGTAAGCCCGGAGGGGGGGCTAGGAGAGTTTCATTGTTCTAGGCCTCCCTGCAAAGACGAAAATGGAAGCGAAAAGGTTCCAGACCTGCACAGATTCTTGTGCGAAGCCCTACTGCAGCCTTCAATCCCTAGGGGTGCAGCTATCAGCTTTCTCCGCAAGGTTGCGTTGGCCAATAGGGAATTCACTGAGTTCTCCCACCAGTTGGACAAATTCGTCCGGCCAAGAATTGCAGCGGCTTCGACTCCCTTCCTTCTTTATGGAGTGGCTTGGTTTCCTTGTAAAACTGCTCAAAAGCGGGGTGCTTCTGCTTTGGCTTGCTCATAGCCTGACTTCATCCAATGAGCGTGAACAAAGTACGGACAGTCATGGAGGCTCGGGCCAACTGTGAGGCAAATTCCTGGTCATCGGGGCTAAAACTCAAATGAGCCACTATCAAAACCTCGTACTTAAATTGTCGACCCAGCAAGTAAAGAGTTTAAAGGGCGGCTGAACCTATTGAGAAGAAACTAAGGATGCGAGAGACGCTGGTTGGAGTTTGGGCTCGCTCCTGTTGGGGGTTGGGTTCTGGGTCCCAACGTTTTTCAAGGGCCTCAACAACCACCATAAAACTCAGGAATTGTCAAGTTCAGTCAGAATGACACCGCTTGTCCAAAGGTGTGCACTGATTTTGCTGTGGGTTGAGCCAAAAAGGACGGTCGCTGAGACAAAACTCAGCCAAGCCTTTCTGATCCTTCCTAGTGTGTCCATTTGCGACCAAACCAAGTTGCCAGCAAAACTAGGTTCTAACACCAAGACGTAAACCATGTTTTGGCAACTGGCAGCACTGGGCTGGCCCGAAGGTCTCTGAGCGTCACACCTGCGGGTCATTGTCGACGCATCCGGTTGCACGAAGCTCCTAGCAGAACAAAGCCAGTCGAGCTGGCGCAGGCAGCTTGGTTGTCGCGCGGCTATCCTTGAACCCTCAGCCGACTGCCACTGGTGCAATCCCTTTTTGGGCTTGACCACCTTTGGCGGGTTCCCCACCAAAAGGCTAAAAAAGGTGCCACTCAAAAACTGGGTCACATGATTCGCATGCACCGAGATATCCGTGACATACGCAAGACCAATTTACTTGATTGAAGTCAGCCGTCCTAGCAAAAGGGCAACTGGAGCATGATTAACGTGACTCTAAGAGAGGCCACGAGCCATGATGCACATGTATAGGATTTAATCCACTCGCAAGGCGGCATACTTGTGCCAATCATTCCCAGTTAGCGCATCTACTGAACTCTGAAAGTTTCCCGTGTTCTCCATACATAGAATGTCCACCATCCTCGGGAATCGTCAATTCTTGGCCCTAGCCCTACTACCCGTCAGACTGACACTCCCACCCTCAATGCGTTGTCCGATCCCCAATACAGGCATGTGTTCTTTTTTCTGGGGACCCCGATAATTGTACAGCTGTGTCAAAACCGTGAATCGTGAACTCTTCCAAATTGCTTTCTGCTCCCTTTAGACAATTTTAGACATATTCCCAAAGAGGCCCCAAATCGACACGTTCCAAATGTTTCCCTTTAAAGGTCACCTCCACCAAGTAGAAACTCACTGCAAGTGGCCCCAAAAGGTGCCCACAAAAAGGGGAATATAGGGCCCCCTGCCATTCTCCGAACCGAGGAGGGACACAGAAAGACACCCCTCCCCCCCTGGCTCCTGCGACTCCAAGACGTCGCGGACGCGCGCTTGCTAGTTCCTCGGTCACGGTTCAACCCAAAACCTGGGGAATCAAAGCTGCTCCAATTGCTTTCTTAGGGTAAGTCCATTTGCAGGGATTATGTGCACTAAAAAGCCCCCAACATCACGACAAAAATGGCTAGTTGTTCAAAACACAATAGTTGAACATCAATCATAAGCTCCTGGAGGTTTACGAAAGGACAAACAATAACAAAAACAACACCGTGATCAACCGTTGACCAAGATTCTCCGCTGTTGGAGCTGCAAGCTCAGCAGCACCCGCCGCAGCTCGTCGTCGCTGTGCTCCTCATCGTCTCCCAAGAATTCCTCGGACCGCATAAGACCTTTGGCGTGCACACCACTTTGGACCTAAAGCAGGCGCTTCACCAAGTATGTAAAACATCCTAAAGGTTCCACGCACTCCCAATGGCCTTGTTCAACTCCTGTATGCTGCCTGACTCTTTCAGCTACATACCGTCCTCGTGCCGTCCCTTTCAACCCAGCTCCTCGGTCCCGTTCCCGTCTGACGGTCTTCTGCAACGCCGGCAGTGCCATGAACGACGAACGGACTTCCGCGAAGGAACCAGAAACACGAGAAACTTCATTCTAGGTGACCAAACGAAACCTAGGAAAGGAACCCACCATTTTGGATCAAAAGAACCTAACCACTTGCCAACCATGCAGACGTCGCTTCAGAGCCCGGGCCCCCGGGCGGCAAATTGGCTCCTGGACACGAGGCCGTCTTCCCAGCCAAAGGTCTCCGCCATAGCTTGGAACTGAGATGTCCACTCCTCCTCCTGCGCGGGTCATTCACAGGCTTCCCTTTTCTGAAGACGAGTAGACCCAGGAATTGGTTTTCCTTTCAAGGACATCATCCTCAATGAGAAAAAAATGCTGGTCATTCACCTGGCGTTTTTGAGGTGAGTCCTTCTTTTCGTTTCCTGTTGGCTCCCTTTAAACAACCCTCCAAAAGACAACCAAGGGGGTCTATTAACTACAAGTGTGGTTGTGTCATTTTCCTGTGTAGGCCTCCCTCAAAGCAACCTCTAGAAAATAGCTAACAGCTTGTTTGAACAGGAAGGAAGGTTGATTCAAGCGTTAAAATGCTGAAAGGTCTTAGGTCAGTGCTGTGCAGGCGTAGGCTTGCGCTTGCGAGTGGAAGGGGCCATTCAACGACTGCTGCTTCAGCCTTCGAGGGAAGGGGGCCTTCTGAAGCAACATGTATAACCGCTTTACCCTAATAATACATGCACCCTATGGATTACTATTGTTTTTCCCAGACCCCGGGGTCTCCAATACTACTTTTGGAATAGGCCAAGTCTAAACCAATACTCAACTGGTTGATTGCTTGCCACCCGACCCAGTCGTATTAGGGGGTCCCTGAAATTGCCAACCACATACTAACCAGAATTGCAAATACCACGGCGCCCTTTCCCTTTAAAGTTTGTGCTACACCATATGACACAGTGACAATGTTGAATCTTTCCTCGGGGGGATGCTCATTTGCTATCTCCCCGTACTAGGCCCCAGTTTCCTTCAAAGTTTGTGCCACTTCCTATTTACAAAGCTACAATTTGGGCTCGTTTCAAGGGATGAGCACATGTGCTTCTCCGGGAGACCATCCGACCCCTAAGTACCTATTCATGATATCGCTTGGCCTCCAGCGATTAATAGGGGTGAGTTCACTCGCACAAAAGAAAAAGTTGAAGCTTCTTTCTGGCTTCTATGTGGTTGGTCTTGAAGCACTCTCCAGGAAACAGCCAATGGCTTGTTTGAACATGCTTGAACCACTGGTGTTCATGGACTCAACATGTTGATTTCGAACAACCTCATAATAATGAGCTGGGTGCTATTTGAGAGTCTGAACAAAAAGAAATATTTATCCCCTCAGCTTCCCCGTTCGTTGGTGGTTTCCCATATACCGTCTACAAGAACCAGGGGTTGAAATCCCCAAACCACCAATCCAGACCATCCACTAAGGGTTACTTGATGTTGAGCCTATGACGGAAACGCCGAACAAACTGAGACCTGTGCCATCTATGTGCCATCTATGTGCCACCTGACTTCCTCCTAACTTCCTCATTGCCACTTCGGCCATGGCAAAAATCGCGCGACTTTGGAACTGGGCCCCGTCCTCCCCGTCGAAGCCGGTCCTTTCAGCGAAGGCGTGCAGCTCCGACGACCCCAACCGCGACTTCCTGCGCGCGGATCGCTTGCCGTCCAACGGGGCCTGGCTCAGCTTCTCCTACGGATGGGGCAAACAGCAATGTGAGGTGTGTTTGTTTCTTCTCTCCAAGTGCAAGTCCAGAAACCGGTTTGCTTTTGTTGTAGATCGCAACCTGGCTCGGGTTAAGCGATCAGGAGGCCAGAAACTTGGGCAGTGAGTTTTGTAACCCGAATGGATCACCTGTCAGAGGTAAATGAAGCATGCCATTCCAAAAGATGTGATTTGCGATTTGGATATCCACCAAAGACCACCAACGAGCATAGCCCTCTGTTTGGACCTTGAAGCTTTCGGGGGAAGTGAGGAAAACAAAGACCAAGTTCTCACATTCAAGAGCTATTGACTGTGATCAAGCTTGTGCAAAGGACGCAGTGTCTTTTGGGAGCTCGTTGCCTAGTTGCGACCAGGGACCCAAGATTGAAATGAAAAAGCCTCTTTCGTGGTTGACCATTTGTGGGGAACCTACCAAACGAAAAGGCGAAAACGCTGGCTCTGAACAACTGCGGCTGCCTGTGCTCGTCCAGCATGGTGAAGAGGCTGTTGACCAGCTCAGATCTGCCCATCTTGTCCACCTGCGCACCAAACGCAACTTGAGCAACGGCAAATGTGCTTTTTTCAGGTTCGGCGAGTGTTTCTTTTTCCTAAGCTCCGCGGAACGGAATTGCACAATTTCACATTTTTCAGGGTTACCCTATTTTGACACATACCCACATTCTCCCTTACCATATCACCTCTGCCAAAGGAAGCTCACCATAAATGGGCCAGAACGGTGATGGTTGCCCTCTTTCCAACAATCGGGGACTGGTGGCTTCCGCAAATTGAAAGTACTCTGCAGAGTCTCCATGACCCTCAAACAAAATGGGTCCATGGCCCCTTAATTTTGAAAGTCATGACCCCATTTTTCAAGGGTCATGGAGACTCCAGGGAGTCTGAAACGCTCCGATCGGCTTTCTTCGGACTTGCTGTTGACCCTGCAAAAAGTTTTTTTTTTTTTTTTTACTTTTGGGGGGTTTGGTGGAAAACCCCCGGAAATGTCAAAACCAAAAAGCGAAAAAATATCTAAAGATCCAACTCCTCATAGAAGTCCAGTGGAGGGCTGGGGGCAAATCGAAGCCAATAGAAAGCCGCCTGCGTGAGCTGCAGGCTCCTGCGCTGCCAGGGAGCCGACACGCTGACCCGCGAGGCGCGCCGCCGGGAAAGCTGGGACACCACGTGCCTGGACCAAACCGATGGCGAGGAACTCGAGGTGTGAAGAGAACAAACCGAAGACACGGGGTGCTACTGGGCAGCTGGTTGGAGTTGGCAAGCATGGGTATCGGTTATGTATCGACTGAGTATCGGTTTGAGTATCGGTTTGAGTATCCACCGGCTCTATCCATGCCTCGTATAGCTTCTCAATAGCACAGACAGGGTGCAAGTCACAAAAACCCAAGACTACTCGAACCAATTGTCTCTTCATGGCTTCTTGGGGTACCGTTTTTCTCTCCTCAGCATCGGTTTGCAGTGGTGCGCGCCTGCAAAAGAAGCTAACAAGCGGCCCCATAACGACAAGGTGCGGCCTTGCCTGTTTTGGACCCAGATCCAACCGGCCACTGTTGGGGAGCCGACAAAAACCAGACACCGAGCGCCTGAAAAGAGGTCTTTGCTTGAGGCGGACAGCCTTCGCTTCTTTTTTGCAGGGAAAACACCCTTTTCGGCTGGGAGAAAGAAAGCCAAAAGGAAACCAGCCATTCTTGGGGTCAACATGGTCAACCAATTTTGAGACGCCCCTACGTGAAACCCCCACGCTCATAAAAACCAGCAGGAGAATCGACAGAACGTGCGCAAGATGCCCACCACACATAGGCGTCAGCAGACTTCCTGTATAATTTTCTGCAGAGGGTTTCTTAGACAAAAAGTGAATCGTGTTTGGCATATCCGGGACAGGGCGCAAAAAACGATCCTGAATCCCAACAAGTAAAGATGTTCAGCAGCTCTGAACTAAGAGCCTTTCTCAAAAGCCCGGCTACTTGGTACCTGTGTTGCCCTTCAACAAACTATGGCCTGGGAGGCTGTTAATGGCCGATGTGCCGTCATCACCTGTGTTTCAGCATAAGCCGACAAATCGAAACCAAGCTTGCGTTGTGTGAATGTTGTAAGACAACAACATGTAGCTTGGACAAATGGTAACTAAGTGTTCCGTTCCATGCGCAAGACTACGCCATTTGTCGTGGATTGACCACTGTAGTTTCCTTTGTCATGTCTACACTACGTATACCAATCATCCTCATGGGAGTGATATGACCATAGTCATTACCCTGGCCAAGTCCCCAAAACAATGCTCCAAACGTAGAGCCATCCCAAAAAAGTCAAAAGCTTGCGCAGTCTTCCAGTTAGTCTTCCAGTTTCTGCGTTCATCCTGTGTTCATTCCTCAACTGTCGGTCCCTTTGTTGTTCACACACACACACACACATGCAAGGGTCTAAGCTAATGCGGGCGATGTTTCCCTCTGGGGCAAAGATCGGAAAGTGCTGCCTACAATAATAAATGTCGGGGTGAACATTTAGCAAATCCAGCAAAAATTGGCCATCCTCTCCCTGCTCTGCCTTGCCGGGTGGGATTGGTAGCGTGCAGGTAGAGGGAGGGAGAGAGAAAGACAAGGGCTTGTTTCAAATTAAGGGGACCCTCCAACCTGTTGGAAACCTAGCCCAAAAACTCCCCCCACCCCGACCCCCCCAAAAAAAGAAAGAAACAAAAGGAAACGGGTCCAAAGGGCAGCAAACCACACAAGTAGGAGCATGTTGGGCATCAGCTCTGATCAGTGATGGAGCAATATGTCGATGTTAGTTCACACTGCAGGTAGGCAAGCGTGGGCCCGCAACATAGATGAACGAGGCAGGAACACCACCACAAAAGCAACACCAAAGCAATGTGCGTGTGGCCACCAGGTAAAGCTGCTCAGATGTTTCTCGTAAGCGCTCAAACAGAGTGAAGGTTATTGATGGTGGCCTGGCTTCACCCCAAATAGGTCCAAGCAAATGACCGCTTACAATTTGTTGAGGGTGGGTGGCACAAGTCCCGATTTTGCTTTCGTCATCCCCTTTACTTACCCACATGAGGGAAATTGTGCCATTTACTTTCACCCTGGTGCGATTACTTTGGCCTCTTCTGGCACTCTTGGATCGCTTTTTCCAGAAACACCTTGATGTTGCAGTATGTGAACCTGTGCACCAAATGTTTCATTCCTCCCCTCCAATATCACACAGCGTGCCAAAGGGCTTTTTAGGTACTCCGAGTCCATTTTAGTGGAGAGGGGGACCCCCTCAGCGTGGGTATTTTCCATGTGAAATGAGTGTTTTTCCGAATTGGGGAGTTGTGTGCAGTTATGTGTGTATATATCCTCTGACCGCGATCTGCGCTGCAACTTTGGCCAGCTAGAAAGCATCTCATCCATCTGCATCCTGCACTGAGTCGTCCCACCCTCCACTCTGGGCTAAGATGGCACTTGCAGCAGAAGACATGACCTACGAGGATCTCAAGGAGATCGTGGATGTAAATCTTCTGGCAAGCTTCGTATGTTAAACGAAACTTTTCATCTGAACTTTGTCCTGTCATCACCTTATTACCTGCAACTTTGAGAGGCCCTGCTCCTACATCTGCCCAACTGACAAGCTGGTAACCTTCTTCAGCTGCCTGAACTTAAGCAGCTTTCAGCTCCTACCTGATCTCAGTCCACCTCTTTCTGTCGTCCCAACTGGCACCTTTGAGCTCATCTGCAGAGAAGACCAACTTCTTGCTTGGATCTTTGGCCCAAAGTGGGACTTGATCACTCGTGCCGATTACCAGTGAGGATCGTTTCTTAACTATCATCTCTGCATCTGCAACCAAATGTGCATCTTCAATCTCAGCAACTGGAGCAAGCACCTAGATGCCAGAGCTTTCTGTCAATATCCTGGAAGGCTGGGCCCGCGCCTGTTCTTCAACTGGTGCCAGGCGAGTAGTCTGATCTTTGCTCAAGTAAGCTGCACCTAGCCATTGGATCAGCTTCTCTACATAAGAAGCTGCATACTTTGAGCTCTGCTGGAGCTTGGTCTTTCTCTGTAGGGCACAGTCAGCTTCTTTCAGCCAAGCTTTCCTTTGCATCTCATTTCTGCAAAGCTCTGCCCTGACCATGCATCTCTCTGCCCTTGCAACCAGAAGGGCAAAGAACTCTTTCAGCAGCTCATTCTTTGAAACGTTGTGGCTATAACTCCTTTCTTTCTGCAACCACTTGCCAAGTTGAGAGATCTCTCTGCTAAACTCTCTCTTTCTCCCTCCACTAGCTGCTCTGGCAAACCTCTTCTGCAATCTTCCAGCCTCTGTGTGCTCATCTTGAACTTTCTCCTTGCAACTGCCCAAGCTTCTGCTTCTGAGGCTGAGACTCTTCCAGAATCATTTGAATCTCTTCACTAAGCTTCATCTTCTGAAAGGCAAAAAGCTCTTGCTTCCTGGAAGGATCTGTCTCCTTCTTCCTGTTGCTTAACTGCCCACCTGCAGTTCCTCTACGCTCTTCCAGAACTGGAGGCCTGCCACCTTGTCTGCCTGTTACAGCTTCTTCTGGGTCTTCTTTCTCCAGCTCTGCTAGCTTCTGGAGGTAAGCTGACATCACTAGTGCAGCTTCTTTCTGCAGCTTGCTCTGCTGCTGCCTCTGGTATGGAACTACCCTGTTAGATAGCACAGGCTCTATCTCCTTGGCTTGCTGCTCTGGTGTTCCAAAAAACTTCTTTACGCTGAACTGTTTCTTCTCTAAGCTAGCTGGGCTGGGGCTGGGCGCAAGCTGGCTGGAAGCTAAGGACTCTGTCGGGCTTGCTGTCACCTGAAGCTGTGTTGTCGGGCTGGCCACACCTTTGGTTTTCTTGTTGTTTGGTGTTTGAAAGCCTTCTAAGCTCTTTCTTGCAAAGCTGTCCTGTGTTGAAGCTTTTGCTGCAGGCAGCCTTAGAAACATCGAGAAATCAAAAGAAGGTGTCCAAAATCAAAAAAAACATTGAGAATTCGAAAGAAACCATCCAAAATCAAAAAAAACATCGAGAAATCGAAAGATTTTGTCCAAAACCGAAAGAAACCTCGAGAAATCGAAAAAAACCAAAAAAAACAATCTGGCCAACAGAATGTTTACATGATACCAGAACATTGTCCCAGAATCTTTGGTTTTTTTTGGTTTTTTTCGATTTCTCGAGGTTTTTTTTGGTTTTGGACAAAATCTTTCGATTTCTCGATGTTTTTTTTCGGTTTTGGGACAGGAGCCTGACATCTGCAAGGGGGGTAAGGTGGAGAACTGTTTGCATGATACCAGCACATTGTCCCAGAATCTTTCGATTTCTCGATGTTTTTTTCGGTTTTGGACAGGAGCCTGACATCTGCAAGGGGGGGGTAAGGTGGAGAACTGTTTGCATGATACCAGCACATTGTCCCAGAATCCTTTTTTTTCCCTCGGTTTTGGCCAGAATGCAGCAAAATTAGGTGTGTGCAAAAACCCAACGCTCACAGGGTCCCTTTCTGTTTTAGTGAGCCCTCCAGGGTCCAGCTCCGCCTGAGCTCATCATCATCCATGTCCTCATCGTCCTCCACTAGCTCCGCAAACTGCGTCTTGGACACGCCCTGCCCCTGGTGAGTCAACCGGGGAGTTTTACACCGCCCATGTTCTTTTTTGGTGGTTTTGTTTCTTTTGGGTGGGGGGGGGGGGCTCAGCAAAAACCACCGTTGGTGTCCCCCCCAAGAAAAATTGAAAACATTATATATCCGTAGCTAAACCTCACTGCAAGCACACTGAAGATGGTTCACTTTAAGCAACTTGAATACAAATCCTTTAGTTTACAGCAAAAACACGCTTAAAGAGTACAATAGCCCACAACAAGACAAACTTCACACCTCTGGTTCAACAATTGGCATTGGCGAACTGTTCCTTGAGTTTTCCAGTTGAAGAAACATGAAATAGGGGTACCTCCTTATAACAGATGAGCCCAGCCCCCCCATCTTGATCAGTTGGTTGCCCCTCGTTAAGGACCCTGCTCCATCCCCAGTCCAACTTGATTGAGCACTGATTAATCTGCAACACTTACCCTCTTTGGAACACTCAAGTGGGCGCTCACTTGCTTCAAGGATCTGGGAATTCAAGGTCAACCTTGTAGAATCTTGACAAAAATGAACCAACGGGCAAAAAGATCCTCCAACTTGTCCCTCCCTTTGGTGAGCTTCTGATGGGCCTCATAAACACTCAAATACAAGGCCTCCGATCCAAACATTGGCATGCAAACCACCAAGGTTGGGCCAACTCCTTGTTGAATTCTGAATTAGGAGACTCCCAGCTAAAGCGCCTACACGGCTTCCACTCGTTTTATCCCGAATCGGAATCGCTCGAAACCGGAGTCGCCTGCTCCCACCCAAAGTGGCCGCACATCGCCGCAAACTGCTCTTCCCAGTCTTCGCTGCTGCCCTCAAAGCCGGTCTGCTCCGCAAAGGTCCTGCAGTTCCCCCCCCTCCGACCTGACTCAGCCGAAATGCTTCAAGCAGCTCAGGTGATATCCCCAGCATGAGGCGTGACCGGTCACAAAGCTTGATCTGGTCAGACAGCTTGACATAACTAATCCCCAAGAAGCAGTTACTGTTTTGATCAACAGAGAATTGGGGCCTTCAAAGTTCAGGTAGTTTGCTTGGGAACATTTACAAAAATGTTGATGTCTGTCAGGGTGGCCTTTTGCTATAAACACGTCAGTATGTGAGCCACGGCCGATATTCATTGTGTCCTCCTGCGACATGTCCTTTACAATAATTAACGGTAGATAGACGTTGCTCACATGTTGACCAGACTTAGACCCCCTGCATGCGCTTTTTTGCGGGTTGAAAGGAACAGAAAAGAAATTCGAAGAGAAAACAGGCAAGAAGGTCTTTTTAGGCTTGGCAGTGCTTTCTGTATGTGTATGTGCGAGCACAAGGGCTTCCTTTTGCAGAGAACAAGCGAGTACATGAGCAGCTGACAAAAGACGATGCCCTGGCAATAGTGCCCCATACCCTGAACATATTGTCCTATACCCTGACATTTGGGCATGTCTCGAATTTCAAAAATCCAAATAAAGGACAAGAAACAACAACATATATGCGGAGTTCGTGTCATCTCCCTTTACCCTACAAAGGGTTCCCTCCCACTTCGGCAGGCAGTCACTTCAAGATTCCTCGCCTCTCCTGGTGCCTTCCCCTCAACTCAAAAACGGGCCAACACACTGTGGATGGAACGCATCCGGCGCCGAACAGAAATAGCTTACCCTCAGCAAATATTAACGGTGTTTCATCCATCCCAACTGGGGAAGGATGCTTGTCCATCCACTCCAGTGCTTCCAGTTGCCGCTAGAGTAGGTAACCAAAGGACCTACAACTAGGTCCTCCAGTCGAGAGGTTAGAATAAGGGTAGCCTTTTTTTTCTGCAGTCTATTTTAGTAGGGGAACCGAATCTCCCCCTAAAAAAGAAACGGGAAAAAGGGCACTACTGGGGGCCCTAGACCAAGTGGAACCTGGAAGCAGCCGCTCCTGATGGCGCCGGCATCCAGCTCTTGCCGGTGTTGGCTGTCCAGCAAAGCGAAGCCGGCGTCGATCAACTCCTGCGGCGGTTTTTTTTGCGTTTGAGTGGGTCCCTCTCTGTGATTCCCTATGTTGCCCGATGTATTCATTTCCCTATGTTTATCAACGTCTCCTGATATTTCTCGGCTCTGAAGTGCTCTTTCGGGAGCCGATGGACGTCCCGAAAACCAAGTGAAAGTTCAATGGCCTTGCTTGAAATGTGTCTCTCACAACTCCCATATACCAACAAGCCTTTGGGGCCCAGCGTGGGGAACACGGCACAACTTGTTGGGTTGATGTTGAAAGGGACATCTTTGTAAAATAAGAGAAAGAGGTTGCACATGTGCCACGGCATCAAAAATTGGCCCAAAGGAAATATAGGGACTGTTGGCTTCGACGGGCCCGGCACGGAGGAGTTTTGCAATCCACCCATCACTAGACGTTGGTCCTAGCGTTCCAGGCTCTCAAGTGAGTCTTGCTTGAGCCCACTGGAACAGAGTCTGCCCTGCGATTGGCAAGCCTCTGATTGGGGGGATCGAAAAGGGCAATAGTGAAAGGCAAAGCCCGCGTTGAATCACTTCGAACAGTCATGGGCTGATTGTATGGGCTTATAGCTATTGTGGATCCATAGCCATGCCAAAACAAATGCTGAACTTACCTTTCCGGGGGTTCTTAACAAATGGTGTAACACCAACAAGAACGGCCGGCCTCAAGGGGTTGTACACGAATTCATACATGCAGCGTTTCACACATGCCCCCATTTGCCCACCTGCGATCAAGGCGCTCACAAGTGAAGTTAGTGAAGTTAGTGAAGTTCAAAGCTAAGCTGTCGTTCCCCCACCCTTGGAAAACAAATCCAAATTATGGGTGCTGCCTTGCAAAATAACATGGAACACCAAAAACTGGGTCCCCAAAAGCCTGAAAGATGGTAACAAACAGTCCTTGCCAAACGGTGAATGGTTAAGACCACCAGGCAAATGGGAGTAGCGCCGCTTTTAAATCATCTTTCCCCAACTGAGGCGGACAAAACAACTTTTCAGAAGGAGCCCCCCCCCCCCTCGCACCTGGCGGCTCATCTTGGCCAGGTCCTCATCACCCAATCGCCGGCTCCAGGTGTGGCCCGGCAGGACCTATGACGGCGTGGGGTTTGTCGCTTTGTCCATGTGGCTTTGCCCTTGCGCAAAATGGGTATGAATCAAAATTAAATTAGTATGTGGATGCTTTTATGAGATTGTGCGACGGATTGGGCAGCGAGATGGGGCACGAGAGCCCTTGCCGCATGTCTCCATCTTTCGGGCTCGCCAGCATGCTGCCGGCCAACTTGTGTGAGGATGTTCGGGATGCCAGGGCCAAGCTGCTGGTGATGCATACCCTCAACAATGGTGCTGCGGAGGCCGTAAACTCCAAAGTGAGATCATCTTTGCTGACGCTGGTATTCGCCGGGAGCTTGAGATTCTTGAGCACTCCTGTTGCGCAGCAATTACAAGCCTGCGGGCTGACCCGACGCTTCACCCCGCGATGCTCCGCACAGCACTTCTCCCAATCGACACTTTCGTGCGTTGGAGCACGTTGAGCAAGTCGTCATGTCGCGCCTATTAGCGGAACTGCAGGACCTGCGCAAGCCACCAGGGGACCGCAGGTTTTAGTCCATTTTCCCATTTACCAGGGTTCCATTAGGGCAGGTAAAGATCCATCCAAATGGCAGCTTCTGGTTGTTGATGGGCGACCGGGGTGGTTTCAATACCTGTGGTTGAGAATTTAGAACAAGTTTCAGCGCACATGACCCTGTTTGAGTCTCGGGACCACAGCTGTTTAAACATCAACTTCTAGACGGAGAAACATTACACCTGAGCCCAGCAATGCGATGCGAGCGATAGGAATACCATTAGAGAGGACAAAGCTCCGGGGCGGAAGTTTCAAAATATAAGAACTACAGTGATCCTCAATGCTTTCTTTCCCTTCACCTTTCCTTCTTTATTGATTTCATTATTTCTTTCGTTTTCTCTTTCTGTCTTCTTGTATTTGTTTGTTCTTTCCTTCCTTCCTTCCTTCCTTCTTTCCTTCCTTCCTTCCTTCCTTCCTTCCTTTCTCTCTCTCTCTCTTTTTCTCCTTTTTTGTTTCTTCTATCTTCTTGTTCTTTCCCTTCTTCCTTCCTTCTTTCTATCCTTCCGTGTCTCTTCCTCTTCCTATCCTACTATGCTCATTTTACCCTATTCTGTTCTATCCTAGTCTGTCTATCTGCCTTCCTGCTTGTCTGTCTCTCTTCGTCTTTCTATACATCTTATGTATCTGAACCGTCTCGCCTGTGTAATGTAATCTAAGCTCATCTCATCCAATCTCAGCTAACTTATCTGTCTATGTGTTTATCTATCTATCTACCGACCCACCTCTCTCTCTCTATCCATGTACGCTAACCTACTCTAACCAATCTAACTAACTGTTTCATCTAGCAATCTAGCAATCTAGCAATCTAGCTATCTGCCTATTTATCTCTTCATGTTTCTATCGCTGCGCCTGCCACGACATTGCGAAAGTGCTGCACCCGCCACAACATCTGCACCTGATCATGCGCACGCGCTGCGCCTGCCCCGAAATCTGTTGCTCACCGCCGCGTGCCACGGAATCGGTACTTGGCCTCGCGACAGACAGGCGTGCCACGATATCCGCGCTGCGCCTGCCACGCAATCTGCACCTGACCTTGCGAAAGTGTTGCGCCTGTCACGCACACCAATCTCGATCACTTCGATTGCGGTCCGAGCCCCTTCCGCAACCCGCAGAGGGCTGCACGTCTCAGACATTCCTGTTCCCCTGCCACACGTGCATGGTTGCTCTGCGTGTGCTTCTTCTTCTCTTGTCTTCTGTCACAGATGTAGCTTTCAGTTAGTTGCCGTGCCACGGAAGTTCCTCCTAAGCTTCCTTTCCTTATTCAGGCCCCACTCTCGCTTGAAATTACACAGTAACTTGGGCAGAACGAGATATAGATCCCCTTTGAAAGCCATCAGCCGAAAGGGTCCGTTGCCGGCTTTAACACAGACCAATACATGAGCAGCACCCACAAGGCCATGTAAGTCGGTAGTTCCCTTCCTGGCTGGTTTCCCGGGCGTGATAGTGTCCATTGAGAAGAGGGTATCGGTTGTTTGCTGTGAGCAGCGCCCATCACACCCATCTTTTGGTTCTACCAACATTTCTTCCCAGGAATAGAAAACCAACAGGGCTTACTGCCAATGTTCTACCCGCTGGACGTTGTGAGCTTTGAAGGTTTTCCGGGAGCCCTAGGAGCTTTGAGGTGTCACTGGCCTTGGTAGTGGGAACACAGGCTTCATCCCCCTTGTTGATCGATCAGGAGTGTCCCTCTTTAGAGATCGGAATGCACCCATGAATCCACCAGGATTTGTTCAAACCAGTATTTGTTTCAACCTCCTGGTGCTTTCCCTTTAAAGGGGCAGCCAGGCTCTGCTTCTTGACGCCTCCTTTGTCCCACTAACCCTTTACAGCGCTGCCCGCTTCCCGCCTGCGACTGAACCGAGACCCGCCGGCTCGTCCTGGCGCAGTGGGGAGGGATCCAAGCGACCGCTTGACCCCGTGGCGCAAGGCGCCCACGAATGCCACCAATACCGATACCAATACCCCTTGAAGAATCGGTAAATCACAGGCGCTTTGGTCAGTTGACAAGAGTAGGCGCTCAATGTGTGAAACTACGCTCTACAGTTGGACGAAAAATCGAGAGGGTGAAAGAAGATGGCACAACTCCCGCAGTTGGGGTTAGTCGGTTAGTCATCCTTTTTACCCGACCAAATAAAACCAAACCAAAAAACCAAAACCCTACCCTGCTCTACCACACCAACCAAGCGCCACACAAACACGACGTAAACTGGTTGACTGGGTCCTCCTCAGCTGCATCAAGGCATGCCGCAAGATGGCCGTGCTATTCTGCGCCTCCGAGCCCACTAAGTCCTTGAACCTGAGCAACTCATCTGGATCGGCTCTGCTTTGCGAGGCTCCACGCGCCTTATTCGGGGCTTGTAGGGAAACCGCCTGGAATCTGAAGTCCCCCAAGACGGGGTGCCCTTAGTTTGACACATGCCCATCTCATCCCAGTTGCAACCAGTGACCTGGTCGGCAGAACAAGGATTGGAACTTTGGAACTGGGAACCAGGGCCAGGACCATGTCTTCGGAACCCACCAAACCAAAGGGATACAAGAGGGAGTGTGTCCGGCTACAACAATAGACCTCTCTTTGGATGGTTTGCGGGCCAATGCTCCAAAGCACCTGGATGTCACAAAGAAACAACAGGACCCCTCATCGAATTGTGTGCAATGTAAAGCCCAGAGGGTACCCATCATGTGTGTGTGTGGCCGCTCTTAGTTGCTTGGTTGGGGAAGCACCTATACAAATACTTTACGGGCTGACAAGATGATTCCTGTTTGGTTTTACTTACTACCCGCTTCAACATGAATATAGTGACGGACATACACTTAGAAACAGTTTTGGTTTCCAAAATTTCCGACAAACACTTAGAAACGGAAAAAATAAAAACAGTAAATTCAACACTTAGAAACGGTTCGGCCGACCAACACTTAGAAACGTTTTCTTCGCCTTTATTGCGATTCTGATGCATATTACCAGCCGTCAAAAACTTAGAAACGTTTCTAAGTGTTGCCCGAGAGGTACCTGCGGCTTCTAAGCATTGGTCACGGGCGTTTCCCCGAGAGAGAAAAGAGCCGACCATGCAAGAAAAAAAACAGCGGAACTAACTATATATATATACACAATGAATCAGGCACACAGCACACATGATAGACTTAAGAGATCTTCGGGCAGCCAGACAAAAGACAACCTACAAATCACGAAAAAACAACGATTTTACCAAAAAAAGGATAAACAAATGACGAGATGATGAAAGAATGATGAACCAATATGAGCACAGTATGCAAATGATGAAACAATGAACAATGATAAACAAATTATGATTTGCTGGCATTTTTTGTTTTCAGAACTTCCCATGAACATCATCTGTTTTTCATCATGTGTTCATCCCTCCCTTGTTTCAACAGAAAACAACAGGAAAAAACCGCGCGACACCGTGGACAATAATGAAACAAATCATAAGGTTAATGAAACGGTTTCGTGGGGTTGCCGGAAGCTTGAAATCAGCTGGGGGCGAACAAATAGAAACGGTTTTTTCAACCCGCTTCTTTTTTCAGAATCTACCAATTGGACTTGTTTGTGGGTATACATGACCAATACTCCATACATGTCAGCACTGTGTGAGCAAGGCATGATCTACTTACACAAACACACATATATTTATATATGTACAGACCTTCGTCATGGGGGGATCGCTGCTTTCTTGGGGTTGCCGGAAGCTTGAAATCAGCTGGGGGTGAACACTTAGAAACGCCTCCCCCAACCCCCCCCCCTCAGAGTCTACCAATTGGACTTGTTTGTGGGTATACATGACCAATACTCCATACATGTCAGCACTGTGTGAGCAAGGCATGATCTACTTACACAAATGTATATATATATATATAGACCTTCATCCTGGGAGCATTGGTGCTTTCTTGGGGTTGCCGGAGGCTTGAAATCAGCTGGGGGTGAACACTTAGAAACGCCTCCCCCAACCCCCCCCCCCTGAGAGTCTACCAATTGGACTTGTTTGTGGGTATACATGACCAATACTCCATACATGTCAGCACTGTGTGAGCAAGGCATGATCTACTTACACAAACACACACATATTTTTTTTATCTTTATATAGACCTTCATCCTGGGAGCATCGGTGCTTTCTTGGGGTTGCCGGAAGCTTGAAATCAGCTGGGGGTGAACACAGAAACGCCTCCCCGAACCCCCGTGACCAGTACTCCATACATGTCAGCACTGTGTGAGCAAGGCATGATCTACTACACACACACACACACATATTTATACATGTACAGACCTTCGTCATGGGGGATCGCTGCTTTCTTGGGGTTGCCGGAAGCTTGAAATCAGCTGGGGGTGAACACTTAGAAACGCCTCCCCCAACCCCTCCCCAGAGTCTACCAATTGGACTTGTTTGTGTGTATACATGACCAATACTCCAGACATGTCAGCACTGTGTGAGCAAGGCATGATCTACTTACACACACATATTTATATATATACATATATTTTTCTCGGGGCATCGGTGCTTTCTTGGGGTTGCCGGAGGCTTGAAATCAGCTGGGGGTGAACACAGAAACGCCTCCCCGAACCCCCGTGACCAGTACTCCATACATGTCAGCACTGTGTGAGCAAGGCATGATCTACTTACACAAACACACACACACACACATATATTTATACATGTACAGACCTTCGTCATGGGGGGATCGCTGCTTTCTTGGGGTTGCCGGAAGCTTGAAATCAGCTGGGGGTGAACACTTAGAAACGCCTCCCCCAACCCCCCCCCCCCAGAGTCTACCAATTTGACTTGTTTGTGGGTATACATGACCAATACTCCATACATGTCAGCACTGTGTGAGCAAGGCATGATCTACTTACACAAACACACACATATTTATATATATATATAGACCTTCATCCTGGGAGCATCGGTGCTTTCTTGGGGTTGCCGGAGGCTTGAAATCAGCTGGGGGTGAACACTTAGAAACGCCTCCCCGAACCCCCGTGACCAGTTCTCCATACATGTCAGCACTGTGTGAGCAAGGCATGATCTACTTACACAAACACACACACATATATTTATACATGTACAGACCTTCGTGTGGGGGGATCGCTGTTTTCTTGGGGTTGCCGGAAGCTTGAAATCAGCTGGGGGTGAACACTTAGAAACGCCTCCCCCAACCCCCCCCCCCCAGAGTCTACCAATTGGACTTGTTTGTGGGTATACATGACCAATACTCCATACATGTCAGCACTGTGTGAGCAAGGCATGATCTACTTACACAAACACACACATATTTATATATATATATAGACCTTCATCCTGGGAGCATCGGTGCTTTCTTGGGGTTGCCGGAGGCTTGAAATCAGCTGGGGGTGAACACAGAAACAGCGCATTCGGCATCAACAGAAAAGGCGAGAAGGCATCGCCAAAAACACTGTGGGTGAGCAAGGCATGAATCTACTTACACAAACACAACATCACACACACAGCACACCATAATTAAACATGTAACAAAGCTTCGTCATGGGGGATCGCTGCTTTCTTGGGGTTGCCGGAAGCTTGAAATCAGCTGGGGGTGAACACTTAGAAACGCCTCCCCCCCCCCAACCCCTCCCCAGAGTCTACCAATTGGACTTGTTTGTGTGTGTACATGACCAATCCTCCAGACATGTCAGCACTGTGTGAGCAAGGCATGATCTACTTACACACACATATTTATATATATATATATATATATAGATATATTTTTCTCGGGGCATCGGTGCTTTCTTGGGGTTGCCGGAGGCTTGAAATCAGCTGGGCGTGAACCACACCCCGTCCCCAGATTCTACCAATGGGGCTTGTCTGTGCATGCGCATGACCAATACTACATATATGTCAGTGCGTGTGTGAGCAAGGCATGATGTATTTACATACACGCATACGTACGGAAGCCTGAAATCAGCCGGGCGGTGAATACTTAGAAACACCCCCCCCCCCCCGCCCGGATTCAACCACTTGGGCTTGTACGTGTGTATATATTACATGACCAATACTCCATGTAGGTCAGCACCTATGTGAGCAAGGCATGATCTACTTACATACACATATGTATATAATTATATATATATATATATCTTCGTCCCCGGGGCATCGGTGTTTTCTTTAGGGTTGCCGGAAGCTTGGAAGATTGAAATTAGTTGGGCGGTGAACACTTAGAAACGCCTCCCCCAACAGAGTCTACCAATTGGACTTGTTTGTGTGTATACATGACCAATACTCCATTCATGTCAGCACTGTGTCAGCAAGGCATGATCTACTTACACACACACATATATATATATACACATCCTGGGGGCATCGGTGCTTTCTTGGGGTTGCCGGAAGCTTGAAATCAGCCTGGGTGAACACTTAGAAACGCCTCCCCCAACACCCCCACCCCAGAGTCTACCAATATACATGATCAATCCTCCCCACATGTCAACACTTCCTTGGGGTTGCCGGAAGCTTGACATCAGCTGGGAGGAAACGCCTCCCCCAACCCCCCCCCCAGAGTATAGTAATTGGACTTGTTTGTGTATACATGACCAATACTCCACACATGTCAGCACGTGTGTGAGCAAGGCATGATCTACTTACACAAACACACACACACATATATATTTATACATGTGCAGACCTTCGTCATGGGGGGATCGCTGCTTTCTTGGGGTTTGCTTTGCGGAAGACTTGAAATAATCCAGCACCGGGTGAACAACTTAGAAACCCCTCCCCCAACCCCCCCCCCCCAGAGTTCTACACATGAAACAAATACTCCATACATGTCACACTCGTGAGCAAGGCATGATTCTACTTCACAAACACACCCACATAATTAACATGTACAGAACCTTCGCATGGGGGGATCGCTGCTTTCTTGGGGTTGCCGAAGGCTTTGAAAATCTAGCGTGGGGTGAACACTTGGAAACAGCCTCCCCCAAACCCCTCCCCACAGTCTACCAATTGGAACCGTGTTTGTGGGTGTACAATGACCAGTACTCCATACATGTCAGCACTGTGTGAGCAAGGCATGATCTACTTACACAAACACACACACATATTTATACATGTACAGACCTTCGTCATGGGGGGATCGCTGCTTTCTTGGGGCTTGAAATCAGCTGGGGGGTGAACACTTAGAAACGCCTCCCCCAACCCCTCCCCAGAGTCTACCAATTGGACTTGTTTGTGTGTATACATGACCAATCCTCCAGACATGTCAGCACTGTGTAAGCAAGGCATGATCTACTTACACACACATATTTATATATATATATAGACATATTTTTCTCGGGACATCGGTTGCCGGAGGTTTGAAATCAGCTGGGCGTGAACCACACCCCCCGCCCCAGATTCTACCAATGGGGCTTGTCTGTGCATGCGCATGACCAATACTCCATATATGTCAGTGCGTGTGTGAGCAAGGCATGATGTATTTACATACACGGAAGCCTGAAATCAGCCGGGCGGTGAATACTTAGAAACAGCCCCCCCCCCCCGCCCGGATTCAACCACTTGGGCTTGTACGCCCCCCCAGACTACCAATTGGACTTGTTTGTGTGTATACATGACCAATACTCCACACATGTCAGCAGGTGTGTGAGCAAGGCATGATCTACTTACACAAACGCACACACGCACACGTTTATACATATGTGTATATATGGGCCTTCATCCTGGGAGCATCGGTGCTTTCTTGGGGTTGCCGGAAGCTTGAAATCAGCTGGGGGTGAACACTTAGAAACGCCTCCCCCAACCCCCCGCCACCCCCCCCCCCAAGAGTCTACCAATTGGACTTGTTTGTGTGTATACATGAACAATACTTCATACATGTCAGCACGTGTGTGAGCAAGGCATGATCTACTTACAAAAACACACAAACACACACATAGTTATATATATATATATATAGACGTTCGTCATGGGGGCATCGCTGCTTTCTTGGGGTTGCCGGAAGCTTGAAATCAGCTGAGGGTGAACACTTAGAAACGCCTCCCCCAACCCCCCCCCCCCAGAGTCTACCAATTGGACTTGTTTGTGTGTACACATGACCAGTGCTCCATACATGTCAGCACTGTGTGAGCAAGGCATGATCTACTTACACAAACGCACACATATTTCTTTGTATATATATATATACCTTCGTCATGGGGGCATCGGTGCTTTCTTGGGGTTGCCGGAAGCTTGAAATCCGCTGGGGGTGAACACTTAGAAACGCCTCCCCCAACCCCCCCCCCCTTTTCAGAGTCTACCAACTGGACTTGCTTGTGTGTTTTCATGACCAATCCTCCATACATGTCAGCACGTGTGTGAGCAAGGCATGATCTACTTACACAAACACACACATATCTATATAAATATATATATATATATATATATATATAGACCTTCGTCATGGGGGGATCGCTGTTTTCTTGGGGTTGCCGGAAGCTTGAAATCAGCTGGGGGTGAACACTTAGAAACGCCCCCCACCCTCCCCCCCCGCCCCAGATTCTACCAATGGGGCTTGTCTGTGTATGTGCATGACCAAAAATTCCTATATGTCAGTGCGTTTGCGAGCAAGGCATGATTTACTTACATACAACACATACTTACATATATATATATATGTATATATATATATATGTATATAGATAGACCTTCCTCCTCGGGGCATCGGTGCTTTCTTGGGGTTGCCGGAAGCTTGAAATCCGCTGGGGGTGAACACTTAGAAACGCCTCCCCCAACCCCCCCGCCCAAGAGTCGACCAATTGGACTTGTTTGTGTGTATACATGACCAATCCTCCATACATGTCAGCACGTGTGTGAGCAAGGTGGGGCCATCAAACAAGGCGTGAAACATATGAACGATCATAAACAGCTGTTGGGCTAGTGCTGCAAACCGTTTCTAAGTGTTGAAAACAGTTTCTAAGTGTTGAAAACCATTTCTAAGTGTTGAATTGGGTTGTAGCAGTCCGGATCAACACTTAGAAACGAAAGGTACCTGCTGGGGACAGCACTTAGAAACGAAAAAAGTACCTGGCGCCAAAAGAAAATGTCCAAAACCGTTTCTAAGTGTATGTCCGTCACTATAATTGCAGCCCGCACTAAGAGATAAGCAAAAGGATTGAATCTGCAGAATCGAAGAACTCAAAGAACTCAAAGAACCTGCCAGGAACAACTAACCCTTCCTGCAATCGGGTCTCTGTCCACTTTTGTGATTGACAAGGCGACCCAACAACTCATATCATGTGCGGACACCACGGCTTGTTCCTTGTGGAAGCTGTGGGACGCATGAGCAGGGGGCCCTTAAACAAGTGAGACTCACATGTTTTGGCGCCTTTCCATGCAAGCGCTGACTGCCATCAAAGCCTTCGGTACTTAGCAGCATGCAGCAGTCAAATTCAACGACCAGATCAACGAGTTGACCTCTGCTTCCAAAAATAATCGAGGCGGAGAAGGCAGCCTTCAACAACCTTTCGGCGAGTTGAGCTGCAAACGGTTCCTCTCCTACTGTGGATTGTTTCAACCATCCCACTAGTGCAGGATTTTGCGCACCTATATCCAACTTGTTTCTACCAAGTCCCATCGACGTGCATCCAAGACACTCTTCGAAGGTCACTGTCCCATGGACCTGTCAGACTTGTGGAAACCATGCAATTCCTCATGGGGTCTTGTCCTCTTCATCCAACTAGTTCACATCCCAGGATCGAGCAAGTTCACGTAGCATCTTGCTTCCGGCCAGTACTCAACGAAGACAACAAACAAACAAACCAAAAACAATGACAACTTACATTTTGGACGTTCCCTATAAACCAACTGGAGGAAACACACATCTCAGACCCAACCCTCCTGAACCCAGGTGGAATCCACTGGCAGGAACACAACGAGGACAACCTTCCCTGATCTCGCAGAAGTGGGGTTCTCCATTCCCTCATTCCACCCTGGAACAGAAACGACCATGGGAAAGGGCACCCTTCTTCGAGAATACCAAAAAAGGACACTTCCCACTGGGAGTCGCATCGCCGGGCGCCAGAGATGCCAAAGAGAGGGCACCCTTCAGACGGAGTGCCTCTCGAATTCCCTTTCTCCAAATCGGGGTTCCAAACTACTTTGAGACAGACATGAGACCCCATGCTGGAAACCAAATGAAACAGACTCATAGGAACTGACTAAGGGTGGAGTCTACTGATTGCAAAGGAACCGACAAGTAATTGAAAGAGGCGCGGTTCATTCTGCCAAAAAGTTCATGGCAGTTCTTCACCGTTCACCATCAGCATTTGCCCCCAGCCTGTTGACAAAGATCTCCAATATTAAGTGAACCTTTAAAAGATTTGTCCAAAGAGACCCCAGGCTGCTGCCCTCAAAAAAGAGTGAAGCCTTAAATCTAACTTATCCAACCCTGTCCCACCCCCATCTCACCCATCCCAACCCTCCCCGAGCTGCCTCCCTATGCCACCGCCCCACCACTTCCCCCCCTCCCGCGCCACCGCCCCCTCCCATCCGCCTCAGGTATTCGCAGCAATTTGGCGAGGGAGTCGAAGCTCGGCGCCCCAGCGGCGAACAGCGCCCGGAGCACATCCTACGACGCTATGACACAACCCGGCGTCCTCTCGTCGCTTTCTGGGCGCCAACCCCCCCCCCGAAAAACGGGTCCGGCGGAGAGTTTTGGACGCAAAGGAGTCATGTTCATTGAAGAAACAAATATATGAAAGGACGCCAAGAACTGCAGCAGAGGGCAGTTGAGGCGACACAAACAACACCACTATTGCTATGGTCCACCAGCTCCTAAGAAATAAGATAGTGGATATCCGCATGCTTGGGATTGTGCCTTGTAAAAACAAGCAACCGAGGTGCCAAAACAAGCACCGCCCCCCAAATCTCAGATTTGGGGGTCAGTCAAAATGAGTACTGAACCGAGAATACTGTAGAGATATCTCCGAGCCCAAAATTGTGGATTCCGTGTGGTTCCGGGTGGTCGGTCCCAACTGGATCAAGTCAAAGTTCGGGTGGGGCTTTTGGGGTTTTGGGAACGAACCATTTTCGGATGTTCCAAGAGGAAACCACACGGGATGGTTAATGGGTCCTTCCCTCATTCCCTGCTGAGCACCGGCAAGTGGTGCAACCCGAAGAAGGAACAAAGCTTTCAGCCCTTCAAACTGCGGGGAGTTTAACCGAAAGCTCAAAAACGTAAAATGGTTTCTGTTAAAAGGAACCGAATCCCCTCCCCCCCTCCCCCGGCCTAGCCTCCCCGCCTCCCCCCAGCCCAACCTCCCGAAGCCGCGCCTCGCGGCCCAGGTGATCCGCCGCCTTGGGGGCCACCAAGAGACTCTCGCGGCTCGGCAGGTTGAAGAGCATGATCCGCAGCTCCTCGCTGCCTCGAGCTGACGAGAAAACCCGATGGTCCAAGCGATTCAGAGAAACTACTCTTGGTGGGGGCCTCGTGGAGCTCCAACAAAAGACGCGACCCGCCGTTGGTCCAACCAATGCAGAGCAACCACTCTTGGTGGGGTGGGGGGGGGGGAATTCTCCTTGAAGGGCTATAGGAACAAAAATCTGTCTGGCAGGAACTGGGCCCCGTTTTAGGGTGAAAGTTCCCAAGAAGGATTATGTCCTGTAAGGCTACGGTCAGAAGGTAATCCGTTCTAGTGTCTCTAGTGGATTAGAAGGAGCAGGCCACTTTGATCTTCCATTGCGTCCCGCCCCCCCGCCCGAAAGAAAAAAAGAAGCTTCGTATTTGGGAATGACTCCTGACAAGCCAACAAATCTGCAAATCCTTTCGGTTTCCATTGAGTTCGCCTTGGACAAATGGGGCATATTGCTGTCACTGACTTTGGGCATCCTTTGGTTCGGTGACAGCCCAAATCTGGGCAGCATTACATAGAGTTTGGTCCCCTTTCTTGTATTGTACTGGAGTACTCTTGCAAGGCTTTGTGCTATATGGGTCGATCTGAACCATATTTGTTCAACATACAAGAAAACTCAGTTCCTTTTTGGTGTCCTTTTTCGTGTCCTTTTGGTGTCCGCTCTGGGCAATTGTCTCAGAGACTCGTATTGAGAAAAACAAAACACGCTCTCTTTAGTGGATGCACCCGAACCATCTGGTTACTCTATTTCCATTGGGCTTCCCTCCAGAAACGGGGTTGCCCAGTTTGGGAATGACACCCGGTGAGCAAATTCTTGTAAGGCCACTGAGTACTGCGTGGGTCTGGGCAGACTTAACAAACATCTCTCTCTCTCTCCTTCTTGGAGTCCGTTTCGGGAAGTTACACAAATTAGCTGATCTACCACCCCGGCAACCTTGAGAGTTGTCATTGTAAGACTTTGTTGGAAAAGCATGGCTGTTCCCCAAGAAGCCAGAAGTGCATGGGGAACACCGCATGGCTCAACGGTGCCAGCTGGGCAGAGATGGGTGCGGCCAGTGTGTACAGTGACCAGGTGCAAAGTGCGCAGGGGTGAAGCGCAAAGGAGGCGAATTCACGCAGATAACATGGAGCTTGTGTCCACCGATTTTGAAGAGATCAAGTGTAAATTCCTCACCAATTTGCGATTTCAAAAGCGGGGTGCAAAAAATGGCAACCAGAATGCGCAAGAAAAGCTCAACAAAGCACACACGCGGAATACACTTGGCAAAAGCGATTAGCCCACCACCGAAAAGCCCGAAAAGGCCATCAGTGACAACTCCGGTGCCCTGGCAAAGTCTGGCATGAAGAAAGTGAGGGGGAAATGATCTGGGCAAGTCACTCTTGACAAACCGGAACTTGTCCGAATCTGCTAAGGGACCTTCATGGGTGAGCTCCGTTTTCACCCAATCGGTGAGCTCGACAGAATTTGCCCAGAGCAATCCGAGCCCTTACTAAACGCCAAGGTGTGTCTCAAATAGATGGGGAACCCCGAAACAACAGACCAGCACAAAAACAACAAAATCCGACAAGGCTTCAAAGCGACCAACAAACTCAGGGCCCTGGACGCAGACGAGAAAGCAGGTTTAATCTATCAAGCCATGCTTCAACCAACCAAAAGGGTTTAACCAACACAGAAAATGGTGTGTCTCACAATTGACTATGGAAAAGCCAAAACTGGCGTTCCCTTGGTTCCCTTTTTGACAACCCTCACGAAGAGACTAACTCCAAAAGGACGTCATGCCCATTTCCAGCAAGGCTTCGGCCACGTGACTCAAGCCGTTTGGAAATGGAGGTTTCATGGTTCGCTTGAGGTGGGAATTCTAACACATCATCCAAATCAGGGAGAAAACCAGAGGCTCCCGACTCCCAAATCCATGTGCTGAAGGCACCTTCTTGAATCTGATCTAACGGATCGAACCTTTCCGGGTGGCTCAGAACTCTCGCGAGGCTGCCGAGAGCAGGTCAAAAGCTCAAACGTCCAGCGGTTGTAGTCTAACGGGTGTCTCGGGATGGCGGAGTTCGCTCAGGATTGGCGAATTAGGTGCTATTGGCCATGAAGCAACATGTCTTGTGACTCAACAGCGTAGCAGCCATCGAACACCATGCGTTTTTGTGTGGTTTTGTCGGTATGCGATGCAGTTGCTGGCGAACGCGGGTGTTGCAAAAACCCCGGTCATAGGGTCGAACATTGGCCCCTGGGTCGCTGGCAAACAAAAGTCGCCCCCTGGATGCCTCCAAAGGTGATGGCTCCCAGGAGAGCTTTCCGGACCTTTTTTTCGGGACTAAGCGAAAAGGGTCTCCAAGAGCCCACAGAATTTCGACGGATGGCACAACCAACTGGGTACATGAAAGGTTGACAACATGCGTGTGACAAAGAACTCAGCCCCTAAGCACGGCACACCATGTAAGCAAAAACCAAACTAAATCACCATCGTGTTTCAAAACGGAGGAGCCCAGTTACCTTCTGGACGCCCCTTGTTTCAATCAGAGCACCCCAAAAAAAGACGAGGCCACCCATCCAGCTTCCACCAAGCTCACAACTGTCCCCGGCCAAGTGCATCCAGGTGCTGGTACTCTCTTCATCCTTGAGAAACTCATGGAACTCTTGCAAAGATAGTCCTAGCCGAACGCACAAAACTGGGTGTTAAAAGGTCACAATTTGACAAAGATGGGTCTGAGATATGCTTTTTGGGACATTCTCAAAAACACGGCCTATGTAGTACCCAGTCATCAATTCCGATGCCAGGTTTGAGATCAAACAAGGAAGTCTTAACGGGGCGTGTGGGAGTGCTGTTTGGGGATCCAAAGATGTGTATGTGTGTGACGAATGGTTCGATGAATCAAGGGCCCGAGCCTAACTTTGATACGCATCGACTGGATCAGAATCATGCATGGTTTGGCGCCTCTTGTGGAGCCCTGGAAGGTTGGCAAACACCGCAGCTCATAATCACTTTCCAAGCGAATTGCCCTGTATAGCCAATTTGCAGGTGTGTAAATAGTTTTGCACATGCGCACATGTATGGGCAGCTGACAAGGGACTACCAACAACAGCTACCCTGGCCATATTTTCCGTCGCTCATATCATCCACTGTCAACATATGCTGTTGCCAGAAAGGAAGACAAATCCCCCTTTGAGATTAGACCGCATTTGGGAGTTCAGACCGCAACCATTGCAGGGATGGCTCGTGCGGGCTCTGACACCTTAGGTGGGCACCTGATTTCCCCGGGCCAAGGACGGCCGTCCACTGGCAGGAACAGGTGGTATAAGGGTATATTCTATCCGGGTCATGTTGAAGGCATTGGGTCATGTTGCATTTGCACAAAAGATCCCGAACAATGAAGAACGAGTTTTCACATATTGTCGAACTCGATGTGCCAATGTGGCACGGCGCGGCAGAAGCGTGGAATGGTATGTCATGTTGCAGTGTGGAACGGCATGCTATGGTACCGTTGGTGCCCGTTTGCCGAGGAACTGGCGCGAACAAACACTGCTTGTTAGTCCTCGGTCCGCATCCCAGCCGGCATCGGCACACCTCCGTGGCCAGGGGTGAAAGTACGTGACACGATTCCCTTTATTTGGGGAAGGGGAACATGAAATCAAAATTTAAAATACAACTTTGCCATACCAAGTGTATGCTCCTTCATCTGACAGAGGGAAGCAGGTCTTCAAGCTTCATCAGATGCAATGTGCACAAACCTGGTCACCTGAAGGGAAGCCATGTTCCTTCCCTTGCGGTTTGGTCAGCGGCTCGCTTAGGTCAACACACGCTAGGGTACCTAGTCCGGGGTATATTTCTCCATGCCTAAAGCTCCTTTCCAGAAAGCCACCGTAAGCCCAGGGGACAGGGGGGCCTTGGCCCACGTCTAGGGTCCACAAAGAAATAATGTTGTTCTGCCTCTTTTCCATATTTACACGCTAAGACTTGATATGTGTCTGTCTTCAGTGATCAGCCTACCCTCAAACATAGCATTGCTTTCGAGGCCCCAGAAACTTGGTTGCTGTTGACCCCCCTGCAAAAAGTTTCACTTTCTGGGGGTTTAGTGGAAAACCCCTTGATTTCCCAAAAAGTTACAGTCTAAAGATCCAACCCAACAGCAGCGAAGGAAACCCCCCGGTTTCTGCAGGTGCGCAGGCTTCGTCCGTGGCGCATGGATCGGTACTCCAGGGTCCAGTCTTCGTCGTCGCCGCAGAAGCCCGTGGCGTTGGCCTCGGATAGGGAAACCCATGAGTTCCAAGTGAGGGCTGAAGCCGTTGGAACCAACACCCTGTTTTGGTCTTTTTGTTGGGGTTGATGGGGTGGGACGTTGGTTGTTTTTTGGGGTGGATGGGGTTGGTCTTTTCTGGGGAAGGCCACCAGGCCTTAGCGAAAAAAGGGTGCCACTGAAGACTGCTGCTAGCTTTGGAGGCTCGGCACCCTTTGCAGATTCGTTTAACAACACACCCCCTTGCAGAAACAAAAAAATACTCCTGTGACTAGTTTCGGTGTTAACGTGCCCCGCAGCTCCATTGCAATCGTCTAAATCTATACGGGAGTTCATTCTCTCGTTTTTACTCATACCCACCAGGTGTTTCTCAAAATTGGAATCGGTGCCCAAAATGGCAAAGGTTTGCTTTTGGTTTCCCTTTAGCCAACTGCAAGGGGGCTTTCCCGAATTGCACTTTGAGAAACTCCCATGCGTGGAAAGGGGATGACTTCCTGTCTAAACCCAAATGTGTTGGAATTGCGCCATCTACCCCAGATCTTCGCAACGTATACTACTTTCCGCAATATCAGAGGAACCCCAACGCCGGCGCCTCACAAGTACTTTCCGCCTCTCCAGCTCCCCCGATTGTTTTCGTCACGCTGCGAAGAGGCGGAGGTACTTGGAGTCCAGACGCTGGCGACGCTTACGGTCCAGGGCCTCGAAGATGGCCTCAGATCACAGAAGGTGCCACTGAAATATGTAGAATATATGTAGCATAATATGGATAACACATCTGTAGTCTATACACATCTCAGTGCTGGGTGAACTTGGCCAGAGGCATGGTGCTATCAGTAAATGCTTTGAAACCCATTGCTTTCACCTGCACAGTTTTGCATGGTTTCAACCATGAAAGCGGGCAGTCCCCGGCAAACTGCTACCCTGCCCTACCCCTGAGAAAATCGGGCATATGCCCTTCCTAGTGGATAAATATAGGTTGCTTGTCCCATGTTCCCTTGTGCATGCAACATAGCGAAGGACGCACATGCATTGACCAGGGTCTTGGCGCTCAGGTTAAGTCCTTAAGTTCCCTCGGGCGGCATCTATCATCTGCTTGCGCGACATGTTGTCGATCTCCTGACAAACTTCAAGTGGAGAGATGGGTGTGGGCAAAACTTAGGCGTTCAATTTCAGGGTCCCCGACCAAAAGGACCCCAACGGTCGGAAGGGGGCTGGGGTTGGTCAAACTGGCCCTGCAAAAAGTATTGAGTGAACAAGGATGGAGCAACCTCCCCATTTCGGCTTTATCATTCTCATTGCGGACACAAAGAGGCCAAAGCTTTTAGAAATGAGCTTGCCGGGAATAACGCAGCCATAACCATGAAATTTGGCAAGAGCGAAACGCTGAGGAGTGCAAGCGCAAGCGGTCAAGTGGCAAGTAGCGCAAACACTGAAAATAGGCTGCGAGTGCCGAGTGCAAGCAGAAGCGATACAGTTGCAAATGCGTTTTGCCACACGTGATCTGCTACGGCAGGCTACGTGTTCGTCCATCTGGTGTTTCAGAAGTACTCCAGTCAACTCACTGCATCAGCTCCAAGCTGCTCTCTGTTCGCCCCAGTGCCACGCCTAGGCTCAACTAGGCCTTGTCAGCTTCTCGAATGTGAGGCGATTCAACGGAAGCACAACTAACTCCCCAAGAAATCCTCAAGAACATGTGCGCCATTTCCTGCCACGCAATCCATAGCGGCCTGCTGGACTAGGTCAAAGCCGAGCAGAAGACGCCCACGGTTTTGCAGTCAGGCACTCCACTTTGCGTGGCCAAGTCACACTTCGAGCGATCCTGGAGGGATACAGCTCCGGCTGCAAAATCCTCCACTTGCAGCTGGTCCCTAGAAGACTCCTGCTCTCGGAGCTCTTCCTGGAATGCCTGGCAAGCTGCCGGGGTATGTTCCCAAAGCCGCGTGAGCATTGAGCTGGTGCTGCCAAGCATGTGCTCAGTCAGTCTGCCCATGACCGAGAAAATATGCAGCAGCCGTCTTCTTCGCAGTGGTTGTGAGCCTGCTTCCCCCTATCAGGCAGTGGCACCGTTCCTGCAGCCTGGGCCTAGAAGAGGGCGAGGCCAAGCACGGACCCTTCCGGTTTGAGCTCACTGCTGCGCATTTGCACACGAAGTTGCCAAAGCAGCAGCGAGCGCACCCTTCAAGAATGCTTCATCCGTTGCGCCGGCCGAAGAAGATGAAGACGCTGCCGCCTCTTCCATCGCAAGCTGAAATCGTCAAAGCGGCAAAGGCAACCCCATTTTAAAAACCAACTACACTCTGGCACGTGTGCGTAATTACGATGTCAAGTCCACCGCGTCAAAGAACTGCCAGATCAGGGCGTCAGGGCGCACGCACGATTTGTGCCGGTACGGGTGACTGGCACTCTTGTGCCTGATATAGGCCTTGTACCCTTGATTGTCACTCTGAATATATGCGAAGATGGTATCATGCCGCCGGGTGTAATGTATGCTCCCGGCGCTTCCCACCTGCGTGCACGCTTAGAGTGTGGTCCACGGAAACACACACACACACACCCCACCCCCAAGAAAAAAAACACAAACACACACACACAGCATCCGTGCACGAAACTGACTAAAGGGCGACAAAACAGCAGAATACCCAGGGCCATGAGTGACGACTCTGGCAAAAACAACGAAAACAAAGGCTGGCACAATCCAATTGCTTGAGACTGGCAAATGCATGAACCAGGCAACTAAAGCAAGGGAAAAGCTTGCTCCTTCTGTGCGCCATTCAATTTGGTCACTGTTTCCGACCCAAACATGATTTCGAGCTGAAACGAATCAATCCCGATGAATTCCGGTTGATCAACCACACTTCCCAGTGGAGTTTGTCCATCCACATGAGCCCCAGTCCAACATGGGCATGGGATTTGAGTCTGGTCTTTGTGGCTCCATGTATTTTCTGTTGGCTTCAACACACCCCGGGGCTCCTGGCGGCTCAGCTTGCCCTTGGGCCTCCTGGCGCGAAACAACCGAGCTGTTGGTCCAGGTGAAACCTGAGCCCCGAGCGAGCTGTAGCCCGCTACGCATCGAGGATAAACTTCCATTTGGTTAAGACTCCTGGAAAAAATGAACATATATGTCCAGTAGTGATAGATTCCCTTTAAAACCAACAGGGGAAAATACAAACATATTCTTAAGCAAATGGAAGCAAAAGGTGCAACCTGGCAACTCCAACAGGTCTTGCGGGGCAAAAGATCTGAAAACCAACCAGGGGATGAAACACAAATGGGAAAAAAATCACCCATCGACGGTGAGAAAACATCCACCGTAGAAGAAAACAGTACGACACATGTCCAACCTATGGGAGTGCAAGGAAATCCTGTCCAAAACGGACACTGGCATCCTTCAGGAAAATGGTCACAAAGGGCCAAAAAGGGCCAAAACGGACCTTCGGGGTACTCCACTGCTTGTCAGCAGGAATCGTTGAGTGGTCATGTTGTGGGTCATTATAATCACTCAAATCCTCATCGTAGATGTCTGAGATCCCAATGCCAAATAATGATCACCTTTTTCTACAGACCTCAAGTTCACAACAAGGTGCATTCATCAAGGCCACAGTAGGTTTCCAGCCCTAGGTCCGTTGCCCCTGGCTTCAAGCCAAGCCCTAGAGCAGGTAAGAGTTGGTGTCCTACTTGTGGAAAGCAAGGGAAGGCATCAAACAGTACCAAAGAAACCCACAAAGAACCTTGGATCAGGAGGTGGAGCAACCACAGCAACAAACTGGTTCACCATAGCATAAACCATAGCCATGACTGGAACTCCAAGACTCAGCTGCTGTCCATAAGGTTGTGGATCTGTATGTTTGGAGAAAGAACCAAACTGTGTTGACTTGCGAATGCGCAACACCAAACCAAACCAAGCCAAGCCAAAGAAAATCCAACCCAGCGAAGGCAACCAAAAGCAAGCGAGCGAGCAAGCAAGCAAGCAAACAAACAAGCAATCAAAAAAAACAAGACAAACAAACACCACAAAACCGCACACACCACACACGCCGCACCAACCAACCAACCAACCAACCCACCCACCCACCAACCAACCCACCAACCAACCCACCAACCAACCAACCAACCCACCCACCAACCAACCAACCAACCCCCCAACCCCCCAACCCACCAACCCACCAATCCACCAACCCACCAACCCACCCACCCACCCACCCACCCACCCACCCACCCACCCACCCACCCACCCACCCACCCACCCACCCACCCACCAACCAACCAACCAACCAACCAACCAACCAACCAACCAACCAATCCACCGAGCAAGCAAGCAAGCAAGCAAGCAAGCAAGCAAGCAAGCAAGCAAGCAAGCAAGCAAGCAAGCAAGCAAGCAAGCAAGCAAGCAAGCAATCGAGCAAGCAGGCAAGCAAGCAGCCAAGCAAGCAAGCAACAAGCAAGCAACAAGCAAGCAAAGCAAAGCAAAGCAAAGCAAAGCAAAGCAAAGCAAAGCAAAGCAAAGCAAGCAAGCAACCAATCAGACAGCGAACCAACTAAGAGACCATCCACTCAGCCAATCAAACAACCAATCAAACAACCAATCAAACAAACATAACTCTCGCCGACCTCTGCACTGCAGCCAAGTTTCGACATGCCAGCATAGCGCAGCATCCAAATAATCCTGCTGCGATTCGAGCGCTGTTTCTGGTATGGGTTCTGGAGGCATGAAGGTTGTACAGCAGTTCTAAAGGGCACACACACACACTGCCTCCTACGTTGGTCTCACATAAGCTTCCACCTCCAGATTCCAGATATGGACTTTGTGCAGTTCAGTGAGGTGCATGGAGGCAAGAGCTCCAATGGGAACCCATTCAGGATTTGCCTTTTGGCGAGGTGATGAAGCGAAGTCCTCTTAGAGGGCTTCCATGCAAGTTGGGGAGGCATCGCGGTGGGCGGGGTTCCTCTCCTTTCTGGGTGGAGCTGGTGGGTTGCGTTTCCTCATTTGTTGTTTCCCCGCACCCTCCCGAAACAAGGAGAAAAGGACATCCCGCCCACCCACCCAAAGGAGAGAGCAGCTCCAAGAGAAGAAACCTGAAATTCACAAACTGCCCCAACCCACCCCACCCAATTGGCTCAAGCATAGATTCGGAAACCGATCCTCCGTCATGCGTCGAAAGCTGTCTGATACCGGTTGGTAACCTGATCGGATATGCCGATTCGGGTGAGTTCTTTCTGGTTCTTGAGGATCATCTGCGTAGTAGAAGCCTTCTGGAGGATAGCTCTTTTTCAGATCCAGGTTCAATAGGAAAGAACACATGCAGTCTTGCTCCTCCACCGCTCGATTTGTGTGACGATGAGTGGGTGACACTGTGTCTTCAACATCTCGCAGCCATAGTTTTCCAATGAAGATTTCTCAATGACATTGCGCTGAACAATATCTCTTGTTGTTGGTCTGCTTGCTCGCTCTGGAGATGAAGAATTGAAGATCCGTGAAAGAGTGAACTATTTCAAGAACACGCTCACGCAGTACTTCCAGAAGGGAACGAACGTTCATCTTTACAGATTTCTCAGTTTCTTCAACCGCCGGAGAAACACTCCCTCACTTTGATGTCCAAACTTGAGATTTTGCTTCGGAGACTCAAGGCGGCATGGAATGAGACTTGACGCCAGCTTTGGGGAAAAAACAATCGCTCCACAGTTTCTCGCGGTGCACAACGCCCTCCCCGAAGCCCACCAGGCCCAAGCCCACCTCAGATGGCCAGTGGCCATGCGGTTAAAAAAGGGCATCCTTTTTTGGTTGGTTGACTTTAAAGGGACACTCCCAAGAAAAGGAAACAAAACGGGCACCACTGCTTGCAACTGGGCCCTCCCCCAAGCCCGCAAGCCTGCTCACGGCGCTGCGGAGCCGCCTAGCCGCCACGTCCTGCCGGAACTGCAGCGCCAGCACCAAGTCCCTGGCGCCACGACCCGCCCTTTGAAAAAGGAACCCGGGTGAGTTGGTCGAGTCGGGGTTGAAAAGGGGAATGGCCACCTGGAGAAGGAAGGAATTCTCTTTCGGGGTTACATTTTAGTGGGGAACCAGTGGCCCATTCGGTAGTTGGAACCAGAATTGTTGGTTTTGTTTCTAGGGGAACCCACCAAAAGGGAAAAGAAGGACACTTAGGGTAAACGCAAGGGAGGTGCCGCAAATTATGTTTTTCATGTGTTGTTTTCCCCCGAAGGGATGGTGGAACCATAAGGAACGAATCCACAACAGCAAAACTAAATATCGTATCATATCACATCATGCCCATATCCCCTGCATTGTTTGCATGAGTGCAAGTATCTTTCTGAAACATGTCCCCGGCGTGCTTGTCGAATTCGCAGCTGACATGCTGTGCAATTGTAATGCGATTGTTTGGTTGCCCCTCGACATGTCATGTTGTGAATATGCTTGCAGAGCTTGTTTACACATACGGGTCTTGGGCTGCACGAGCGAGAGGTCTTATAAAGCAAACAGTATCAATTTCGGTTGCATGTGTGAAGAGACAAAGTGATACTTTGATCATGCCCCGCCCATGAAAGGATCTTCCGCTTGAGCCAAATCTTTCAAGTTCTCCCAAGAAATCTTCTCATTTGAAGGCCTGTTGGCCTTTTTGCCTCAAGCAAGAGCCGAACAGCACAAACTACCTCCTGGCAGTTTATTCCATGCCCGAATCGACCATTCAAGACTTAGAGGGTACCTATGGCTCCATTGTAACCCATGCAGAACCGCTGATTTTCGGGTATGTTCGGGGTAGGACCTTAGATGCCTTGAGTGCATCCAGGCTCCATACCTCGTCCCCGGACATGTGCCGCTGGCCTCAGCTCCTCGTCCGATGAGTTCGTCTCATCCCCGATGAAGTCCTTGGAGAGAAACGGCAAAGACGCGTTGGGCCCTACAAAGAGCGGTTCTATATGACGGTTGTCTGAAATTCCTTGTTCCGGAAACCACCATCTTCGCGAGAAAAAAATAACTTTCGTGGACCCCATCGCGGAACTTTCGCGGGGCTGTTTTCAGAACATTCATCACAAAAGTAGTACACGAAGTACACTTTCGCAGCCCCAGCTCGAAAGTCGCAGCTCTTCAGTGCGAAAGTAGTACCAAAAGTAAACTTCCGCAGCCCGGCTTGAATACGAAAGTAGTACACGACTAAACTTCCTCAGCCTCGAAAGTCAGAACTTTTCAATACGAAAGTAGTACACAAAGTGAACTTCCGCAGCCCCAGCTCGAAAGTCGCGACCTTTCAGTTCCAAAGTAGCACGCGAAGCGCGCTTCCGCAGCGCCAGCTCACAAGCCGCAAGCTGCGCATGAGAAGACCCGTTGGCCTCATGTCCGGAAAACTGGCGGGGAGAACCGGTGATCATTGATTGTGGTAGTCTGGTTTTTGATTCCGGTAGTCTAATTAAGTTCATGTCAACAGCCTTAATTTCATGCAAACTTGACGGTTGGGCTCATTATCGTCCTTGTTTTGGGCTGGGCAAGTTCAAATCAGAAGTGTGAGACTCTTTGGCCATCAAAGCGATTACTTGCTACTTTTGTATTTTCACAAGAGCCTCACACCATATCTGACTTGAAATTGCTCAGCCCCTGCTGTTTGTCATATGAGCCCACGCGGCAGGTTTGCATGGAAAATAAAAATAACAGCTTCATAGAAGTTAGGTGTTGTGACCTGGCTGGGTTGGGTGGGGCAGCTGGGATCCCTGGACCACCCCGGCGAAGACAGCAGCCCAGCCACGGCCTGAGCTGGGTGGGAGGGAGGGGGGAACGAGTCGAGGGTGCATTGCAATTAATGCCCTTTTTCCATATACTTGACACGCACTCTACGGAGAGGCTGGCGCGCACACACGCCCTAGCGTGATGCAATCTTCCTGAGCTTGGGTGAGCATGGCTCGAACTGCAAGTATGTACTCTAGCAAGCAGCTATGATCAGAGACATCTGCAAGCTCTTGGGCCGCCTCCCGGCACGCATCAGCCAAGCGCTGGAGGGATTGGAAGTAAGCTCCTGAGTCAACCTCAAGCGCCCAGCCAACCAAAGCAGGGACCAGCAAAGCTACCCAGTTCAGCACTTGACTTGGAGCCTCGCAGCTAGGGTTTCCAAAGTGAGCGCTGAGCATACCATCAGTGATGTCAGCGCCACGCACCTCCGCAGAGCGCGTCAGCCCAACCACTGCGGCTAGAACCGCAAGCCACGAGTCAAGGAGCAGGTCAAACGCGGCGCAGTCAATGCTCTGGGCCAGCTTGTCGAAGACCTGGGTGTACTTCAGCAAAGTCTGCTTGGTGCGTGCGATTTCTTCGCATCTTCGATGGGAATCAAGGACTGCGAAGTACACCATTGCTTTCAAGCCCACGCTGAAATTCCAAAAGTCATCCTGGCAAAACAGCGCAGCAGCCATGGTTCTGCTCTCAGTCTCTCAGGGACTCTTGGGACTGCAGGCAAAGCGAAAGAGCCAAACTTCAATTGCGGAGCATTTCAAAGTGGGATGCGCTGCTGCGAGACTGCGGGCAAGTGCCTGAGGCCCACGCGCATAAATCATCGCTGGCAATGGCCTGTGCTTCACAGAAACCCACAGCTTTGGGCTCACACCCCATCACACCCCGCGCAAATCCTCTGTCGCACTGTTGCTCGAGTCTGAGAGCTACGCGCGCATGATTTGTCTAGATATGGCCGGTGACCCCACTACACGCGCCCGGGAAAACTCGCCCTAAACCGGCATGCCACACAGACACAGCGCAATTCATCTCTAGCTAAGGCGAAACAAGCATTGAATACCCTCATGTGGCCGTGCGCGTTGCTGTTGGGCCAGTTTGTTCAATCCCTTTTGAGCGGGTTGCGGCGCCAGCTTGCGTTGGTTGGTTTTGGAGTAGCTGCCAGGACTAATGCCCACCTCAGCATTGTAAGCTCACCCCTCAACTCCTCAACCCCTTTAGCCCAGAGGCGGTTGCCCTGATGAACTCAACCGTGTTGGCCATTCAGTTGGAAAACATTGTGAAGCACTTCATTTTGCTTCGTTCTTTTTTTGAGGCCCTAGGCCCGCTTCGACCAGGGCCAATTGGGCAGGTCCAGGGCCCTTGTTGAAAATCCTGAAGCCACAGTACTCGTTTTATGTCGCGTGGCCTAATACACTTGAAAGTTGTAAGTTTGCTCGGCTTTTCGGAGCTTACGCCAAGTGCTTCCCAAAGGGCCAAGGTTATGTCCAATCTATTTGCTTGAGTCGCAAGTGGTTGTTCCTAGGAAAGGGGTCCTGCCTCCAATCGTCCAGGTCACGTTTGATGTTACCATGCACTTGTGAGGAAAAAAGTTGAAATCTGAAAAGTTATCGGTTTTGGATGGGGTTGATTTTTTCATCTTTAGCTTTAGCACTGTGGGCATGCCCGAAGTTCAGTCACCGCTTAGGTGCTAGACCAAACCATTGCTTTTTCATCCAAAACCGAACAGTTTTCCAGCGCTGCAACGAGTTCAAAAAATGATGTACGTTTCTAACCTTGTGTGTGCTGCTGAGGCCGGAACCCGACACGGAGTCCCTGATGCCAGAGGACAAAGCCGGGGCACCTGGCAGGCAATGCAACTACAAGTGTCTGGAAACCAATGCCCCTGTCTGGGAAACACATGGTGCGTCTGGAAACCCCCACAGCCCATTTTCCGCTCAGCAAGGGATTGAATTGTTCTTTAGCTTGTTGCTGGTCAGAGCCAGTTGGATTCGCTTGCTGTCCTGCCGCAGAATCTGAAGCCAGTCCCCAGTCCCCGTGTTTCTGAGTTCCAGAGTTTGCAAGATGGGCAACCAGTTGGGCAGCGAGAGTCGGACAGACCGTGTGAAGCTGCTCTTGCTGAGCGGTGGCCCTCAAGCAGCCTTCAACGCTCACAAGGTTCTGCTGGTGGTGGCCACCGACGAGAACCAGGTTTGGTCGTTGAAGTCAGTCATCACTGAGCGAGGCTGCAGCCCAGACTTGGTTGACCTTCCGCAAAGCAAGACAGGACCAGCTTTTGTGGCGTTGCACTGGTACAAAAACAATCGCAATTAGTAGGGCTTCGCGGTTGTTTTTTGAGTGTGTCCTGTGGAACTCCGTACCTGCAGGATCCTTGCGCTGGGCCCTCTGCAACGAGGACTCCATCATCCTCGCCACTGTGGAGACTAGTGGGCCGCTGGAGTCCATTGTCTTCGAAGGCATGGTCCTGGGGGTGCGCTATGGCAAGAAGCAAGAGGCCGCAGCCAAGCAGGCAAGCGCCAGCGACACGCCTGCAAGTGCAAGCGGCCACTCCGAGCCAAAGCCCGCGCTGGACCAGCCCGCGCCGGACCATCCCCATCCTGAGGCAGGCAAGCCCGATGCCACATCTTCCCCTGGCGAGCCCAACGTGCCACCCACCCAGGAGCCGAAGGAGTTTGGGCCCTCTGAGCCTGAGTCCGCAGTCCCTGAGCCTGGAGTCCCCGAGTCCCAGACTCCAAGGGCTGCTCCAGCTTCACGCTTGCAGATGGTGAGGGCCAGCCGTGAGTCCACCAAGTGCAGTGCAAGCAGTGTTGTGCTGGACACAGCTGGCGAGGGCGAGGACATCACGGCCCTCCCCATGCACGAGATTGAGCAAGCGCTGCTGAAGGGGAAGCCCCTTCCTGGATGGAACGCGCAGGGCAACGTTCAGAAAGATCTGGCGTACGTGAAGATCTTTTACAGTGCCCGGCTGCAGAACTACCATCCAGACAGTCTCTGGCCGCCTGTCACCTTTGACAAGGAGGCCAGCCGTTTGGTGCGCGAGCTCGGAGAGCAGCTCCAGCGCCTGCAAGGCAGTGAGGCGCGGCTGTCGGAGCAGTCGCTCTACGACATCCAGGTCATCAAAACCTGGGTCCACTACACCAAGCAAGGCATCGTGCCGCACGGTCCCCTCCTTGGCTGGGCCCGCATGATGGGCCACGAGCTCTACTTCCACGTTTACGCCGAGGACCAGCCGCCCTTTCTCATGGCGAGGGTCCCCAGCTTGCAGTACTGCGAGTGCCCTGGCTCAACCACTTGCCGGTAAAACCAAAGTGCAGTAGCCAATAGCAAAAACTGCTTTCACAACCATAATTAATAAGCTTCCATGAGTTGCTCTCGCTGTGGTTGGAGTTGTGTTGCTTCAAAAACCAAACAATACTAGTTTAAAAAACACAAGAAAACGAGAACATCGGCAAATATGCAATGGAAACAAGGTAAAAAAAGAAATCGATAAGTGTGAGAAAAAGCAAACACGTGAAAAGAAAGGGGTATTTACTTGTGCGTGTATGCATATATAGCTCAATGTAAACATATGTGTATCTATACAGGCACGGGGGCAGAGAGGTATGTACACACGTACAAGTAAATACCCCTTTCTTTTCATGTTTGTTGAGCGCTTTGTCTCATACTTATCTATTTTTGTTATTGTGTCCATTGCACATGTGCCTATGCTCTCGTTTTCTTGTTCTGTTTTGTTAAAATTGTTATGTTTCACATGTTCTTGACTTTCTGGCGTTGCTTCTCTTTCGCTTTCTCTCGCCTCTGTTCTTCTCCATTCTCACCCTCTTTCTTGTCTTCAACTTATCTTGCCTTATCTCTTCATTTCGCTCTCTCTCTCTCTCTCTCTGTCTCTGCTGCGGGTCCCACCTGTTGCTTTCCCTGCTTTTTGGCTCATGGCCTGGCTAGCCAGCAACTGCGCAATTTTCAGCCACACGGATACTCAGTTGCTTGGGCAGTTTGGTGTTGGCTGGGCTGGGGTAAGCTGTCTGGCTGTTCACTTCTCTGCTGGTCCTGCTGTGAATTTGCTGATACCTAGCGCCGTTTGTGTTGTTGTAGTGTTTGCTTGCCTGCTGTCTTGCGCCTTCTGCTGCTTTGCATGGTTTGTTTGCGCGCTTGTTCTTTGCATATCCTTGTTTGCTGATTGGTTTGTTAGCTAGCTTGTCTGTGTCTTTGTTCGCTTGTCTGTCGCCTCACCATTCCTGACTGTAAGGTACCCTTTCCTGGACCACACCAAGGACATCTGCGAGGGCGTCAAGCAGCTCTTTTGCCAAGCTGGCTTCTGGAAGGTCCCCACGCTGAAGTTGCCAGTGGGCATGGCTCTGCCATCCATGACACCAGAGCGGCAGAATGAGCAGCTGCTTGCCTGCGCTTGGCCGGATGGCGTGATGAGTGGCATGATCCCGGACGGCGTAGAGCTTCGCATCCTGAACAAGCAGGTGATTGCCCACTCTGCCTTCCGCAAGTTTGAAGGGGCGCCGCCCAGTGGGCCCAGCTCCTTCTTTTTCGACCACCAGCCAGGCAGGACCTGGTACTTGCAAGCTCGCGCACATTGGGCCTACGCCATGATGCTTGCCTGCCCTTGTTCTTTGTGAGCGGTGTTCTTTTGGCTATTTGATCATTTGGTAAATAGTTTGACGAAGCATGGGCCCCACTCCTCAGGACACAGCAGTCGGCTGGGGACGGCTCCATCAAGCTGACCTGGGTCCGTCGGGCGGACAGCCCGGGACAGCAGAAGAACTTCACGGTTACTGCTGTCATGCCAGCTGAGCCTCCGAGCCTCAGCGGAATCAGCAAATTCACCTACACGCATGGCTTGTACCAGCAGGAAGGTGGCAGGTGGAAGGCGCTCTACTTGCGCCTCACTTCCCCGAGTGCCCAGCGAGGCTGCGAGCCCAATGTCTTGGAGCTCTTCGCCCTGGACAAAGTGACTGAGGAGATGGCCAAGTCCCTCACCACCATGTCGCCCGCAGGGCAGGGGTTCATTCCCCGTCGCAGCAAGGCTGGATTTGTCGTTCGGGGCGAGCGCCCGTTCGAGAAGGACCCCACTGGCTGGGTCTGGCAAGACGAGCACAATGGCCCGGTCACCATGTACATGAAGGACCACTTCTTCAAGCAGTGGTCCCAGGAGGAGCCCACCTACTACTGGGACCCTGAGTCGTACAAGTGGGAGGCAATCAAGGAGGAGGATGGCACCTGGCATTTCATGACCAGCAATGATTGGATGCCGGCATGGGCAAAAGTTCCATCCCAGCCAGGCGCACATGAAACATCACAGCCGTCCCAGCCGTCCCAAGGGTACTAGCCACCCGGACCGCGAATTTTTGGTCACCCAGCCCAAGCTTCTTTGCCAAGGACTGACTGATCGCCAAAACGAAGAACCCATTGTTTAGTTCAAAGCCGCTTTCCAGCTTATTGGCTGTGGTCTTGAGGGCTGGGTGATGAGTCAGCTCAGCATTGTGAGACTGGCCATTTTGGCAGGTGCTGGGGCACAGTAAATTGAGGCCCAGCCTCCGTCAACAAGTTGCAAATCATGGCTTTCTTTCGCACTCTCTTTTGCAGTTACCGCATGTTTGCTTCATCGCCCCAGTGCCACAGAGTCCCTGAGGCTCGGAGTTCTGACCCAGAGTCTCAGGGGCCGCCCGATGCCAGCCTATTGACAGTTTGCTGGCATGCAAAATTCGAGCAAAAAGTGAAACTTGGACTCACATTGAGATCACCAGCATGCTCCGCAAACACATGCTCACCCGACTGCGCGCCCAGGTTTGGACCTCTGCCTGGCCCTGGTCCACTCAGGACTGCCTGCGCCTTCAGTAAGGGTGACAGTCGGGTTTCGCGCGTTTTGGTTTGTTGCAAAGTTGTTGGCGGGGCACCCTGACAGGAAACTGATGCACTGCTTCTTTCAGATTTTCTTGAACTCTTTTTCGTTGCCGCTTTTCTTGACATTGCCCCCTAAAGCTGGAAAGAAGCCTAGTTTCATCTGGGGGGCACAAGGAAGAAGGCCTGAGGCCGAGGGTGTTCTATACTTCTGAAGCCTACGCTTGTTGCTTGTGTTAGTATATATGTATTATGTCTCATCTTGCTCGGTAATGTGCACCTACTGCTTCCAATTGCAAAAGAGCGCATTTTGTGAGATGTTTATCATTTTGCATTGGAAACTAGTAGATGAACATTCCCGAGGAAGATTAGACATAATACTTATGATGTACTAAAGTTGTCACCGCATAGGGCTTTATGTTTTGGCTGGACCCTGAAGGCTCGCCTTGGACCCAGTGAAAAGAAAGTTTGCGGCTTCCGCTCAAGGCGCAGTGGCTCAAAACTCTTGGCCCATGAACAAACTTTTGGCCAAGCAACCCCATCATGGAGCTGGCTGCATCGATACGAAACGCGTAAAATTCGTATACTGCCATCCTCAAACGGGCCGCTGGTGGTGTCACAAAATCAACCTGGGCAGCACTTTTGCAACCTTGGGCGAGCTGATTTCTGCCCTGGAGTCCTGTAAAAAGGGGAGGGCTTTCCTGGCCAAGCATGGCAAGTCCAAGGCAGAGCAGCGAATAAAAACCGAAGATTTGGTGAACAGAGTTCGGTGCTTGGCTGCTTACACACTCAGTGGATCGCGCCGCTGGTTTCCCGCTGATGTGCATTCTCGTGAGCGCTTGGCTGCTAGCAAGCGCGGGCAGCAAATGTTCAAGAAAGAGCCGGCCTTGCACATCATCAGCCTTCAACTCAGGATGTGGCCCTGGAAAGATGCTCTCGTCTCAGAGTGGCGGCGCGTTGACCAGAGTCCAGAGGGCAGAGACCAGACACTGGAGTCCAGAGTCTCCAAGATCCGCACTGTGCTTCTGAAGTGTGCAATCCGCATGAGCAAGCAGCCTGTCAGCCAGCAGTGGCAAAGCAACGCGATCCGAAACCAATGGAGGGTAGCGGGGCCTGTCTCTTGGCCTGTTGAGAAATGTTTGTACCTGCTTGGTGCTTGTTTTGGCACGTTTCAAGAATGGCTGAAAAGTATTCGGTTTTGGATGAAAGGAAGAGTATTCGGTTTTGGATGAAAGGAAAAGTATTCGGTTTTGGATGAAAGGAAAAGTATTCGGTTTTGGATGAAAGGTTCTGACGCTGAAGACGCTGGGTATCCTGAAGAAGCTTCCTAAGCAAGCCGCTGTAAAGGGAAGCCTTTCTTTCGTTCAAGGGCACGAGGGCCAGCGGGAGTTTTGCTGGCAACTGGACCACGGCAGAGGCAGCGCTGTGCGAATTGGACTGTTTGTGAAGGCAGTGGACGCAGTGGTTGCTGCTGTTGGCCCGGACGCGGCAGCGACCTTTGGGGAGCTATGTGCCCAGGCAGGCAGCTTGTAAAGCCCTTGTTGGGGCAACTGCTATTGTCACTTTTACCTTGCCTGCTTTGCTCGTAAGCCCGGTTTCCTATTCAGACAGGTCAAGCGGGGCAAGAAGGCAATCAAGGAGCTCCCCTTCAAGCCACCTTTCTGGAATAAGGACGGCAGCAACTATCACTTCAAAGCGACGTTGAAGTCGTTCCTGTCGGACTTGGCAGCTATGAGCAACAACCAGTTGAAGCTCGATAAGAACTTGACACTCAACAAGCTTGTGCACATGAACCCCGACATGCAGGCTTTGGATACTCTTTTCTTTTTAGCGGGCCAAGCTCCGTTCAAATAGCAGGGGTTGTAACAGATCGTTTCATGAAGGCTGCACCAGCCTTGTCCATGAGGGTCCTTAGCCCACTTTTACCACAAGTTGCTTCCACAGCTTCACAAACAAAACTTCCAAGCCCCTGGCCTGAAACGATGGAATGGCACTTAGAAGCATACGTGCGCTAGTGGGGGGCCCCCCAAATAAATTCAGCTCAAAGACCCATCGTTTCAGGAAAGGGGCCTGGAAAGTCAAAGAAGCGCTCCCCACTAAGCAGTGGAAGCAACTGTGGTAAAGGCTCTTGAATTTACATACCCCAGCACTAGCAGAAGCAAAACTCACAACAGCGTACTAAGGGAAAATCTGCACACCCCATGTGAAAAGTAAAGCTGGCAGGCAAACCTGGTGAGGATCAGGGCGAAGATGCTGGACCAGGGCTTCAGAAACATCACCCCGAAGCAGTTCTGTAAATACCTTGGCTGTGAGGCTGACCCAGGGGCAGTGTCGTATCTAGCTTGCACTGCTGGGGACCGATCCTTCCAGCCAGGCGATTTCCGCAACTTCAATGTACAGATTTGGTGGAAACTTGCCACGCGCTTTCAGAAACTGCACGGCTGTGAGCCCCATCCGGCTCTGGTTGCAGTCATGGTCCGGCAGCTAGCAGAGGACTGAGGCCAGAGCCCTTGAGGTCCAGAGTCAGGCGCCTGGCAGGTGGGAGCGCCCAGCAGAAAACACAGCAAAGGATCTCGCAGTGCCGTGCGCAAACTGCTCAGCAAAACAACAATACTATTTCTTGCAACAAAGTTTGGTCTGCAAATCGCTTTTCCTTCTTGTTCATTGGCTCATTGACTCATTGACTCATTGACTCAGTGACTGTGGCTGCGCTTGCGTTGAAGCTAGCTTGGCCATTCAGTGCATGACTCTGGGCTCTGGGCTCAGGAACTCTCCTACATTGGCATGCACACATGATTGTTTGGACTCAGATCTTGAGCTGCTTGGACAGTGTTACCGCTGCATCCTTGCCGATGCACACCTTGAGCCTGAGGATCTTGGAAGCCTTTGTAGCCAGGACTCTCCACCCAAACTCCCCCCGCTTTCGGGCTAGGCAGGCTTGCTTCAAAGCTTTGAGCTTTTTTGGGCTGAGGTTTTTCCCTTGTTGGTGTTCCAAGTAGGACTTCCGGCCATTGACCTTGCCTGGCAAGCCCGCTGCCTTCATTTTGGCAGCCTTTGCTTTCAGCCCTTCCTGTAAACGATAAACAATGGTGTCCCTCTCAAACTCCTGCACTGCGGCCATGATCCTGCGCTGGAAATTCTCCGCAGGACTGGCTGTGCTGCTGAAGAGCGTTGGAGGCAGGTCCGCCACGACAATGTGCGTTCCAGTGCGTTTGGCCTCCTCATAGATCTCTTCAATGGCACTGGTCTTCCGCCCCAAGGCCCTCAAACTTTCCACATAGATGTGACTGAAGCCACCGTTGAGCAAGGACTGAAGTTTCTTCCTGTCTTTTAGGGGGAGCATGCCTGAGATGCACTCAGAAACACGCTTGGCACCTTTGTAGTCCTTGCCTTGCACGGCCTTCAAAGCCTTGAGACTTGCCCGGAACTGCCTGTTGCCACTGTCGCCTTTCAAGTTTGTCTTTGTGGATGTTCGGGTGTATATGGCAGTTGCAGTCTTGGCCATGGCTTGGTGACTCAGAATCAGAACTCTGTGACTCAGTTGCTCTGAGCTCAAGTCGGTGCTAGCGGCGAGCAATGGCGGCCCCCCAGCCAAAGTGGCACTTTCCAGATGTCCTCAAACCTGGAAGAACAACAGCCCGTGAAGCAGAAAGTGCCAGGCCAAAGCCCCTTGCCCCAGGCAGAGTTGCCACAAATCCCGGAGTTCCAGAGGTCTCAGGGCAGAGTCAGTGTCAAGAAGCTGCTCAAGAACAAGATCATGCCCAAGCTGAACAAGCCCAAGCTGAACAAGTCCCAGAACCCTCTTCCGTGAAGCTTGAGGCCACTGACTCAACACCGCTCCCTACACCAGAAGACCCTGACACCCTGGTGCCTGCAAGCCCCGCCGGCGAGGAGCCAGAGGTGAGCGATGCCGCAGGAACATCTCCGGCAAACTCTGCCTTGGGCCGCGACAGCGAGAAGAACGAGGCCGGCAGGCAACTGAAACCCGAGAGTGAGCCCGTGAGCCCAAGTCCAGATTTTAGGGTTGCAAACACTTTCGTGTGAAGCATCTTTCTGTTCGCCTGCTAGCGCCAAAACATGGTTCCCTTGATTGTGTCAGGACAACCTGCCGGAGCTGCCTGGCAAGCCGGAGGAGGCAAAGGAGGAGGCGGATCCCAAGGAGGCCGAGAAGCCCCACGAGCCTTCTGGGCCCCGGGCCCAGCACCGCCGTCGGCGCCGACGATCCCCATCATCCTCCTCAGAGACACAGACAATCAAAATCAACCTGCGAGTGACGTTCAAGAAGAGACGCGGCAGCCGCAGGTGGGAGGTCTACAACATGGGGTGGGGGCCACGCTGAGCCTCTGAGTCTCTGAGGCTTGAGTCCCGAGCCACAGTTTTCTGAGCGCCTGGCCAGCAGAGGAAGGTCCTCTGCCAAGCACCTTGCCTCAGGTTAAGTCTCTTTTCCACCGTGCAACGTGGCAGGCCAGTGGCAGAGTGCATGAGTGCTGAGTCACTGAGGCAGCTGTCAAAAATTACTGCTGCAGCTATCGCAGGTCGTCTTTGGGGGGGATGATGGAGAGAAAGCGGTGCCCTAAACAGTTGGGAAAGCATGTTATGTCGATTTTGGACTGTTGGGAGCCAATTGGATAGGGATTTATGACTTATTTGTCTACACAACTATGGCCCAGTGGACACTGCGTGTGGCAAACAGTTTTCCATTCAAACGCACATCATCCAAAACCGACAACGTTGACGACCTGTTGCAGAACAGCATTTCCAAAAGCACACCATCCAGAACCGACATTTTGCAAAACAGGTTTCAAACCCAACGCACACCATCCAAAACCGACAAATTTGTGGAATCATCCAAAACCAACAACATTGTGTAGAACCAAGTGGTTAACGTTTTTTCAAGAAGCCCCGAACATGTTTGCAACCACTTTGGATGAAGGAGTCACTGGCCTATCTCACAATTCTTTGGCAACATAAGCTTGGCTAGCTAAAAAAGTTGTTGGTTTTGGATGGCAGGGGCTGCAGGCAACACATCCTTAACAACACAATTCCAAATCATGATGGCAAATGGGACCATGCCCCACCTAAACCCAACAACTTGTTTGGCACCCTTTGGAGGACACTTTCTCAGCAAGGACGCCCCCCTGCTTTGGCCTGAGCTTTGAAAGGTTTGGACCCTTGGGGAAAACCACTTTTGCCCACAGTTTCTCATTTTGGGGTGTCAAATGGCTTTAACTTTGAATTGCGACGGCCAGGCGCCAAGTTCAAGAACGAGCTAGCTGGCACGCCCCTGGCCTGTTTGCATGCACCAGCTGTGCACTGCTGCAGCTTTTTGAACAAGACCGAGGGGCAAAACCCATTAACTTTGAAGTCTGCTTGAGCCTGCAGAAAACTCCCTTCTATTTCCCCAAATGCAATTTGAGAGCAAAACCCATTTACTTTCAAATCTTTTTAAACCTGATGAAAACTCATTAACCCCAAAAAAGTTAATGAATTTGGGATGAATCTGCCACGAACCACCCCCCCAAAATGAGAGGCAAACAAATGGCACTATCGCCCCCCGATAGCGCCATTTCTCTCAAGCAAAAATGGGGGTGCTGCCATTTCTGATACCCTAGATGATGAAGGTCTCGAAATGGCAGCACCCCCATTTTTGCTTGAGAGAAATGGCGCTATCGGGGGGGGATAGTGCCATTTGTTTGCCTCTCATTTTGGGGGGGTGGTTCGTGGCAGATTCATCCCAAATTCATTAACTGTTTTGGGGTTAATGAGTTTTCATCAGGTTTAAAAAGGTTTGAAAGTAAATGGGTTTTTATCTTTCTTCAGAAACGAGGAGTTGACTGCAGGCCTAAACACACTTCAAGAGTTACAGGGTTTGGCCCCTCAGTGAGAACATGATGACTTCTTGCCAAGTCATTCATTCGTGCTGTGCGTTGGCGAAGCTTGCTTGCCTTGCACACCTGCAGCTCTGGCTGACAGCCAGGCACCACCAGCCAGAGTCCCTTTGGTCCCTGAGTCAGAACATTCTAGTCGGGAAGCAATGGATGCTTCCTTGAAAGCAGTGGTGGGCAAGTTTCAGTCATGGATGGTCGATGCCTTTGGCGGATCTGGCGACCCACAGCTTCCGGACGCTGTCGAGATCTGCCCCTCAGTTGAGTTGAGTAAAGTTTCTCAGAAATGGACACCAGCTGACTAGGTTGACCTGCTTTTTGGCCCCAGGCGACTACTTCCAGTCACACTTCGGGGACAACTCGGAAGCCCTCACAACCATCTTCAAGAGCGTCATGCACAGAGTGGAGCAAGTTGACCCCACATTCACATATTCCCGCAAGCCTGTTGCAACCAATGTCCCTGATGTACCAGAGCTTGGAGAATCCCTAGAGTTGAATTTGATGCCATGGCATCTGAGCTTCGACCCCAGCTTGTCTCTGAAGGGCAAGTCCAAAATGGTGTACATCAAGACCTGTGTCACTGACTTCCTGGAGCGGCCCTACAACTCGATGGAGAACCCGATACACGTGTTCTTTCCGAAAAAGTGCAACACACCCGGGCAGGCCATTCAGAGCTACGGAGTGGGACATGGCATCGGGTTTGCCAAGAGCCTTGCCATCAAGATGCTCCTGCTGGGTGTGGTTCAGATGCAGCTGTCCGACGCAGAGCTCAAGGCCATCGCTCCGCAGCTGAAGGCATTGTTCAGCTTCCGCTGCCTCTACAAGACTTTGGGGGACGAGAAGCAGGACCGCATCCAGTGCCTGAAGGACAAGTTTGGCGAGGCTGCCCGGCCGCGGCCAGATTGCATCCAAGTCTGCACCATTTTGCAGGCCCAGGCCAGGGAGGAAGGTGCGCAGTGGGAGCATGCTGCAGCTCGCATGATCTCTGAATTCAACAAGGGTAGCACCAACGAAGTCAAGCAACTTTCAGACTTGGAGATGTGCATCGTGAAAGTCCTGCCATCGATTGAGGAGGACACCCTCAAGATGATCGACTACCATTGGCAGAACCATGCCATAAAGACCAGCGCCTTGCCATACAAAGTGCTGGCCACTGACGCATTCATGAGTGGGTCAAAGCCAAAGCCAAGCCAGGACTCCAAGCTTTGGCGTGACATCCTCAGCTTGAGCAACGAGAAACGGCACTGGTACATCACACGCAAGATCAGGCTCTACCTCTTCAAGATTGCGGATGCGAAGCGGCTGAGGAGGAAGGTCAGCCCAAACAGCATCCGTGACGAGAGGGACAACGACAGTGCTTGGGCAATCGCTTGCATTTTCACGCATTTCCAAGAGGCCTGGAGCGGCCTTGTCACTCAGAGCTCCTTGCAGCGCCTCCAGGACAACTTCTGCCGGGGATACCTTGACACTGAGCTGCTTGAGAAGTACCGCCTGATGAACCCCAGTCTTGCTGCCACGAGCTTCCGGTTCTTGGCGGAAGTCGGCTACCAGGCCGGATGGTGAGGGAGGGGGGGCATGGCAAGGGATTGCTCAAACGCTTGTTGTTTGCAGGGAGACCGGAGTTCCGAGTCCCAGAAGACAGAGGTCGAGCTTGCCGCTGACCTGCAAAAGGCCGAGCTCGCCCAGACCAAGGCGCGCCTGCTGAAGGAGCAGCGGCAGTGGATGCAGTTCAACGAGTCTTTGGAGGAGTTCAAGCTGGCCACCGTTGGGATGAAGCAGGAGCACGTGGACAAGCAACGTGATGTGCAGCGAGCGGCCATAGAAGACTTTGCAGACCTCTTCTTCCCCGTGAGGGACCTAGCAGAGATCTCGCATGGCCTCACCTTTGCGGAGGCCAGCATCCACAAGTGCTGCGGCAAGATGTCGGCGCCGCAGGAAGCAGTCTTCAAGGTGTATTGGCTGAACTCCGCAGTGCTGGGCTATGATGCAGTGCTTGGAGTCTCCGAGGCCGTTGCAGAGTACGCAAGCCATGTGGCAAGCAGCCCAGCGAGCTCGTGCATTCTGGTTGCCGCTCCAACAGCAGGCGCTTGGGGGAGCGAGTACCATGAGACTGCAATCGTTGAGGCCACAGAGAAGGTGCGCCAGTTGCTGCAGCACAGCGAGCGCAGGCTGCTGGTTCGGGAGGTGTGCCTGCCCTTCCAAGTTGACAGCATCCAGGCACAGTCAAAGCGGCCAGGAATGCACAAAATTTTCCTTTGCGTTTCTGACCAGTGTGATGCATCCGGCCAGCCGGTCTCCAAGTTCACGCAGTCCCAGCTTTGGAAGAGACAGATTGTGGCTGGGAGCATCAAGGTCCCGATGGCTGCAGTGAAGCAGATGGTTGACCCGCGGAGGAGCTTCGTGGGTGCGTCTGGGCTGGCAGACAACTTGAGCAAGCCGTCGCGGAGGAAGCAGTGGCTTGCTGGCAAGTAACCGCTGCCCTGCAGGAAGCCTTGTGGTCTGGCATGGGCCAAGTGCTTCCCAAGGCAAGCATGGCTGCTTGGGTGGACGTTTTCATGTACGACCATTTTGCAGCCGAGGGCCTGATGCGGGCAATGGACAACCCGGCCAGTCCCGACATGATGTACATTGGGCTGGTGTGGGCTGACATGAGCTCCCGTGATCCCTCCAACTCTGGCGCCCAGCGAACCTCCGCAGAGGTCGGTCAAGACAACGCGAAGATCTGCAAATGGGTGAGGAAGCAGATTCGCCGAAAGCTGCAGGGCTATGCCACTGAAGGGGCGTTGAGTGTACCTGGCTGGGAGCCCATCACCGGGTTTCAGGAGACACGGGCTGTCCCACAAGTGACAGAAGCCGACTTCACACTGACCTACCCGGCAGCTTCCAACTTGCTTCCTCTGCGCAGCTGCATCTTGGAGACTCTTGCCAACAAGTTCACTCACGGTGATGCGGCAGCGGCTTGGGCAGAGCTGGTCAGTGAACACAATGCTGTTTGGAACCCTTCTGGCACCCCCCATGAGGAAACCAAAAAGCGAGCGGCGTCAGAGGAGGCAAGTGGCCACCACCCCAACAAGAAGGCCAAGGTGTTGGAGTCCAAGGCAGGGCAGCCAGCCTCTCTGGAGGAGCTCATTGCGCAGAAGGGCGCTGTGGTTGACTTGACAGAGACGGTGTCCAACGCCCATCTCTTCTTCACAGATGGTGGGGAAATCTGGGCTCTGGCTGACTCTGACACCACCTTGTCTGACCGTGGCCCGCCTCTGGCTCTCGTGTACGGGACGTTCAAGCTCAACGAGGCGGGTTGGGGCATCTGACTCCGTGCGCAAGGTGTTTGAAGTTTATGGAGTTGCTTGTTTCGCTTGGCAGGAAGCAAGCACGGCATCCAAGAAGAGCTCCTGCTTCCGTGCCACCTTCAACAGCGACACTGAGGAAGCGGTTTTCCGCAAGGCAGCCGACTCCGCCAAAGAATGCAAGCTGCGGACATTGCGCAGCTGGCTCAATGAGCAGGAGCAGCTTGGCTGTGACATCCAGGCAGTGGAGTTTGCCTGCCACTCCCTGAAGCCAGGCTCGGAGAAGGACAGAAAGTTGACGCGTGACATGGATTCTCGCAGTAGTTTGTGTGCCCACTGCTTGCCTTTCTTTGCTAGGACAGCGCCGGGGACACCACAGGGCGGGTCTATGAGGTTCAGGTGACGGACCCCTGTGTGTTCCTCCCTTCACGCACGCCGCGCAAGGTTGGGAGCGCAAAGGCCCCTGACTGGGAGGATGCTGGAAGCTTGTCTGTCAGTGGCCAAGCCACGAAGAACTGGAATCTTGAAGAAGGTACGCATAATTCAGGCAACCTTTCACTGAAGCACCGCTGGCTGTACAGTGACGGAGAGCAGGGGCAAACATGCAACCCTGAGAAGCCTGGCTTGTTCCCGAGTGTGCCGTTGCAGCTGAAGCAGGGCATTCTGGTGCAGCTTGCGTGATCTGCTGGCCCAGCAATTTCATGGCGCAACTCGGCTTTCCAGCGCTGAGTCCCTGAGCGCAGACTCAGAGTCAGAGCTGGGTTTTGAAAGCTTGGCGAGAGAGAGAGCTTGCGTGTCACAAAAAGGATTGAGCTGCACCTCTGTGTCTTGTTTTGCCTCATGTCGTCTTCCTAGGTTTGGCAGGCATTGCGCAAACAACATTTCGCCAGCTCAGAGTGTCAGAGGCCCCGAGACTCCGAGAACCGAGAAGCTGCCATGGCATCTTCGGACTCTGGTGGCGAGGACTGGATGGAGCTGTGCCAGGAGCCGGCTGCCAAGCCTGCCGTGAAAGAGCGCGCAGCGCCACCGGCAAAGCTTGCGACAGTGCCTGTCAACAAGGGTCAGCCCACCATGCCTCGCAAAGAGGCATCGTCCGCATGGAAAGCATGGATGCAGCCAAGGCCTGGATCCAGCGAGCTGGGGCACACTGAGACTCCACCACCCAAAGCCAGAAAAGACAAGCAAGCTTGGGAGAAGCACACGGCGGCAGCGGCACAAGCCGCCAAAAAGGCAGCTGAGGCAGCTGAGGCGTCCGTGCGGCTGGCACACATGGCTGCGCAACAAATGGCCCAGACCATGGCCAACCGAGTTGCAGCAGGCTCCCGGACCAGCCGCGCGCCTAACAAGGCTGAGCAGCCCACCCCGCCAAAACACTCACCACCGGCTGCTCTGCCAACAGAAAGTCCTCAGCAGGCAAATCCGTTGAAAAGAGCTTTGTCCTTCCAAGCAGAGACACCTGAGCAAGCTTCTCCAGAGGAGCCACAGCAGGAACCAACCAAGGAGGCATCGGCGGGGTCAGCGCCTGGCAAGGGTAAGAAAGACAGGGCCGCTCGATTCACCGCTGGGACATTTGCAGGGAATCGGCCACCAGCCAAAGCAGATCTGCGCGAGACGTTTGATTTGAAGAAGAAGGTGTTTGAGGAGTGCAGGGATGAGCTGGTGAAGAAGTACCCAGGCAAATGCGGCATTCTTGGCAAGACGAAGGCGCAGACAGCTTACTGGACCTTCTTGCAGTCCCACATTGGCAAGACCAAGGCCAAGAGCAAGACCAAGATGTCTCAAGCAGAGGCGCGCGACTGTGTTCGTGAGGCCAGCCAGCTTTGGAAAGCGCAGATGGAAAAATCTCTGTGCAAGAAGAAGTAGATTTTGTGACATTCGTTCACTGTGGGTTTCAGCCACTTTGCAGCTCAGAGGTCAGAGGCTGACTTCGGAGCCCCAGAGTGCAGGGGTGGGGCAACAGTCGCAACGAATCGAGAAGGAGAAAGGCTTTTGCAAGTGTCCGTCTCAGTTGTGCATGTGCCTTGCGTTTGCGCCTTGGGTTTTCTTGTGTGTTCGCAGCAATTGAGCAAAGTTTTTGTTGCCATGGCTAGCTGGAACCATGCCCGACTGGACGCGGCCCTCGCTGTGCAGCGAGAAAGCCCAGACAGCTGCCAGTACTTGGCAGCAGCCATGCGTTGGAGCTTCGCCTCCGCCCCCAGCAAAGAGGGCAAAGTGCGCAGCCAAGCCAGCTGTGAGTTGGCAAACGCCGCCTGTGACCAGCCAAAGCCAAGGCATGATCGTGGCCAGCAAGCCTCTCTGGACAAGTCCAAGGCCAGACTCTCTGGGATCTGAGTTCCAGAGTCCCAGAAACAGACCGATCGGCCCAATGGAAGCAGTGCCTGAGGTTCACCTCACGCTTGGCATGGCAATTCTTGCTGGGGGGCAGTTTGGTTTGACGTCGAGCGCTGACGCAGCAGCCATGGCAAAGGACGTGGCAGCTGAGCTGGCGCATGCATGCGCGTCCTCGCAAAGTGGCTCTGGGGCATGTTCTGTCTGCGAGGACGGGCTGCAGCTGCAAGATGTGATCGAGTTCCGCCGGGCCTATCACAACTTGGCTGTGGAAGGCAAGTCCTTCCTTCTGAGCACCTGCTATGCTGAAGGTTCAGCTTCCAGCGACTACACTCGTGTGCGCTGGCGCTTCCTGGGGAAGCGCGTTTGCACCCGCAGGCTTCTTAAGCTTCTGGGCACCAGCGCAAGAACTTTCACCAAGGCTGTGCAAGGCAGCATCGACAAGAGGCAGTTCAATGGAAGGCAGGCAACGGAAGCCAGCATGTCAGTGAACCAATTCTTTTTGGAGGTGTACCACTCAGCTGCTGAGTTTTTGCCAGAAGACCCCTCGTGTCACGTCACCAATGTGGACGCCAGCATCAACGCAGATGAGCTGGAGGGAGCGCCCGCCACTGCCAGCAAGCCAGCCTGTCACCCGACCCTGCCTTTGTTGGGCTGGGACCCGAGCGAAAGCATGGTTCAAGACCTTGGTGCTGCAGCTCTTGGCAACCCTGAGCCACTGCCCACCAGATACGTGCAGCACTTGAAGCCCGTGGACCTGTGGTGGCAGTATCTGGCCTGGGCGCTGGTGCGGTGCCCGCAGAGCAAAACTGCAAGCTGGAGCACCTTTTGGCGAGCCTGGCAGTCGAGTTTCTTGGCAGGTTTGTGAGATTCGTTCTTTTGTATAAACTGTGTTTTCCAGCCGATTTGAGTAAGGATGGAGGCATTCGATTGGGCTCCGAAAGGTCTGCCAACACAGCCAGTGCAACCAGTGCTTCGAGCACTCGCAGTTCATACATAGCAGCGGGGCTCCATCTGCAGAGAAACACCTCCGAGCCCGGGCATGGCAAGAGCACCTCCGAGCGCAGTATAAGGACCGTTTGATTTACTGGCACACCCGATGGCTGTCTCGGAGGCCTGATTCAGAGTCCCGAGTCCTGTGCATCATCATCGATGGCCTCGACAAGAACAAAGGTGTTTGGCCACAGTAAAGTAGTTTTCGTGGCAGTTGGGGTCCATTCGTGGCAGTTGGGGTGCAAGGGGGTTCCACCCTGGTTTTTTGCACCTGCTTTCCTTGGACAAGACTCCCGGACGTTGCCGCTTCGCCTCAAGGCGGCTGCTGTGAAGAATGCAGTTCAAGATCGCGTCCCTCTGCACAGCGGAGAGCTTGTGCGCTGAGTTCCTTGGCCAACGATAGGAGGCAGGCCCAGTTTATCAAATGCCTCAAAGGAAAGGATTCTGGCGACATGCTTTGAAGTGAATGGTAATGCCAAAAGTCTGGCAACGCCCATTGTACTCCTCAGGAACAGACGCGAGGAGCTGCTGCATAAGGGTGAGGTTGTTGGTGACATCCTTCCCTGGGCAATCTTCCTTTCCCAGCTCCACATCGCGGAATGGAATCCGCCGACATTGCTCGGTGCAACCCCCCCCCTTAACCCCCCCCCCGACGCGAGGTACAGGGGGCGGGGGGTACCCCCACGTACCGCGCGGCAATTTGATGACGTTCCACTAAACGTAGTCTTTGGGGAGCCGGTGTCGCAAAACAGGGGTCCCAGGCTCGATTCCCCCTGCCGGCTTTTTGCTGGTTTCGGTTTCCTGCCTCCTTTTCCCGACAATCTGGAAAAAACCTGGTGTTTTTGGACGCCCTCTTTGCGAAAACGCTGGAAAACCCGTGTTTTTGACGGGAAATACTGGGGAGCAGAGGGGAAATGCAAGGATACATACATACATACCTACATTACATACATACCTACATACATTACATACATTACATACATACATACATACATACATACACACATACATACATACATACATACATACATTACAAACATACATACATACATACATACATACATTACATACATACATACATACATCACATCACATCACATCACATCACATCACATCACATCACATCATACACATCACATCACATCACATCACATCACATTACATTACATTACATTACATACATACAGACAGACAAACAGACATACATACATTCATACATACATTCATTACATACATACATACATACATACATACATACATACATACATACATACATACATACATACATACATACATACATACATACATACATACATACATACATACATACATACATACATACATTACATACATACATACATACATAACATACATACATACATACATACATACATACATACATACATACATACATACATACATACATACATACATACATACATACATACATACATACATACATACATACATACATTACATACATGCATACATACATAACATACATACATACATACATACATACATACATACATACATACATACATACATACATACATACATACATACATACATACATACATACATACATACATACATACATACATACATACATACATACATACATTACATTACATACATACATACATACATACATACATTACATACATACATTACATACATACATACATACATACATACATACATACATACATACATACATACATACATACATACATACATACATACATAACATATACATACATACATACATACATACATTACATACATACATACATACATACATACATACATACATTACATTACATACATACATACATACATACATACATACCATTACATTACATTACATTACATTACATTACATTACATTACATTACATTACATTACATTACATACATACATACATACATACATACATACATACATACATACATACATACATACATACATACATACATACATACATACATACATACATACATACATACATACATACATACGTACATACATACATACATACATACATTACATTCATACATACATACATACATTTACATACATACATACATACATACATACATACATACATACATACATACATACATACATACATACATACATACATACATACATTACATACATACATACATACATACATTACATACATACATACATACATACATTACATACATACATACATACATACATACATACATACATACATACATACATACATACATACATACATACATACATACATACATACATACATACATACATACATACATACATACAATACATACATACATACATACATACATACATACATACATACATACATACATACATACATACATACATACATACATACATACATACATACATACATACATACATACACACATAACATACATACATACATACATACATACATACATACATTACATAACATTACATTACATTACATTACATTACATTACATTACATACATACATACATACATACATACATACATTACATACATACATACATACATACATACATACATACATACATACATACATTACATTACATTACATACATTACATACATACATTACATACATACATACATACATTACATACATACATTACATTACATTACATTACATTACATTACATTACATTACATTACATTACATTACATTACATTACATTACATTACATTACATTACATTACATTACATACATACATGCATACATACATACATATGAGCGAGGGAGATTGGGGAGAGAGAGAGGCTTGGGGGGATGGGGAGGATGGGGAGCAGGGGGAGGGAGTGAGGACGACAAAACACACAAGGGAGACAAGGGAGAGAGGAAGAAGGAGAAAAGGGAAAGGTCTCTCGGCTGGACCCTACAGCCTCCACGGACGTGTACACTTGACGAGCGCTCGGCAAAAACCTCAGGCAAAATGGTCACAGTACAATGTTAGCACTGTTCGCTTCCTGCCTAGGATTTGGATTTATTTTTCCAGCCAGGCTTCAAAGTCAGAAGCTTTCAAGAGGTGTTCCAGCAAGATTGGGCGTCGGAAGTTTTTCTGGTTTCGTCGCACGTTTCCCTCAGGAGCTTTGGGATTTTTTTCCGGCGAGGTTTTGCGGCAAGATTTCCGGCGAGCTTTTGGCGTTAGCATTTTTCCCGCAAGGTTGCGCGGCAAGATCTCCGGCGTGATCTCGGCGTTGCATTTTTTCGGCGAGGTCTTGTGACAAGATGTCCGGCGAGGTTTTGGCATTATCATTTTCCGGCGAGGTTTCGCGGCAAGTTTTCCGGCGAGTTTCCGGGAAACTCACCAGAAAATGGTAGGGGAAAACCTGCCCCAAAAAACCCTCGCCAGAAGCCAAACGGGCTCACAAGAAAATTGCCTGTGGAGCCTCCCCTAGACCAATTCCTCACCAGAAACCAGACGGGCTTTTTAAAAAAAAATATCTGGTGAGTTTCCGGGAAACTCACCAGATTTTAAATGGTAGCTCCACCTAGCAATTTTTTGCAACTTTTGGCCCTAGCCCGGCTACCATGCTGGGGGGAAAAGTTGCAAAATTGGCTAGGTACAGCTACCATTTAAAATCTGGTGAGTTTCCCGGAAACTCACCAGATAATTTTTTTAAAAAAGCCCGTCTGGTTTCTGGTGAGGAATTGGTCTAGGGGAGGCTCCACAGGCAATTTTCTTGTGAGCCCGTTTGGCTTCTGGCGAGGGTTTTTTGGGGCAGGTTTTCCCCTACCAGGTAGTACCATTTTCTGGTGAGTTTCCCGGAAACTCGCCGGAAAACTTGCCGCGAAACCTCGCCGGAAAATGATATCGCCAAAACCTCGCCGGACATCTTGTCACAAGACCTCGCCGAAAAAATGCAACGCCAAGAGCTGGCCGGAAATCTTGCCGCAAAACCTCGCCGGAAAAAAATCCCAAAGCTCCTGAGGGAAACGTGCGACGAAACCAGAAAAACTTCCAACGCCCAATCTTGCTGGAACACCTCTTGAAAGCTTTTGACTTTGAAGCCTGGCTGGAAAAATTAATCCAAATCCTAGACAGGAAGCGAACAGTGCTAACATTGTACTGTGACCATTTTGCCTGAGGTTTTTGCCGAGCGATCGTCAAGTGTACACGTCCGTGGAGGCTGTAGAGTCCAGCCAAGAGACCTTTCCCTTTTCTCCTTCTTCCTCTCTCCCTTGTCTCCCTTGTGTGTTTTGTCGCCCTCACTCCCTCCCCCTGCTCCCCATCCTCCCCATCCCCCCAAGCCTCTCTCTCTCCCCACTCTCCCTCGCTTGTATGTATGTATGTATGTATGTATGTATGTATGTATACATGCATGCATACATACATACATACATTACATACATACATACATCACATCACATCACATCACATCGCATCACATCACATCACATTACATTACATACATACATACATTACATTACATACAGACAGACAAACAGACATACATACATTCATACATACATTCATTACATACATACATACATACATACATACATACATACATACATACATACATACATACATACATCCATACATACATACATACATACATACATACATACATACATACATACATACATACATACCATACATACATACATACATACATACATACATACATACATACATACATACATACATACATACATACATACATACATACATACATACATACATACATACATACATACATACATACATTACATTACATACATTACATACATACATACATACATACATACATACATACATTACATTACATTACATTACATTCCATTACATACATACATACATACATACATATGTACATGCATGCATACATTACATACATACATACATACATACATACATACATACATACATACATACATACATACATACATACATACAAACATTACATACATACATACATACATACATAAATACATACATACATACATACATACATACATACATACATACATACATACATACATACATACATACATACATACATACATACATACATACATACATACATACATAAATACAGACATACATACATACATACATACATACATACATACATACATACATTACATACATACATTACATACATACATACATACATACATTACATACATACATACATTACATACATACATACATACATCACATCACATCACATCGCATCGCATCACATCACATCACATTACATTACATACATACATACATTACATTACATACAGACAAACAAACAGACATACATTCATACATACATTCGTTACATACATACATACATACATACATACATGCATACATACATACATACATAACATACATTACATACATAAGTACATACATACATACATACATACATACATACATTACATACATACATACATACATTACATACATACATACGTACATGCATACATACATTACATTACATTACATTACATTACATTACATTACATTACATTACATTACATTACATTACATACATTCATTACATACATACATACATACATACATACATACATACATACATACATACATACATACATACATACATACATTACATACATACATACATACATACATACATACATACATACATACATACATACATACATACATACATACATACATACATACATAACATACATTACATACATAACATACATACATACATACATACATACATACATACATACATACATACATACATACATACATACATACATTACATACATACATACATACATACATTACATCACATCACATCACATCACATTACATACATACATACATTACATACATACATACATACATACATTACATACATACATACATACATACATACAGACAGACAGACATACATACATACATACATTACATACATACATACATACATACATTACATACATACATACATACATACATACATTACATACATACATACATACATACATACATACATACATACATACATACATACATACCTACCTACTTTACATACATACAATACAATACATACATACATACATACATACATACATACATACATACATACATTACATACATAGATACATAGATACATAGATACACACATACATAACATACATAACATACATACATACATACATACATACATACATACATACATACATACATACATACATACATACATACATTACATACCTACCTACATACATACATACATACATACATACATACACACATACATACATACATACATACATACCTACACACATACATGCATACGTACATACATACATTACATACCTACATACATACATACATACATGCATGCATGCATACATTACATTACATTACATTACATTACATTACATTACATTACATTGCATTGCATTGCATTACATTACATTACATTACCTTTCTTTACATTGCATTACATTACATACATATGTATGTATGTATGTATGTATGTAATGTATGTATGTATGTATCCTTGCATTTCCCCTTGGCTCCCCAGTATTTCCCGTCAAAAAAACGGGTTTTCCAGTGTTTTCGCAAAGAGGACGTCCAAAAACACCGGCTTTTTTCCAGATTGTCGGGAAAAGGAGGCAGGAAACCGAAACCAGCAAAAAGCCGGCAGGGGGAATCGAGCCTGGGACCCCTGTTTTGCGACACCGGCTCCCCAAAGACTACGTTTAGTGGAACGTCATCAAATTGCCGCGCGGTACGTGGGCGTACCCCCCCCCTGTGCCCCACGTATCAGACGTCGAGGGGGGGGGGGTAAGGGGGGGGTTATCCTCCATCCTCTCTTAGGTGTCCGACACGCCAAGCAATGTCGGCGGATTCCAGTACGCGATGTTGGAGCTGGGAAAGGAAGATTGCCCAGGGAACAGACTTTTTGGCATTACCATTCACTTCAAAGCATGTCGCCAAAATCCTTTCCTTTGAGGCATTTGATAAACTGAGCCTGCCTCCTATCGTTGGCCAAGGAACTCAGCCCACAAGCTCTCCGCTGTGCAGAGGGACGCGATCTTGAACTGCATTCTTCACAGCAGCCACCTTGAGGCGAAGCGGCGACGTCCGGGAGTCTTGTCCAAGGAAAGCAGGTGCAAAAAACCAGGGTGGAACCCCCTTGCACCCCAACTGCCACGAATGGACCCCAACTGCCACGAAAACTACTTAGTATCGGTGGCGCAAGCCAAAGGTCTTGGACAAATTCAATCGTCCCCGCATCACGGTCCACGCAGCGATGGCGCACGGCTACACCTGTGACTTCTACTTGGCAGACGATGAGGACTTCTTCCATGGTGCTTCGTTCTTCTGCGAGGTGCTCACCCGCACCCTGGCCAGAGTTCAGAGGATTGCAGAGGGCAGAGGGCAGCGCATGCCGGAACACTTGGTAGTGCAGTCCGACAACACAACTGCACAGGCCAAGAACGCGGAGGTCTGTAAGTACTTGGCCGTTCTGGTGCGCAAGTTCAGATTCAAAAGCGCAGTTCTCAATTTTCTTCGGGTTGGGCACACGCATGAAGACGTCGACTTCCTCTTCAGCATGCTGCTGGCGCTGGTCCTTCGCCGTGTCCGCTTTCAGGTTCCGGAAGAGCTGCGCTTGGCTATCTTGAGCCTGACCTGCATGAGGGCGCACCGCTGTAGGGTTTTCTTCTTTTGAGACTTTGCGCATGATGCCGCAGCTGAGGACTGGCATGTCAGCCATCGTGGCCGGCAAAGGCTATGACTTGCACTGCGAACTCATGTCCCACGTGCGCAACTTCAAGGAGTGGATGGACCCTATGTGTGTGCACCCGCATAACTGCTGGAGAGCACGGCAGGGGATAGAGAGCCCTCATTCCTTTACCTTCAAGCTACGCATGGACTTGACGCAAGCAGAGTTCTCTTGGCTGCAGCAGAGTCCAACAGATAGGGGGTGGCCCGCGCATGAGCTGGACGTTTTCGTTGTTGTCAAGCACTACATGGCAAGCGAGTCTCCGAATGGCCCACCCGTCCTTCTGATTCCAAACTCGCGCTACCTTCGCATGCAGCAGGCTGCCCCTCAAGGCAGCTGCTACGCCACGCACCCCATGAATGAAAAGCGCCGGAAGGAGCTGCGGAAACTGGCAGAGGCTTTGGAAACCTTGTCTAACGAGTGGGCCGCCGAACATTCCTACTTCCGAGCAGCCAGAGAGCTGCGCCTGCTCGCAAATGGGAGGGACGCACTTCGCTCCACTGATGGGTTCCTGGAGGCAGCCTCTGCTGACAGGCGTGCGGCGCTGGAGCCTTCTGCCGCAGCCTCAGTAGCGTGCTTTGACAAATTTACATGTTGTGATTGCATGGCACTTTGCCAAGGACAACCCCTACTTTCGAAATCTGCCGGGGGTGTCGTGGCAAATGCTTGTCAAGTTCAACTGAGAGCTGACTGCCAGAGTGCTGACACGCCCAGGAGTGAAAACGGTAATTGGTGCATTTTGCGGGAAGGTTTTGCAGGGCATTGGTTTGAGCCACCGTTTCTTGTGCACTTCAGGCTGAGCGTTAGGAAATAGTTTCAGAGTCCCAGAGGCTCTGAGGCCCAGGTCCCGTGACGCCATGGCCGCCTTGTTTGGCTTGACTGCCCTTTGCATCCTGCAGAGCACGGACTTTGCCGGGATTCCACGCAACCTAGATGTGGCAGAAGTGTTTTGCGGAGTGGGCAGCATTGCACTTGCTGCCGAACGCGCCGGCTTCGCTGCTGGAAGGTTTGACAAGCATCGCGTTGGCGGTTGCACAGATCAGGACCTAGGGATGTCGGAAGACATGACAACCAAAGACGGCTTCTTCCGGGCAGTGCGCCTGGTCATGCGCCTGCGTGAAGGGGGGCTTCTTTGGCTGGCTCCTGTTTGCTCTTCATGGGTTGGACTGAACATTTCACGGACCAAGCGCAGCTCTGCAAACCAGTTCAGGGGCAACCCAATCTATGCTCCAGTCGCACTTGGCAACATCATGGCGCTGGCCTGTGCCATCCTCATGGAAGTGGCTCACCGAAGAGGCGTGCAAGTTGTGATTGAAAACCCTCCATCAAGCACCTTGTTCAGATTTCCGGCTTTGGAGCAGGCCTTGGGCCGGCTAACGGCCTTTGTGTGCACCACCTGCCGCTGTGCCTTCGACAAGTCCAAAGACGGCACCAGGCTCTGGAAGCAGTACAAGCTTGTGGCATCAGCTGGCTGGATCAGACAATTGGCAAGGCAATGCCCATGCAAGAGCCAGAAGCACCAGGCTTTGACTGTGACATGGACAAACTCTGCAGGAAAGAGGTGCTTCAAGGGCGTGAAGAACTTGCTTCAGAAGTCAGCTGAATATCCGCCTGCATTTGGAACTCAGGTTGTGGCAAAGTGGCAGAGCCAGCCAGAAAGCACACCGCCATCAACGCCATCAAGCGCTTCAAGAAAACCTTCACGGCAAAAAAGAAAGCTCGCCTGGACAGAGCCTGCCCTTGAGCCTCAGAGTACCAGAGCTCTGAGTATCCGAGCCCCTGCAAAAGCCAGCCGGCCAAGTGCAAACACGAGCTGGTGCCAACCAGCTTTGGACAGGTAAAAGCCTGCTGCCCGGGCAGTGAGCTGAGATGAGGTGGAAAAAGCTAGCTGCGATGCTGTCTGGCAAACTTAAGATTTCCAGACGCACCAGTTGTTTCCCAGACACGGGCAGCGGTTTCCAGACACCTGCAACTGCCTCGCCTGCCAGGTGCCCCGGCTGTGTCCTCTGACATCAGGGACTCCGCGTTGGCAGGGCTTTGGCCTCAGCATCAGGAACCGTACGAGGTTGTGTGCTGGAAAGAAATGTTTGGCTCCCTCCCTTGTTTCAGCATTCTGGAAAGTTGTTCGGTTTTGGATGGACAAGCAGCTGGCAACGATTGCTTGATCTTGGCTATGACTGAACCTCGAGCATGCCCACGGTGCTAAAGAACTTGAAGAACACACCCATCCAAAACCGAACACTTTTCAAATGAGGTCGTCGTCGCAAAGGAGCAGCGAGGTCAACCCAGATATTTGCTCTCATTGGGAGTTGGCCCCTGGGGTTTCAGAATGTGCCCAGCAACACCAGCATTAACACCCCTTTGGAGGAAAGCGCCTAGCCCTGGAGCCACACTGTGTGGCCTCTCGTCCAGAAAGAAATTTTGTTTTAGAGGTACCAAAAGCTGCAATCCTTGAAGAGTGTTTGCAGCAAAGGCAAACCTGCACAGGCGTTTCAGTCAGGGCACATCAAGGCCAACCCACCGTTTTGAAGCTGGGCAAAGGTAGCGAATAAGTATCGCATCTCTCGACCAAACAGGAGCCACCTGCAGCGACTATTGCTTTCAAGCGTGGCCTTAGACCAGGCCACACAAACAACCAGAACATCAGGGCCTTAAGCGAATCGATGGGCTGAAGCTTGCTGAGCACAGCGCGTTGTTAAATTGGTTGAGACTCGCCAACCTGAAGGTTATTTGGATCAAGGTCAATGTAGTGGGCACGCTGGCCTGAACGTGTCTGTTTTTAGTTTGCGTCTTGGTTGTTTTGTCAAGCTAATTTACCAGTTTCATCAAACTGGTTGGGTTTTGAGGGAAGGCTTATTACGCTGAAGTCGGCAATGCTGGGGTTATCGGGGCTGCGTGTGGAAGGACGGGCAGTGCGTTTGCAAGAACGGTGGGTACTACTCCATATGCCATGCAAGCGGCCACCGCAATCTGCTTGAGAAGTGAAAGACTTGAGGCGGCAAGCCGTGGACGCCGCAGCCGGCAGCTCATTTAGTTGCGCCGAGTTTTTTCTGTAGGCTATTTTTGGCAAAGTATGCCCTGACCAGTAGACGGGAACTAGCGCGCAGGCGGTAGCGTTTGGCGTGGCCTTGTAGAGCGCAGAGCTTGAGGGCGCAACGCGTAGTAGGGCTGTGTAGTTTAGTGCCAGCGTTGGGGCTGCGCTGTACTGCTGCGTGCGCCGCGCGTTAGCTCTGTTCTTAATTTGAGTTTAACGGCGGCTGCGCTTGCAGCCAGAATAAATGTTCACTGGTTCAGGGATGCGCGAGGGCGACAAGGCGCTTGGGGGCTTGGGTAAAACCGCGTCTCGGCTGTCAGAGAATGAATGGTTCAGCCATGCCCACGGAAACTTGAAAAACCAATGAGCCGAGGCCCTGGCTTGGCGAAGCTGCTTATGGCGGCAGCCGCCAGCGACAGCCGCTGCCCCCCCCCCCCCCGCCCAGCCCAGGTAAACTGCCCCAAGCTTAAGAATAGGGGATAGCAGGGGCGTTGTCAAACATAAAGCCTACTGACGGGCTTGCTGCCTTTGGACTGAGAATTTGAAGGGCAATTCTTGAACAGCTATATTCGCGTGCTTGTTTTAAACCAGCTTCTTCCCATTCCAAAGGCTAGCCGCCCGTTACCTCCATTGACTACAGTGTTCAAACAGGGGTTTTAGAAAGGTGTCGGCTTTGGATGGGCCAGTCTGGGCCTAGCACAAGTGGCAAATCACAACTTCTTACAAACACTGGGAAGCACAGAACATGTTTTTCACTTTGTCTACTATGCTAGACCCAGCATGGCGCATCCAAAACCGACACCTTTTCTAAAACCCCCAGTAACCCCCAGTAACCCCCAGTAACCCCCAAGGAAGCAATTATTTGCTGGGTTTTCTCACGTAAACCTGGGAGTGGGCTTTTATTGCCAGTATTTTGGTCAGTACTTCCTTGAAAGGGGCCATGCAGTTTCAATGCCAGACACGCTGCAAGGCTCTGACAAACAGTAGTACATGATGCGAGGGACCTTCTCACAGAGCCTCACACAGGTCTAACATGAACTTGCATGACCCCAAATATGAAGAGCCCATTCCTGAGGTTTACATGATATTAATGCCCCAAAATAGACTACCGGAATCAAAAACCAGACTACCACAATCAATGATCACCGGTTGGAGGTCCGCCGACTTTCGCGAAACTTTCGCGGATCTTACGCCAAACATTCGCGAAAATCCGGATGGAAGTTGCGCTCAGCTTGCCCCGACAGCTTGAAACCTCCCAGAAGCTGGTTTCTGCTGGCCGGGGGTTGCTGTTGCAGCGGCGTATTCTTGCGGCGACCTACGCATTCTCCGACCAACTTTAGTCTGCGGGCATTCTGCGTGCACTGCCGGTAAATACACATGGTTCATCACTGCAGCTTCTTGTTTGCGAGCCACACAAAACTTTCGCGGAAAAAAACAAATAACTTCCGCGACCCCCTTCGCGGAACTTTCGCGAAGGTCAACGCTAAGACCAAAAGGTCTTCCCCTTCACAACTGAATACAACGACCTTTCGGACGACTCTCATATGGCTGTGGCTCAAAACATGTACCAAAATGGCAGCTTGGCAAATGGAAACAAGGACTAAAACCTGCGTAACCCTAGCTCTTTAAATTTGAGCCACTCCCATGTGCCCTCAAAGCCTTGGGGGTGGTTTGGAGTAGTGGAAAGGGAGGGTGGGCAACAATCCTTGACTTAAGTGCGGGCACTTTGGCTTGGGGAGGGTATTCCCTGTTTGCATTGCATGCAAAGTCAAATGGCTGTGGGAAATGGAACCAAGGACTAAAACCTATGGTCCCCTGGTGGTTTAATTTTGACCCACACCCAAATGGATGGGCTAGATGTTCTCCGGTTCTCGACTTGTCAAGGAGGCACAACATGCCTCTCAAGCGTCAAGTCCCTAAATCTAGCACCTCCCCGACACATGGCCCTATTGACGGATCCTGGTTCCAACAAGCAACAAATCACCAAACATCAGAAGGACACAAACAAATCGGCCCCTGAGTGCATGTCAAGTAAGACTATCAGGCAATTCAATGAGCCATTGTCAAAACTGCTTCTGATGGCCATGGTCATGGTTGCCTGAATAACCTTTACAAGTCAAAATTGGTTGTCTAAAATTATGAGTGGCCGAGCCAACAAAAGGATTGAAACGAAGGACGCAAAATATCTGGCAACATACAATTCAATTGGGACTCACCGAAAATACATTCATCAAACCCACACATTCCAAGGGTCTGCGAATTGTATCCTTTCAACAGTGCCAGGCCCTAGCCAGCATGAAGCCGCTATTCTTGGGCTGGTCTGGGAGCTTCTGAGTTGGTGCCTGTTCTCCAAAAAAGAATGTTTGGGGCTGACGCCAGTCAAGGAAAGCAAGAAACCCTTGATTTGACAGGTTCTCCCAGAAAACAAGTGTGTGCTTTGTTTTGTCCGAAAACCATGCTTTCCCCAGAGGGGCATAACAACATGGAACCTCCAGACCGGGGGTGTTGGGTTCCCATAGGGCCTTAACCCAAAACTGGACACCATCTTGGGCTCCCTTGCCTCGCCAAGGCTCCTCAAACTCCCGAAGTCCCACTCCTACCTCTGGCGTCCATCCGTATTCTTGGCACAGCTCTTCGTACTGCTCTTCCCAGAACTCCTCACCTCACAGCACATCAAAGGACCAGACCCGCCACTGACTTACCCCTCTCTCCCAGCCGGTCGCCTTCGTCGTAGCCGGTGAGCTCCGCATAGCGCCTAGGGATGGAGGGGAATGGTCAATATGAGAATTGTGCCCCACCCAAAACTCCGGGAGTTTTGGCTCCAAGTAGGTTTGAATCGAATCCTTGCTCTAAACCTCATGGGTAGCAGAATCCGTTTAACATGGTGCCAGGGGGGCTCGGGCGCCGCTCAGCTGACATGCGTGGTTTTTCGCCAAACCAAAAATGTGTGGACCCCTGCTTGGGTGGTTTTAAAGAAAACAACCTTACAACAGACCCCAACCCATTTTGGGGCTCCCGCATTTTGAAAGAAAATTCCACAAGTGACCCATTTTGGGGCTCCCGCATTTGCAGAAAATTAAGCACAAGTGAAGCCAAGCTGTCCCAGCCTAAACTCCCGGGAGGTGAGCAACTCCTTGCGCCGCACGTCCAAACATCGGAAGGCCTCTGCAACTAGAGCCGATCCTGGGCGAGGCCGGCACAGGTCCATGTGGCAACCCGCTCATTTTGGGTCCTAGTTCCTTGGTTGCTGTTGGCCCCCCTGCAAAAAGCTTAACTTTTTGGGGGTTAGCGGAAAACACTTGAGTTCCCAGAAAGTTAAAGTTTAAAGATAAAACCCAATAGCAGTCAAGGTTGTTTGCTCATTTTGGTCCTAGTTAGCTTTTGGGCCGTTTTGGGCGTTTGCAGCCGCCGCTCATCTTGGTCGTGGCTTCCGAATCATGTTCATTCTGGTCGTAGCTAGAAAAACAAAACTGGCCAAAGCACTTTGTTTCCAGCCAGGCAACCCCAAATCAGAGCAATCAAACCAATCAAATATGTTTCCGGGACCGGCGTAAACCAACCGAAGAACCAGGACCGAAACGAGCAGAAACTAGAGCCTTGGCTTGCCCTCCAATGGGTCCGTGGTTTTGGAGACTACCCTGTGAGGTGGCCTTCAATCCAAGCCAAAAGGAAACCACATACCCATAGAGTACGTGACAAATATCGGGGTCAAAATATGGCGGGCTCATGTTTTCTAGTTTGCCACCTCCAATGTCTGCCGCTGCCCCCAATTTTGAGAACACTCCCCACAGTTTACCAGGGTTTGGGGGTGTCGGTGAGAAGGGTACATCCAAACACCATCTGGTGAAATCAAGAAGTTGGATCCTCTACACCAGCGGACTTTTGAACTGGCCCGTGGCACCCTGTTTGCCCCCGGAACACAAAACCTGAGCACACGGGGGGGGGGGGTGTTCTTGGCTGGTGTACTTTCAAAGATCTTGTACTCCTATGTATTAAAATGATTAGATCGCAAACATGGTTGCTGTCCTTTTCATTAAGCTCAAAGGGCAAACGTACCCCGGTTGCGGCACGAGAGTCTGTCCAGCTCCGTAACATCCACGCGGTTGCGGGAGGCAGTCTTGCCAGCGAGTTGGGACATTTGGTCGAAAGTTCGCCTGTCAGCAAGCAACTCAGCCACAGCCTTGTGCTGTCAGGGGCCCCCAAAGAGCCGGCACAAGCGAAGACATTCAATCCTGCAACGTTCAACTCAGGTGTCTGGGTCATTTTGGAGCCGCCCTTCGTAGAGAGGGATGGGTGCATGGGAGGTCTGAAAATCAATGTGCGCAAAGGCCCAACCTGGCCAAGATCGGCAAACCCCGTTTGCTCGGGTGGCGCCAGCGGTCTTGGATCCCTTGACTCACATCCGCCACCAGTTGGCGTATTCACTGGAACATGCCTGGCAGGATGCCCCCTCCGCCAGGGCCTGGGGAGAGTTTAGGTGGAGTCAATATGAGTCAATATCACAGACGCACAACCACACAGACCCACAGACACACAGACCCACAGACCGACACACGCACACACACCCATCTGAGCTCATCTGGGGATTTCTCAAATCGTGGGCCCCCAAAAAACTTGTTGGCCTTCTTTGTTGTTCTGGGTGCCTTTTAAATACCAACCCAACGGGGGGCCGGGAGCCCACCATTTGGGAAATGTGCCAAGCAGGGGGGCCCCAACATTGTACTGTTTGTCCTCGTCCAACCTGAGAAGGGTACCCTAAGACACACACACACACACACATTTGGAGAAACCCCAATCTGGAACCGACCAGTCCTCTTCTTCGGGGACATGCGAAGCTCCATCAAAATGGCTTTCAGCTCCTCGTCGGAACCCATCTGCTCCTCAGAAAGACCCCTCTAGGTTGCTTTTGGACTAAAAGTGTTGCGGGTTTCACAAAGGAGCAATATGCCTCAAATGGAGTATAAATTGTGCCTAAAGGGATGTTTGGGGGCTATGAGCTTTCTCGTGCTTTACACCCTTGAGAATTGAAATGAGCAAGGGCTCAAATTGGTCTAGAATAGAAAGGATTTACTGCATCCCTTGGCTGCTCAAGAAATTATGCGGAGGATGCCCTGAATTTGGAAAGTAGAGACCCTGAAATTATTCACCCACAATTTTCAGCTTTGTGTGGTTGGATGTGTTTGGATATGACTTGCCACATTCTGAGATCTACTGAGGGGTTGATACGAGGGAAGAAGGTTCTTGTGTTTCGCTTGAATGGTTTAAACATCACCTTTGAGTTACTGTATTTCGCGTTCAGCTTCTGACAAGCAGCCAGCGCCTTTTGATCCTGTGGTGGGAACAGGACTCCTTGCCCAACCTAAAGACGTCACCCTACCGAGACAATCTCAATCAGCATTAACATTGGCACCCAGGTGCAACCCGTTTGAGGCATGGATAAAAAGGAGCTGTGGGGCAACTTCAGTGATTTCATCTCTAAAAAGAGAACCCAAGGCCCGGGGCTATAAATCCGGCTTCTGAGCATGGCGCGCCTGCCCGTGCCGGATCCAGGAGGGTGCCGTTTTGTGACAGGAATTCTTAGTGCCGGTCCTGAGGAAACCGACAGTTGTCACCCAGTCATCTGGGCAAATATATGCAAATTCAGGGAATCCACCAGTAAAGGACCTTCCAGGGGTGACTTTGCTGTACTCACGGGGCTTGAAACAAAAACAAAAATACTAGGTGTCAAACAAGTTGCGCGTCAAGACCAACCAAACCGCCAGCTCCCGAAGCTGCCAGCCCCAAGGCCACCCAACCCAGATGGGCAAATGGAGGGCTTTCGCGCTGGAAGGCAGCACATAGTATAGGTACAGGAATACCACTCATGTACCTCCCGCATGTCGGTGTTGGCTGGCTCACTTAAACAAACACCATGGCTTACCACCAATAGCTCCAGGTTGAAACGGAGCCCATCTTCAGTGGGGAACCATGGGGAAGCCGGCAAGCGAGGAGGTCCACTGAACAACGGAGAGCCTGCTAGGCAGTTTATACCCTGTTTAAGTTGTATTTTAAAGAGCGCCCATTCCTTTAAGATACCTGGGGCGGGTGGTTGTCAAAATCAAAGACCCTTTTGTAAATGACGGCTTCTTCCACGGCAAACAAATCGACCATAGGTTGGACATGACCACGGCGTTTGCAGCTCAGCGGCATCTTTCATGAGCCCGGCGAATTCCAGTCGACTGATGCCGGTATCCTGCATCAAAAAGCTCAGTCATCCTTGGCTCATGCAAGTCTATGTATATATATATATATATGTATAAGTACTAAGTATACCCCAGTGATTGCATTTGGCTGTATATGTAGGCAACAGAACCACCCGTTAAAAACTCGAATTGGAAGGGTGCATACTGTACTGTCCCCCCTTTGGCTGTTCTTTGGCTCATGCGTACCCCCACTGATTGGCCTTGGACTCTGTGGGTGTGACGCGCGGCAGAAACAACCAACCAACCAAACAAACAATATGCAAACAAAGAACAAGCAAGCACGCACACACACAATCACAAAAGTAAAAAACAAACAAACAAACAAGCAAGCAAGCAAGCAAGCAAGCAAGCAGGCAAGCAGGCAAGCAAGCAAGCAAACAAACACATAGCCAAACAAACAACAGGAAACAAACACGCGAACAAACGATCGAGCCAGCAAGCAAGCAAGCAGGCCGGCAGGCAGGCAGGCACGCAAGAAAACAAGCAAGCAGCCAAACAGCCAGACGGCCCCACAGCCAGCCAGCCAGCAAGCAAGCACGCAGCAAGACCACGCCCAGAGCCATCTGGCCATGGGGCAAAATCCAAATCGTACCCCGCGTGAACATCCACATCCCAATCCCCACTAAAATTAAGCCTAAAATGGGTGGTGCACCTACCCCAAAATGGAACCCTGGTAATGGAAACATGGACTAAAACCTGCGGTCCCCTGGTGGCTTAATTTTGACAACCACAGTCATCTCTCTTTCGGGGTCCTTGCTCCAGCCCTGGTCCGCACAGAGGTCTTCATACTCCTCGGCCCACTCGTCGGCATCACCCTCAAAGCCAGACAGCACCGCGTACCCTGAGCCGCGCGGGCAAAATTGCTCGTTCCCTCAAGTTTGGCCCTTCAAATTTGTTTGTTGTTCATTTCATTGATTTGTTTCTTGCCTTTTTGGGCTATACCTTTGAACAAACCACTCAAAGACCGCCCCTGTCCCCCGCTGCTTGGGGGTTTACTGGGGCCCGCAAGCAAGGCCCAAGGAGGCAATAAGAGTTGGGAGGCTCTTAGTGGGGGAGTTCAACAAAAGCCGTGAAGGATTATATAACATGGAAAAACAGGGAAACCTCCAAAAGAAGGCTCCAAAAAAGGGGTAATTACCCTCCAACACAATGTGTCCATGAACAATCACAAAAGTACCTCCCTTCCGTTAACATAGCACCTGTGGGAGGCTACCTGGAAGATCAAAGTTCTCTTCAAGGCACCACCTGCAAGTGGGAGGGACGGTACCCTCCAAAAAACAGAGGCGCACCTGAAGTAATATACCGCCCCCCATCAACTCCCGGATCCCTGTTGCTGGGCCGTGCCAAGCGTCGGCGCAGCTCCGAGCAGCCAATCCGGCCTGCGTGGAAGTCCCTTGCCCAAAAGGAGCCTGCGATCCTAAAGACTTCCTCTTCCAACCCCCCCCACCAAGATTTACCTTAAACCAAACAGGTGACCTGATCCTAGGTAAATACTTGGGCCCAACCCCACAGGAAGGATTATACTTGTCAGATTCTGGCTCTCGCTTACTCAACCTCGAAATATGAAAGTTGTGTGTGAGGAAGATCTGGGTAAGGGCCAAAAGCAACAGAATGCTGGAACAACCAATGGGTTTCAAAGTGACTCCCAAAAGCTAATTTAACATGGGGGTTGTGGGCTAGCACCCAACATAATACCTGATCACCACCCACACGGTTAGTGGGGGTTGTGGGCTACTGGCAGGTCAATCCAGGTCACGATCATAGGAACATTGACTTTCCAATCACGTAGCCCTCACTGGTGAGACGCTCACGCCACCCAAGCTTTTTCAGGGGTTCCTTGCTTGTCCAAAGTGATTAAAATTCAAAAGTGCTTGCTCACCTTTTTCAAGCCTTGATGCAAACGCAGACTCAACGCAAAAAGAAAAGTCGAAAGGTCGGCTTGGAGCAAGGGAGTGTTGACAATGGCCCCAAAATTGGGGAGGAGGAAGCGATAAGTTAAGGCTTCAAACCATTCCATCCAGATTCGCGCCGCCTGTGTTTCCAGTCACTCATACCCAAGACTGCGCGTATCTGACCAGACGCTTTGACCCCGGCCGGATCTGGCGTGTCCCCACACAGACACTCCGACTCGGACCCGCACATGGCTTTCAGGTGGATGTTGAACAAATCTGGCAACCCCATCTGACGGTGGGGGATGTCGCTTCTTTTTTTTCAACGAGAGAACCAACAAAACACACAACCCCCTAGCCACCCAAAGAACAATTGTACATATTGTAATCATTGCATATTGGGGGAGAACATACTCGTCATGCAATGACAACGCAAATCCGTGGTGTTTCAATCAATGTTTTGCAGACATGTCAAACCAAGTGATTGTCGTTAAACAGGCCTTGAATAACGATTTGCCCTTACCCACATAAACGTGAACATGAAAAAGGGACAAGGCCTGGTGGGACAAATGCAACCAAGGAGGCTCACTATCTACGAGGCCACGTCACACCTATGGACGTGGCAACACATGCGACAAATGCCAACGTGACCAGGCAAGCAGCATCTAATTCGAGCTTGATGACCACCCTCTCTGTGGACGCCATGAACAACCACAAGTGTCAGGAGTCATGTAAAAGATGCAATCGGTTCACCCAGCAAAGCTTTAACAACCAAAAACTGATATGTGTGATAATATGGCCAAAAGTATAAACATCTGAAGAACACCCCTCTCACTTGCCCATTGCTGGCGCAACGCAAAACCGGGACACACACACACACCAGAAAGCAAGCGTGGAACTCTTTGGGTACAGTAACTCCCCCCCATGGCGAAGCAAAAAGGAAGTGCGCACGCCTGCCTCCTGAAAAGAACTGAAAGTCCGATCCCAACCCCACTCGCCCTCGTTCCCGGCCTGTGTCAACGTTCTGAAGGCAGTTGAACATGGCAGTGATGATGTCGGACCTGCGCAGGAGTGAATCAGAAGCACTGTTAACGCTACAGTCAAACCAACGCAACAAACAATAATAGCAATCAACTGAACAACTGGTGCCTCCTAGTGCTGAGATTTAGAGCACCTCACAGCAATCATGAAAGGACACAACCTTGAACCAATTCAACAGTGCTAACACTTTCTGACTGACCGACCAACCGACTAGGTATGCCTTTAGAAAATGTGGTAATTTCACTGGCAAATGATAAATTATTCAACTGATAATTAAACCAAACTAACGCCAGTGGGACCCATGGTTATTTCAACCAGAGAGGAAACTAATGGTTGGTTATGGTTGTGTTTGTTCACTGAGTATGGTGAAATACAACTAAATACAAGAAAACAAATATGCCCAACGCCTTGCTAGTGATGCTGGATGTCTGCATTAAGAACAGTTCACGGCCATGGGTTGTGCTGATGGCTCACAGTATATTGGACACTGGCAAACCTACGGAAGCTTCCTTGGTAAGGGCGCTCCATAATTTAACGTTGTGTCAAACTCTATGGTGTTCGATAACCATCGCTACCTACCCCGAGTAAAAAGGGAGTTTGACCATCACGCACAGCCTCAAAAAGGGTGTATTTGGGCGGCTCCCCCCGCATTTGGCTCCTCCTCTGCCACGGACACGGCTATTGTGCAGACTCATCCCAAAAATCCCAACACCCAATCAAAAAGCTCTTAAAATGCAAAACCACTCCAGACAACAGGTTGCAAACAACCACTCCACATGTCAACCGCCGACTTCCTGGCCTTCCGACTCGGCAGGGTGTGTTTGTTTTTGGAGTTGGCACCCCTTGCTGTGGTTTTGAAGAGAAACCGCAAGGACACCCACAGAAAGAGGGTACCAGAGTGTTCCCCTAAACCTGCTAGTCCCTCTCGGAGACCTGTTTAGAGGCAACCAAAGGGCAAGCCGCCATTTTGGCAGTCCCCCTAAAACAAGCCTCACCCATATGGTGGTTTAGAGGGTTCCCTGTCCAGACACACCCAGGTTGCGCCAGGAGGTGCCGGTGTGCCAAATTTAGTCAGTAGCCAGCTTCATCATACGCTGTTCGCTTGCATTATGACCACACCACGAAAGTCTTCTTTGGGTCGTTTTGAAGGACAATGATTGAAGGCACAAATCCCATTCCGCGAAATTACCATGGATGCCATCCCATGTCGTCTTAGAAGTGTTTAGAGGACTCCATTTTTTGGGGCGGTTTTAGAAGAAGACCAAGCTGTTCTTGAAAAGATACCCACAAAAACGACATCGGTGCCTGCTCTTGAGCTTCACCAAGTTTGAGGCCACGCTCTGCCTGGCCCATGCGTCCTCAGCTCACATACCAAAAGGCGACTTTCCGCGTGGC